AAAAACTTGATATAATGATCAGCATGAGTTTGATAGTACTTGTGTTTCAAAACACACCCATAAATGCGTAGTTATCATTTGATTTCATCCAAAATGGACACGTCCATGGAGATGCAATGATATTTAATTGTGGATTCAGTTCTAAAAGCTGCGAAAGAACAGGAATCTATAAATAATTGTTTAAAGTAATATTTTATTTGATTAAATTGTTTTACTTGCTTTTAACTTGTAATCTTCTTCTTTTAATGCAAAATGTTCCAGTTTATTATCATCTACAACCTCTGCGTAACTATAAGGCCCTCTTGAAAAATCAGTCGCACCCATTGGTATTCGTCCCATACTATATTCAGTCCAGTAGGAGAATAGTAACTTTCAATTAACCGAGTTTTAGCATCTTCGCTTAGTTTTGTATGTTTAATCGCAAAGATCGGTTATACTACCTCCAGGCTTAATATTTCATCTTTCAAGTTTAAAAATCTTACACGTCTATTGTGATATTTGTTTGGGAACAAACGGTTTGTTGTTGAGGAAAAAGTGGCCATTTTGTCGTAAAACCGCAATCGGAAGATGTTGACGTATATAAATGAAATTTTCCTTTTGATATTGGTGTAATTTGAGGTATTTGTCGCAATATGTAACGTGCATCTGCAAACGATGCTGTCGGAGTCAAAAACGCATCGCGATACATTTCCCATGACTAGCAATAAACACAGCGATAAATAACTTAGTGAACAATAATAAATAACAGCTTTATGAAATCTTCGTGACTTACCTGATGGTATATATCAAAATAATAGTATTAAAAATATATACAAAATTTCATTTTAAACATATTTTGTTCATTTGAAACTTAATTCTTGTTCTATTGGTCACTTTTACTTTATATTTCAAAATTGTTTGTTCAACGGTGCACTTTTGAAATTCACATCACATATTACCATTAATAACGCAATAGTAACTTAGTCATTAGTTAAATAATTAAAAACATTTGCAAAATCATTAACAATCGAAATAACCATCAAGGTGATGCTCAGAGCAGAAATGCCCAACATTCAATATGTATTCGCAAGGTACTTGTAATGTTGATAAGTACACTTAAGTTAAGATGACGGACGTAAATGTTTCGTTGTGTATGAACTGTATATATTGCCAGATTAAACGCACACTTTACTGCAAGCACTTTTAACTGATGATGGTCGTTAGCATACACTGTAATGTGCAAAATATGCACATGGCGAAAAAATCGTGGAGCAATTCATCTTCCTGCTTTTCGGCGGTCACGACGTGTGGGTTTTAATACCCTGCGGAAAGAATACCGAAATGCCACAAACAATTGAAACCAGTTGCTGGTGATTTGACTGCGATTAAATTTCATCGCATGAAGCGCGGTGTTGTTGAATAGAAACTTTGCTGCACATTGATGGCATTTCGTGGTTATAGAAAACGTTTAAGTTGTGTTATGCGTTGAATTATATTGCGTGATAGAGGTATGAACATAGCGACCTAGTACATACTTTGTATACAATATTGATAACGAAGAAGAAATATATTTGATTTTTACTAGAAAAGGAAGTTAACAAACTTTGTAAAATAGATAATTAGGGTTTTTGGCGTCGAAACCATGATAGGACATATAAAATCATTAAAAATATTTATTTGGTATAATTTATATTAAAAAATCTTAAAAAAGAAATATTTTTATTGAAAGTTTGCAAAGTATTCTGCATACTGCGATTAATATTACCTGTTGTTTGGGCTTAAACTTCCGCATATCATAATATCACATATCACAATTTCATTAACTATGCAAACACATTCATCAAATTATAACCAATTTGCTTATATCTCGCTTTCTGTGGCATTAGTCCTCTGGTCACTATCAAAAATGAGCACACATCAAAACTTTTGCTTCTTTTCTGAGAAGCAATGGCTCCGTTAGTTGTTAATATTTCACACTACAATACAAAAACCAATTATTTGAGTACCGTCAATATAAATTCGTGTTTCTCTTAATACTTTTAGGTCTACTTGCAGTAATCAAAAACAAGTAGCAAAAGCATATATACCATCTTCCATGTTCTGTGTATGAAATTTTTTGGAGAAGTTTTAATATTTTAGTAATGCTTAATCACATTTAACAAACACTCCGCAGAAGACCCAACAACTAAGCAAGTTATTTCAATACATGGAGAAACTTCGGACTATGATCAAAAGAGCAAGATTCTCACATGAAATGTTTCATATTTATTTTGGTTTACCTTTTCTGTTTTAGGAGGTATTTGGACTGCTCTGGTTTTGATTCGGAATGAATCTCCGTCAATCGTCTTTCAACGAGATTATTGGAAGTTTATATGGTGTACTACATGAACTGTGGTGGTATGGCGAAATGTCCTTTGCATCAAATGAAACGCCAACTTGGAAGGACTAAACACACAGTTAAAAGGTATTGATTTACATCAGAGTGGTACCAATGAAAGATATGATTTACTGGATCAATTGACTACACATCATAATATTATTTTTGAACTGGGTTGATGTTTATAATCAACTTTTGGATGTCCAATTTTTAGTTAAAGTGTTTGAATCTTATCCGTTTTGGCGGTTTGGACATTTTGTTTAAGCAAGTACATGGTTTCTCAGTTCTACGATGGATCACACAGCTTTTAATGATGCATATTATGAATATCTATATAGTTGTAAGATAATATTTTGGTCCACAAAATATCATTATTGTTCTAACATTCGAATAAAATTATTTTTTAGGCTCAGGTTTTATCACTGCAAATATTTGCGAGACGTTGTAATGAAGGGCGTAAAACGGTGTGTATTGCAAGCGAATTTAATGTGGATGCAACTCTAATTTTATAACAAAGAAGTTGAATTTCTTGTGGGGAACAGAGGTGACCGATGCCCAAGTTTTCAGCATGGGGATTTTTGATGTGAATCATGCGTTGATTTTACATTTTAAATTTGACCATGTTATTGACATTATGTTATCGTTATTATTCGAACACATCAAGCTTAGGAAGACGTTGAGGTTAAGGATAATATACATGTTTTTTTTGTAGGTATGTGACATTCATGCTGACAATTAATTTTTATTTCTATACATTAGTTAGAATATAATATTATCTAACGTATATATAATTAATGGGAAATACATTTTCTTGCATATGACCTAAATACTAAAGTAATGTAAACAAATAGATAAATCTTTTATCATTCAGCAATAAAAAAACATTCTACGTCATATAAAGCTCATGTTTATCAATACAAACAAAATAGAAAAAACTGTCTATCGTAAACCACACTTAAAATCACAGCAATTCAACCCCAGCCTTTAATGATTCAATTATATTTTGATTATGATAACCATCACATGAATTGTACGACAAATTCAATATAAAATTACGCCTACACGTTTTTTTACGTTTACCTTGTAATGCAACTACGTAGTTTAATCACAATCCATGGGGTTGCATCATTTATCGTTTCTAATTTATCTAATAGGATAGACAATCAGAAAAAAAAAAACTGGTAAGTGTCAATCAAATTCGGCTGTATTTTGTTATTTACCCATAATTTCCAAAAACATTGTTAAACTACTCTATCTGTAGATTTGATCGGTAATATTACTGTCACTCAATGAACTAAATTTAAAATTCCAGGCCAGTATATATAAACGCAGGAAGTACGCCTGGAAGTATTATTCAAGTAGTTAATCGTAATTCAATGCGTTTGATAATTCAATATTATTATTTTTCACTTTTGTGTTTTCATTGAATCGAATCTAATTAAACGGTATTATCAATTCGAAAATGTGGTATTTGGAATATATTTCATTGTTTTTAATAAAGAAGGTAACAAATATTATTAATATTACTTTTATAATTTATTAATTAAATATGATAATTTTAGATGAAGTTGATTTTGTAAAAATTTCACCACGGATTTTAATTCGTTCATTTAGCATTAACAAATAACAATTTTAAGTCCGATGTGATGTTTATAAAACAAAATGTTAGATTAGGTTTCTGGTTGGATGCAATAGAATTGCCCATACACAAATATATTGGAACAGGTTCAATTTTAATTTATATTTTACGTAATATAAAAAATAATAATTTTTGATTCTGTTTGCAGTTCAGCAGATTGCAAATGTTTAAAGGCGCGATACATTTTTCATATTTGTGAAAGACTTTAATCTGATCAATCAGCGTTTGAAAATGTAATCTTGACCGTCAATAGTAACTTAATAATTATTGTGGAAAATTATACTGTTTACGACGTTTATAATCCATCGACATTACATGGTGGACAGTTAATTACCACGTCTTTTAGACATTGGCAATTGGAAACGCGCAAAATTTGAGAAATATACGAAATTTCAGCATTTGTATTGGATGCGCCGAAATATGACCGGAATTGTCTTTCAAACAATGGTTGTGGTAAGAAAAATGCTTTGTTTTCTGAATATAAAATTTTTCTGGTAAATTTCTAATTGGTTCATTATGACCTTGATGCTTTAAATTTGAATTAAACACTAAATCTTTGAAATACCTTTTAGTAGCTCTTGGTTTGAATTTATGTTAAATTTAAATGGCTGTAACAACTTTATTTTCAGATTACCAAAACCCCATGAAGGCGATCTTGTAGAATATCTACAATTTAACGATGACGTCGTGAAGTAAACAGTTTCAATCGTTTCCACGCTGTTTTTAATGTATCACACGAGATTGTACGATTATCGGTTAAATATGTCCGTAACTGCTTGTCATGGGGTTTACAAACGGCCAATGGATTGTTTGATGGAATGGTTCGTGCTGTAAATTACGTCAGATTGATTTTGGAACATCGCCATTGTTCGTCAAAGAACGAAAGATGGCCTGATGGCAAATTATGGTCGTCGAACATGGAAATTAAAGTAATATTAAAAATAAAACAACGTAAATACTAATTTAAATATTTTCAGATCCGCATTTCTATTTCGTACTCCAAAACGTCCAGCATCTTTTGAAGTGTTTTACGTCCATTGGACGAACGTGTGTGGACTTTAACAGTAGTCGCCTGCATTGTCATCATTCTACTACTAAAACTAAGTTTAAAAATTGAATACTCTAAATTTGATCACGTCGAGGATACATTTGAACCATCATGGAGTCATATTGCTCTTTTACATTGGGAGCATTATGTCAGCAAGGATGTGCATTCAGTCCGAATGGAATCAGCAGTCGTATTTCTTTCATCTTTATTTTTATCTTCACAGTGTTACTATATCAGTATTATTCTGCTAGTATAGTCTCGATCTTAATCATGACTCCAGCGAGATTTATTAAAACACTTCGGGATCTGGCTTACAGTACATTGATACTTGGATGTGAAGATGTTTTATACAATCGTGATTATATCAACGTAAAATATTTTAGTGGAAACATACACAAAATTAAATAACGATTAAATAATATTTTATTACAGAAATTGGTAAATGATACAGTCGTTAATCGATTGTCAAAGAAAAGTCCCTATGGCACCGACGCAAGTTTTTATGTTGAACCGGAAGTTGGCCTTCCAAAAGTGGCAGCTGGTGGATACGCTTATCATGTTGAGCTGGCCACAGCATATCCGATTATATCAAAAACATTTGATGAGGATGCAATTTGTAGTTTGGATGAAATTCAATTGTTTCAACTGCAGCAAATGCATCAGCCACTACAGAAAGGTTCAGAGTTTCGTGAGATGTTAGATTATGTGTATGTATTTTCCATATTCTTTTATTTTAAACTAGCTGTTGCCCGCGACTTCGTTCCGGCAGTGTTTAATAAAAATGTAATTCGTTTTTACTCTCTTGTTCTAGACATACTCGTAGTAAGAGTCAATTCTATCAATAAGATTAGCAATTTTAATTTAAAGAAATTAATTATATAAAGTTTTGTCAATAATGCACTTCAGCGCGCCATCTCGAATTCAACTATTTAACTATAACTATGATTGAATCTCAATGTCAAATTTTATTCTATAGAAAAGAGCTGTTTTGAGGATTTTCCCGGCAATTATTCGAAATTTTCTCACCTTTTAAACCTTCCCTAGACCTCCACGAATAGTTCAAGACCAAGATAAGATAAATCCGTTCAGCCGTTCTCGAGTTTTAGCGAGGCTAACGAACAGCAATTCATTTTTATATATGTAGATTAAGTAATACAATAATAACATGTGTTTTAATTTTAGTTTGCATAGAATTGATGAGAGTGGATTGATGTATCGGCAGTTAAAGCATTGGCACGCTAAGAAACCGGAATGTATCAGATCTCGACCGGCAACTTCATCAGTGAGCATTGAAGAGTTCTATCCGGCGTTGAGTATGTTGTTGTTGGGAATATTATTCAGCGTGTTTGTTTTTATCGTGGAGCATATTATGCACGTGCATCAAATGAAGCAGCAGGAACAAATGATGATTCAGGATTTGAGGATTGATAAGAAGCATGGTTTAATTACACGCGTACGACATTAATTATTAAATAAAGTATCACTAAATTAGTTGTTGTTTCTGCAAACTATTACATGTAATAAATATATAGATGAATGTTACACGTTAACGCCGGCAGCAATTTTGTTTTATTGAACTTTTTCTTTATTTTTTCTATGCACGCCACTGCTTTGTTGTTAATTGTTGCCATGGTGTTGCAATAGAAGAAAACGGCAGACGCAAAAAGGAATAAATGCATCAGTTATAAACGAATTAATATCAAAAAGCTATAATTTGAATCGCTATTAGTCAGAAACGCAATATCTTAATATTTTTTAAATTTATGGGTTTGTCTTTATTATGTGACAAGGCGTAGAACCAGTGGTATCCTGAATTGCTAAAAATTCAGGATCTACCCTTGGTAAACGCCGAGAGTATACAAACCTACATATAATTTAATTGTAATTTTAATAGTAATTTTTAAATGTAATTTTCCAGGTCATCACTAACTTTTTCATTAATTCGCTTTTGCCCAAAACAGGGCCAAATCAACGGTACCAATATTTAAAAATGTTTTGTATGCTGTGACGTTCATTTCGATATTATTCAGTGATATAGATAATATTACCAATTTTATCACTAAACAATGCAAAGCATTTTATACATTACGCACGTTCTTAGTAAAAATAACAACATACATATTTTCAATTCATTTATTGTCACTTTTGATGTAATATATCAATGTTGTTATTTTCTACGATTTTTTCCTTTGCTTACTTTGAATTTCTTGGAATACACCGTGAACAGCTTGTACAAGTCGCTTCAACTTGATCCATTCCTAAACTTGCGCAATGTTCCTTACTCCAGTACGCAAAACAATTAATGCACACTTGATCTAATTAACACACAAAATATACATTAATATATTTCATACCGTCAAATTCGTACAGATAATAATTTACCGGTTGATGCAGTGGCTGCGTCACAACAATTAGATTGAAAACCCAGCATCACAATAAATGCGACGAGAATAACAAACGTACTACACTTCATATTTAATGAGTTAAATTATTATGTTATACAATTAATCTTAAATAAAACCAGCTGAATGGTTTGGGCTTTAGTGAGTAATGTCAGACTATACAAGGACGTCGCGTTTATATAAACAAGTTCATATTACAAATCCCCACTTTAACAACGTTAATAATACAATAAAAAAGTTTTTGTGAGTCATGAATAATTTATAATAATAAACCGCAGATTACGTTTTGTTGTTGTTGAATTTGTACATGTAGTACATATTTGGTTTAATTTAATTCTTTCTCGGAATACAGTTGGAGCACTCGTAACATGAACCTGGAAATTGATCCATGTTTTGTTCATCACACAACTCCTTTGACCAATATATTGCGCAGTTAATGCATGGTTCAGCACTAGGAGGCTCTAAAATGGTGTTAAATAGATAATTACAGTAGAATCTTGATAACTCGAATGTCAAGGGAAACCAAAAAAAATTCGAGATAGCAAGTTTTCGACTTAACAAGAATTTCGAGATATGAAGATTTAACTCATCAAATTTCGACATAAAAAGGCACAATTTCATAGAACATTTATTACGACAAATTACATTAGGTAACATAAAATGAGAGTCAAGTACATAAATATAATGAATGAACTTACACTCTATGTTTTAAATAATTAATAAAAAATCTGTTATCTTCGTTTGAATCAAGCCATTTACAGATTTTTTATCAATTATTTTTTCTAGTTCATATAGTGAACCGAATATATGATACTCGATATCATTACATCTTTCAATGTAAGTTCGTAGTGTATCAATTGCTGTATTGTACTCATGTTGTTGCTTGTTAACAGCCAAACAAATATGTACTGACTGAGCCAAGTAACCAAAAGTGACCAAAATGAAGAAACATAACATCTGTGTTTCTTAGAAATTAGAAAGTTTATTGAATGAATTCATTCCTTGCACGTGTGCAAAACAAAAACAATAGATAAGAGGCCCCGAGCCCCGAACATTGCTTTTTGATTTTATTGCCACGAGTTTTAAGCTACGGGAATCCCGAGTTTTGAGCTCCGGGAATCTCGAGTAAGAAATCATAAAATTTTATGAACTTCGACTTACTGAGGTAGTATTTGCAGTTCGAGTTACTGAGTATTAAAATGTACGAGTAATGCCTCACAGGGAAATAACTTATTGTTCGAGTTACTGAGTCTAAAAAATTCGAGTTACTGCGTCGTTCGGGGTTCAGCGGAAGGGAATAGCATATCGTTTCGAGTTACTGAGGATTACGACTTAACAAGGTTCGAGTTATCAAGGTTCTACTGTATTTAAATTTAGATTACTGTAGGATGATAATACAATTACCTGGGCTTAAAATTGGTAATATCGACTCGGCTACTACATATTCTTTAGAATTATAAGTCAAAATTGTGAAAAATACAAGCAATATAAAATTCATGTTTGAATTGTTTTGATGAATTGATCTTGTTGGATGACTGCGGTGGATTTTATTGGTAAATCCCGTATTGCGTCATTTTAGCAGACATTAATTATTCTCAGCTCCCACCTTTGGCAATACAAACTGTATTTTCAACATTGTTTATAGTTTTATACACATTATTTTAATTAAATATTAGTCATGTCTAAGAAATGAGTGGTTTAGGTAAACCGCAACAATTCGACAATAAAATCTTCGGAAATTATGTAATTTTTCCGTAATCATAATCAAATTGACAACGGTGACCTGAAACCATCCCTCAAACACATTAATCTTCTAAATTGTGATAAAGTAAAACAACTTTCTTTATATCTTAGACAAATAAAACCGAACGAAAATATGGTTAGAATCTTAATAATAATAAATTATTATATCACAAAATTATGTTTGATAAATAAAAGGGAATTATTTATATACTGTATACATAAAATACCTTTGAAGTTAAACTTCACAACTTCACCACATAATTTCTCACTTATGATAAGTACCTATAGCATAATAAGTGAATTCTCAGATATATAAAAGAAAGAATTACTTTATTCTTGTTACTTATTAGGTATTTTTGTACACGAAATCATGTGCTCCATTCTACTTTTCCTCTCTTTAATGATATTTTATACAATTGTGTCTTCATTGGAGTCTGAAATAATTAAACAATATTATCAGTACGAACATGTAAAATATTTAAATATTTTTCATTGTTTTAATCGAAGAGGTAACAAATTAATACAATTACATCTATCAAATAATAAATTATTTATTATTTCAGACAAAATTGACTTTCTCAGGAACTACACGACTGATTTTACAATCAGATCGTTTAATATGAACGAATCTTTAAACATAACAAAAGACGATATTTATTTAAAGCGAAATATTAAATTAGGCATATGGATGGATGCAATAAATTGTCCATACACAGACGCAATAAACCAGGTTATCATACTGTTATTCATAAAATATTTGTAATAATTGTTTTATTTTGTAGTTAAGTAATGTACAATCGTTCAAAGGAATCCATTACTTCTTAATCTTCATGAAAGACGTCAGCCTCATAGAACCAGTATTCAAAAATGTGATTTTAACAGTTAACAGCAACTTAAAAATACTCATGGAAGACTACACAGTTTACGATGTTTACAATCCATCAACGTTACATGGCGCACAATTGACTTATTCACCTTTCAAACACTGGAAACCCGAAAGGCGTATTTTTGTAAAAGATACGAAACATGAGCATATGTACTGGGTACGCCGGAATATGTCTGGGATATTATTTAAAGCAATGGTCGTGGTATGACAAATATTACTTCGAAAACGCACAAATTACAACATATATAATAATTTTCAGTTACCACAACCATATCCTGGAGCACTTGAAACATACCTCAATGACGATAGGCATCGTGAAGTAAATATATTGAATCGATTTCATACTGTTTTGATGTATCACGCACAGGACTATTACTATTATGACCTGAATATAACAAGGACAAAATCTTGGGGTTACTTATACAACGGTACCTTTGATGGTTTGGTACGCGCATTGGAAATTCGTCAAGTTGATTTCGGTGCATCGCCATTGTTTGTTAAGAATGAAAGATGGCCAGCAGTTGATTACGGACGTCGCACATGGACTTTAAAGTTAGATTTATGTTGAATTATTAAACTTATGTTTAATTTCACGCTTTGTTTCCAGATCAGCGTTTTATTCCGGGCACCAAAACGTCCCGCAACTTTTGAGGTGTTTCTACGTCCATTACACAAGAGAGTTTGGTATCTTACTGCTATAGCAAGCGTAATCATTGTTATTTTCCTAAAAATTAGCTTAAAAGCAGAAATTGCTAAGTTTAAACATGAAGAGGGAACTTTTGAACCATCATGGAGTCATATTGCTCTCTTTACTCTCGGTGCCATATGTCAACAAGGATGTGCCACCAGTCCGAATGGAATTAGCAGTCGGATTTCTTTCATTTTTATTTTTATCTTCACAGTGTTACTGTATCAGTATTATTCTGCTAGTATAGTCTCGATATTAATCATGGCTCCAGCGAGATTCATTAAAACTCTGCAAGATTTAGCAGCAAGTTCAATGGTTCTTGCAAGTGAAGATGTTTTGTACCATCGAGATTACTTTAATGTGAAGTATATCACTAAAATATAAACAAATCATATAACAATGTGTTTATTTTTGCAGAAACTAGAAAATGATTCAATTGTTGGTCGTCTACACAAGAAGAATCCTTCTGGTGGCTATGCACAATTCTACGTTGAACCGGAAATTGCGCTACCAAAAGTAGCAGCTGGTGGATTCGCATATCATGTTGAGCTTGCCACAGCCTATCCAATTATGTCTAAGATTTTTGACGAGGATACTCTTTGTAATCTGGATCAAATTGAATTGTATCATTTACAACAAATGCATCAACCATTACAGAAAGGTTCAGAATTTCGTGAAATGCTTGATTATATGTACGTATTATAAATTTTTATCACTATATGTTAGTTGTTGATTGTATTAATTTGCAGTTTACACAAAATGGATGAGTATGGCGTTCTGCATCGACAATTGAAGCATTGGCACACAAAAAGGCCACAGTGTATTCGTTCACGTCCCGCTACCATGTCAGTAACCATTGACGAATTCTACCCTGCACTGAGTTTGCTTTTCGGGGGAATAGTATTCAGTCTAATAGTTTTAATCTTAGAGAATGTAGTACATCTGCGCCAGATTAAAGTGGAGGAAGAAAAAATGAGAAAAATGCTTCGGACTAACAAAAACTATGGAATGATTAAACGCGTCACGCCACTGATCAAAAATGGCGACTCTTAAAAATGATCAACAACAGTTTGCAAGAAAAAGAAAAATCATAGTTTGCAGGATCACTTTTTCAATCAATCACTTTTTTGCTGGTGTTTCTAATCTTTGTATTAAGTTTCTAGCATTTAATCTCTTTAATCCTTTATTCGGTATTCGCAATTCCCTAATCACGCACCGGTGCTCGAGTTACATGTGAAATATTTATTGAAATAAATAGTCGGTACTAAATACACGATAGTAGTTAAGATACAAATAGAAGTAAGCAACTATAGACAGACACATGCCTTGATTATTTCGAGACAAGAAATCAATCACTTATGTTATTATAATTAAAGAGAATGACAAAAAAAGTTGTTTGAATTTTTATGTTCTTATCTTTCCTCTAGTATCACAGTTTCTTGAGGGCAGAGTTTCAATTCTTCCAAAGTCTTGTTCACATCTAACGAAGTTAACTGCAACGCATTAAAAACATTTTAATAAACCAAAACATTTTATAAAAATTTAAGCAACTTACGTCTCTTCTAGGCCAGCTAGAAATGATTTTATATTCAGCTGGCGGATATCCTTGCACCACACAATAATCTAAAAGTGTCTGTAGCGGCGTGTCAGCTGTGAACCGCCGTTCTAGTTGCCCCGCAGGTGATCTAAACCTGATTTTCGTAATATTTGGAGTACCAACTGGAGGCTCAACCGGCAATCGTGCACCGACTTCGCGACGCTCCGCTTCCTTGCGTTCCTTTATCATTTGGATTTCGTTTTCTATGCGTGTACGTTCCATGATCTCGGCTTCTTCTTGAGCTCTTTTAGCTTTCTCTTTAGCACTAAAATTATTTTTAAAAGTATTAAACTGTTACTCAATTTCACTTCTAATCATTAACTTACCGATCTGCTTCTAAACTTTCGTTGTATGCCATATCCTGTTCCCACTTAACAAATTCTCGCTCAGCTCGTTCTTCCTCTTCGCGGATCTCCACTCGTTGGTGCTGAGTAAATACCTCTACCGCTTCAATCAAACTTGATAAAAGTTCATTAACACCAACGTTTCCTATTTTAAACACAGTCATAAGTACGAAAATTAAATAAATGATGATGAAATATCATACCGTAGACAATATTATAAATTTCTGTAGAAGAACGAATTTTCATAATGATAAAAATGGCCGGTAACCGGTCAGCGGGAATAGTTTTCACGTTAGCGGCCGCGCCTGGACCAAGCGAATTGCCAAGCGATGTGTGCAACATTGTTCGATTTGTTTCATATGTGACATCCCAACCCCAGAGCACAAAATTGGCTTCTAGAAGCTGCATGACACTTTCAAAGCCCAGCAGTTGAGTGCAGAAGACATTGGACAGCACACTTGCATCGTGATGGACGTAAATTGCGAGTAACTTGCGCTGAAACAGTAAAATATTGTTTAAAATACGTAAAAGTATAAAATTTCATAAAGAAAGAAACTTACGTCTCTTGCTGGCTTATTACAAGCTTCCCGCAATGCATCATCCAACGTGCCCTGATAAAACGTTGGATGTACTGGTCCATAACGGTTCGTGAATTGTTCGGAAAAATGTATACTGCCAACGATTTCATCTTCGACGACTTTAGGAACTTTTAAAACAAAAAATAAATTTAATAATGCGTAATTAACAAACAAACAAATAACTTACTTAATGGCTCAGGCCGTTTACTAGCGACATTATCCATGAAACAATCATCTTCCACATTGAACGATTCCGACGCATCTTCAAATTCTTCCTCATCACTATCTGGAACCACAACCACATCGTTCTTTGGCCGAGTTTCACTTCTATTGCCCATGCTAGATGTAGCCTGACGCAAAATTAAATCGTGTTCAGGGTAACTGCAAAACGTCAGAGTTAATAACATTAAGAACTGTTTGACAGCTTGTCAATTAAATACTTTATTCGGATAATGCAAGCACAGTCTGGTCGTCAATATTAGGCGGCCAGCCACTCCACATTTGATTACGGACTTGTATATTTGTTAAAGAATGCAAGTCCACTTTCACATCTAGAATAGTTTTTGTTCCTGGATAGTTCAAAGTATAGTTTTTGTCGGCGTTCTCATCGCGGATTTTAATATGTAATTTCCACGTAATCGGTCGGTGATTTCACTATAAAAATATAGTTTTTAATTGTGATAGTCATAGTATAAACTGTAAATGAACATACTCATCTTGTGCAAGACCAGTTACATTTGTAACAGTCAACTGTAAAGAATTAAATGCCGGCAAAGACAATTCTACCAAAGGGGTATTAGCATATTGTGGCAATCTAGCCCAGCCAGACAACAATTGCCTGCATGGAGCAACCTTTATCTCTTTGTTCAGTTTCTTCTTAATATCAGCTGTAATTATAATTAATATGTATAAGAAAATTTCAATAAAAATGAAGCAAAATATAAATCTTACCAACTGTGCCTGTATCTGGTACCTCTATAGGTATTATACGATCACAGTAAGATATATTAAACTTGATAATTTTTGAGCCATTGGTATTGGAGTGCACTGATGATGTTGATGGCTGTGAATTCATATGAGCATACTGTGTGTCCAATATTGGCATGCTTCTAACCATTGCTGGTGTGGTAGCATGTGCTGAGACACTCTCAGCTGCTGATTCAATTGGACTTGATGGAATCTCAATAACTTCAGGGGCCATATCCACATTGTTGCCTTGAATTGATTGGAATGATTGAGTGTCTTGAGGCATCACTTTGTTAACAGCTCGCTGTACAAAAATAAAATCAAATTAGAAATTAATTTTCAATATGATTTCGCTGGATTACCACAAGATCCCAGTTGGTCTCATCCAGAACGTAAATTGCCTCGGCCACATCTTCAATGCCAGTGCAGGCCTGAAATTTGACGAGAAAAAACTCATTCTTTGTACACCAAATTGCCTGTGTCATTTTAATTTAACCTATCAAACATTTTACTAAAATTGCTTTTGGCAATATCATGCTGTGAAATTGTGGATCTTACCTGAAAATCAGCCAGTATTTCTTCACGATTTTCGGACATGATTAGATTATGAACGTTGCTTTAAGTACTTCTCACGCAAAATGCTGCTTTTTGCGAGTACAGCGCGAGCAAATGCAAATGTAGAAAAACAGAATATGTATGTGTAGGAATACGAGTGCATGTAAAGTGATGTAGATGTTGTATAAAATAGATGGCTGGACTGATATGTCTGATATGCGAACGACTGTAATATACACCAACAGGGGGCAGTAAAATCGATTTTATTAGTAAACTTGAGGTAAACTTACAAAAGGCAATCTTTCTTTAAGAAAAGTTTTTCATTCTATTTCATTGCGGTAAAAAATATTAAAACATTAATGTATTTTGATTCAATATTTTTATTGTGTGTATTTTCTATCATCATCAGTGATGCGTAATAAGACAACTTGTTTAACCTAATTTAGGTGCCACTCAAACTATGCCAAAGAAAAAAATTGGGTAAACAATTTTCCTTTTGAAAATACACGGTGTGTTTTTCTGGGTACTCCCAATCAATGTTTTGTGAGTCACAGAAACTACGTCTCAAACTGCTGGGGCATTAATTCTAAACATTCAATATCCCCCTGTTATCTATTCCTAAGTCGCAGTATTGCGGTAATTTCTCAGATTAATCTTTATTCAAACGTGTTCCTGCATATAATGTGTATTTACACATAAAATTTAAGTGAGTATGTATCTGAAAAGTAAATACTGTTGCAAACTGAGATTTCAAACTGGTTGTCTCCATGCACAATGGCAACATAGCACCTCCTATCTAATAAGAATGGTACGTTTAGATTAACCTTGCGGGTTGAAAAATATTTTTGTTTGCAGTTTGAAGAAGCTTTTCGTTAATTACAAGAAATAACAACAATGATTAACAATTGTGGTATAACATAGTGTGGAAAAAGTGATTTATAATAATTCACAGCATGATTTGTGTTCGTTCATTAAACTCTATAGTTATCTTTTTGGAAATTCATGTATGCACTTAAAGTGTAAAACAAATCAGTCATCATGAATGACCAGAGAATAACAGTGAGAGTTGTACATGATTCAAAAGTGGTATATTTTGCGTATACGCCTGGTCATACCACTGCTGAAGATGCATGTATTTACTTGTGCAAACACTTGGGAATTGGAACTGTGGCAAGACATTTATTTGCTCTTCGTGATAACAAATTGTTGTATTTAATGCCTGGAGAAACCCTGCAAAAGAATGCTGTTTACGACTTTCGCATTCGTTATAAAGTTCCTATGATTATGAGGCTAAAAACAATTGATTGCAAGGCATTTGATTATTACTTTCATCAAGTGAGATTGGATGTTATTGGGAACAAAGTGTTGGATATTCCCTTTGAGACAATTAGGACTCAACTGCTTGGGCTTGGAGTCACAGACATGTACAGAGTAATGTTGGAAAAGCAAATTCCACAAGAAACTGTCCTGAATGACTACAAGAAATATATTCCCAAAGCAGTATTAAACAGGCATTCAATTTTTGTGAAAAAGCCCATTAAGGATGCACTCACTAAATTGAGCAAACAGGCAGACAAAACCTTTGAACCACTGTAATTGACAAATATAATTTTATAAAAATTAAGTTTTTTACATAAATTATGTTGTAGGTATGTTGTTGGTGCTTATTTGCAAGAATTTGAAAACATTGCTCCTAATTATCCAGAAGAAGAATATAAAGCTTTCATTGATCACAATGGAGCAATTTATAATATTTATTTGCGAGTATCGCCATTTGATGTAACAAATAAAGGTATTAAATATAGACTGGAGTCAAATAAAGATGTAAGTATTTTAGTTCAGCACATTTTTTTGCATTGTTTGTATTGCTGCATTTTTTATTCCAGGAATGGAATGTAATTTGTGGCACTGACGAAGTATGTTTCATTTCAATCCGAGGTGATTCGTCAATTGAGATTAGTAGACTGAATGGTATCCCATTTTATGTGAAATTTAATTCAATCATGAAAATGCGCAGTTTTGTTAGTTTGGTGGATGGATATTACCGGCTTTCTTGCAAATGGAATTTTAACATTTGTAAAGAAATTGTTACACCATCATTACAAAAACTACATAAAATGAAATGCCATGGACCTGTTGGGTAAACTGATACAATTTAGATTATATATTTAAAATGCTAGTTATTTTAATATTTTAGTGGTGAATTTTCTTATGCGAAGTTAGAAGAAAAACGCTCGAATAATCACGGGTCTTTTATATTAAGAGAATGTGAAACGAAGTATAATACGTGTTTCATGGATGTTTGTACTGGCGAAAAGTGAGTGAACGATTTGTGTTAATGAAATTTGTTTTAAAGTAAAATGTTGATTTGTAACTTGACGCATTGTAGCTCGAAACCAAAGACTTTTAAATTGGAATATCTTTCTAATGATGAATTTATATTTAATGATGATCTTGTTAAATATAAAACAATTAGTCAATTAATGGCGGCGTATAACAATGCCAATGGGACCATTTATCTCAAAGAATGTTTACCACCATCAGAATATGGTGAGGTTTTGTATATTTAACCAAATACCACACAGAATGGTGCTTAAACTTGGATTTTTTTTAGATAATTCACCATTGTTACTATGCAAAATAACGTCAGATGAGAAACGAGCTCAAGACGATAATTCTGTTTGCATAAATCCAAAAAATCTTGAAGTTTTTTCAGGTAAATAACTAAATACAATTACTGCGGTTTTCAATAAAAATAATATTGAATTTCTATTTTAGCGCATAAAATGGAAAGCACAAGAAATATTACGATTGTATATAAGGGTCGTTGGAAACAATCGACGAAAACAAAAAGTTTTATTGCTATTAAGATGTTGAATCCAGAATTCAGAGATCAATATTTAGCACAATTTCTAGACTTAGCTGGGCAATGGTCTCTTTTACGCTCAAACGTCATTGTTAAGTTTCATGGTATAACACTGCGAAATTTATTTTCACTTGTAATAGAATATGTTAGTCTGGGGCAACTGGATGAATATCTTAGAAATAATAAGAAAAACATTAAAAGTGTGGATCTAATGCAAGCCAGTGCTGATTTAGCATCTGCACTTTGGTATTTGGTAAGTCACAGGATTATAAATTAATAAATAAAATAATTGGATTGGTTTGCAGGCCGAAAACGATATTATACATGGAAAAATCAGGTGTAGGAAAATTTTGGTTGCTTGTCACGACGAAAAGAATTTTAATGTTAAACTATCAGATCCTGGAGTTTATACTGAGTACGCACCCAATGAGTATGTATTGAAAACGATTGTAAATTGCATAGAAATTGACTATTTTGCTACTTTTAGAATTCATTGGATTCCAGTTGAGTTTTATCAGAATCTTCACGTTAGTTATGCACGACAGTCTCACACAACGGATGTGTGGGCCTTTGCAACTACTGTGCATGAAATATACATGCAAGGTGAACCGATTGAGAATACAGCTGATGCGGAAATTATGAAAGTAAGGCATCATCGATTAATTTTAGTATTGTTTACAATTAAGTTCAATTTGTAGCAATTTTATATAAGCGGTAAACGATTACCAATACCCAAATTATGTCCACCGGAAATTTATTCCATCCTCTTGGAATGTTGGAATACTGACCCGGCAAGTAGAAAACGACCGCAAGAAATAATGCGTGATTTTAATCAAATGTTATATGAAGTATACAATTCGCGACAAGAGCACGTCTACGCTCAGGTGAAGTCTTTCGACACGCGGAGTCTTGAAAGTTCTCTTTCAATGGCTACGGAAACTACGTCCATTGCTGGAACTGAAGATAATCATTCAATAGAAGACTACAATATGTCCAAGTGGAGTCTGGATGACGATAACACATCCCTTATATTACCGCCGGCCTTAAACGAGCTTGATAACAATTTATTCAGTCCGAATCTCGCGCATCATTCTATGTTTAACACTCGTAAAGCGTACTTGTCTGGTTTGTCATATGTGTACGATTTGGACCAGGACTATCGGGTTATTTTACAAGGGCGTATTGGGCAGGGATTCTACGGAGAAGTATACAAAGGCATGTTGGAGCCTGTTTTGGATAACAATAAACCATATTCCGAAGAAAATCGACAGGTTGCAGTGAAGAAACTAAAGTCATCAGCGACAGGATCCGGTCAGAAAGAATTTGAAGAAGAAATTAAAATAATGAAGAGTTTAAATCACAAAAATATTGTGCGTATTTTAAGCGCGCTTAGTAGTGAGGAAGGAATTATGATGGTTATGGAATTCGTACCGCACGGATCACTCGAGACATATCTAAAGATTAATAAAGATACTTTGCACGATCAGCAATTGCTTCGATATGCATCGGGCATTGCCGAGGGTATGGCCTACTTGGGCCAGATGAAAATTGTTCATCGGGATTTAGCGGCGCGAAATATTCTGGTTGTTGATGAGAACCATGTAAAAATTAGTGATTTTGGTCTTGCTCGTGTCATTACATCAGAAGACTATTATATTCTTAAAACTGACCGGGAGTTACCGATAAAATGGTAAGGTAAATAACATATCAATAAAAATAAATATTATATTGTACATTTTATAGGTATGCCTTGGAAAGTTTACTGCACGGAAGATTCTCTTCAAAATCGGACGTCTGGTCTTATGGGGTGACTTTAGCGGAGATGTATCTACGAGGCGAGGATCTTAAACTTCCTTTTGTAAGCCAAACAGATGTACCTGACCACGAACAGCTTGTTAAAGCACTAGAAAGTGGGCTAAGGTAAATTTGTATTATTTTACATTACAATATTACTTGACATTATTGGTTTTTAGGATTCCCTGCCCACCAAAATGTCCACAGTCAATTTATGTTGATGTGATATATCCTTGTTGGAATGCAGATTCGCATCAAAGGCCAACGTTCCAGGCATTACACCAGCGCATTTCTGAATTGTTACAACAATATTAGCGTGTAAATATTTCGTAACTTAAATTAAGGATTCAAGTTATATTTTTGTGCCATATTCATGTATATATTTGTCTCACACATTAAAAACTTACAACGAAGCAGAAGTGTGTGAAACATTTATTCTGGGACAGTTTTATACTACAGAACTTATTGAGAATGAATGTCGAGTTGTCCGTTTAATTTTCCTGGCAATTCAAGGTGTGCGAGGTTGTTTTTTGTTGTGATGCGATTAAAAGTGCATTGCTCGTTGCTTCAGTTGCGTCGTGCTTGTCGTGGTCTGTGGGTCGTCCGCACGTGCTCGCGTTTCGGCGCCAGGTTGCTCTATAATTTGATTCGGACATTCGTATAACTGCAAAGTTTGCAGTGCAAACCTTCTTTGCCTTTCTTGAAGTGTTGCAGAGGACTACTTTTTGCTTGTTATAGGTGTTCTGCACCCGAGCACGACATCGTAAGAGAACCATTCTTGCATCAGATTGTAAGAATTTAATTCCTTTATCGTTTTCATAACTAATTTTTGTGTTGGAAACGACTACTTTTTGCTTGTTTTAGGTGTTCTGCACCCGATCCCGATATCGTAGGAGAACCATTCTTGCATCAGATTGTAAGTAATTAATTTCTTTATCGTTTTCATAACTAATTTTTGTGATTAGCTCATGAATTAGTGACGAAAATTGCATTTTTGTGTTGCAAAGGACTACATTTCGTTTGTTTTAGGTGTTCTGCACCCGATCCCGATATCGTAGGAGAACCATTCTTGCATCAGATTGTAAGTAATTTATTTCTTTATCGTTTTTATAACTAATTTTTTTGATTAGCTCAAGAATTAGTGACGAAAATTGCATTTTTCTGTTGGAAAGGACTACATTTTGATTGTTTTAGGTGTTTTCCATCCGATCCCGATATCGTAGGAGAACCATTTTTGCATCAGATTGTAAGAAATTTATTTCTTTATCGTTTTCATAACTAATTTTTTAGGTGTTCTGCACCCGATCCCGATATCGTAGGAGAACCATTCTTGCATCAGATTGTAAGTAATTTATTTCTTTATCGTTTTCATAACTAATTTTTGTGATTAGCTCATGAATTAGTGATGAAAATTGCATTTTGTGTTGCAAAGGACTACTTTTTGCTTATTTTAGGTGTTCTGCACCCAAAGTCGACATCGTAGTAGAACCATTCTTGCATCAGATTGTAAGTAATTTATTTCTTTATCGTTTTCATAACTAATTTTTGTGATTAGCTCATGAATTAGTGAAGAAAATTGCATTTTTGTGTTGCAAAGGACTACTTTTTGCTTGTTTTAGGTTTTCTGCACTCGATCCCGATATCGTAGGAGATCCATTCTTGCATCAGATTGTAAGTGATTAATTTCTTTATCGTTTTCATAACTAATTTTTGTGATTACCTCATGAATTAGTGACGAAAATTGCATTTTTGTGTTGCAAAGGACTATATTTCGCTTGTTTTAGCTGTTCTGCACCGAAGCCCGATATCGTAGGAGAACCATTTTTGCATCAGATTGTAAGTAATTAATTTCTTTATCATTTTCATACATAACTTTTATGAAAACTTATGAATTAGCGAGAAAAATTGACTTTTTGTATTTCCAAGCACTGATTTTTGCTGATTACTGAAACGGTTTGTTTACATTTAGTCATTCTGAATAGTTTTTGGATTATATATAACATGGATTGTGTTTTATTAATTTTCGTTCAAGTGAGTGAAATAGAAATACCAGGGTGAGCTGATAGCACGTGAGTAAGAATAAGAGAGCAATACTCTAAGTGTCATGCTCAATCCATGTTCTCTATATGATCTGCAGAATTTTCTGCACCTTGTTTATGCTCTCAGTTCGACCTTGGCTTGCGCAGCACGCTGTGCGCTGACATTTGAAATTTGAACAGTACCGCACCGGTCGCCGTATCGGCTTTAAGTGACAATTCGCTATACTGCTCAGAACATCTTGCGCGGTCGTATTGGCTGTTGTTTTTTCGTGTTTAGTCAGTCGGTGGTACGCAATTGTGCTGCGTGTTGTGTTTCACCGCCGGTCTTCATCGCGACTGTTAGCATTTCGGGAGACTTTAATACGGTGCGAGCCTTATAATTGTTTAGTCATCGATTGCTATCAACTACTGAACAAGTGATTTATCTTGAATCGACTTGAGACTCAAGACACCACGTGCGCGTGTTTGAGCCATCGGCCGCCGGCCGTCGGATCTCTTTCGTTGGGCTACGGATTCCAATTGGATTTATAGTCCAATATGGATTTGTTAATTAGAAGAGACAAATCACGCGATTTCTCTGGGTGGCATAGTTGTTTGTGCAAAAGTAATACAGTGAGTAATAACATCAACAAACAATTCTACTTTGTGTGTAACGTTTGATACGAGAGCGTTGTGGCTTGATGGTACGTAAGATATGCCTTCGATTGTACGTACGTTCGTTTTATTAAAACAGGAGGAAGAATGTATGTTAAATATAATTAATAAAACTCAATTTAAAATTAAAATATTATTCATACTTTTTGGTAACATCCTCTTTGTAGTTTTCAGGATATGCGTCTTAAATCATATTTCATATGAAGCTTATGTGAGTGCAACATAGCGAAGGCTTGTGTTGTTGTTTTAAAAAGTTGAATAAAGTAGAAACATAAATAGAAGAATCAAATATTAATGGTAAAAACACTCGGTGGTCGAGTGGAGACGTGCACCTGCTGGCATGCTAGCAGACACGGATCGAATCTCAGGTATAGAAGGCATTTTTCTCAAATATAAAAATATCAGGTGTAATTTGGGTTGCATATATGAATTGCAACGAAATATAAGAGAAATTGAAAACATGTGAAGGCAATACGAGAAGTAAGAAAGTAAGTGGAGAAACGAGAACAGAGAAATAGAAGAAGGAGTAGTAAAGAATAGGAGAAGATAGAAGGAAGAGAACAGAGAGTAGAGCAGAGAAAAAGAGGAGATAGAAGAAAGAGAACAGGGGAGGATCAGATTTTTAAATTTTTTGGCACGTGTCGTTATAAGACAGTCTACGGTCGATCTCCCAGAGCGCCTCCGGCGCTCTGGTCGATCGCCCACTACTCCGATGTAGCCATTGCTCCCGGCCCAACCTACAGCTACGATGTCTCTGCGCTTCATCCCCGAAATTATCAGGCATATCAACAATTTTTATGGTGGGGGATCACCCCCAGAGAGAGGGAACTCCTTATAAGGACAATCCTTATAAGGTCTTGTTGAAATATTTCTAAGTTTTAAGTCGCCTCAAGAGAGGTGACACTTAAAAATATTCTTACAAGTTCTGACCTGTAGCTGAAATGAAAGAAGGAGTACACAAATCATACAGGTTACCTTAACAATTTTTGTAGAGGGGATCATCCCCTGAGAGAGGGAACTCTCTTAGAGACCTGTTCCTGAAATGATAGAAGGGGTACACACAAATCAAAGAAGTCAATATATCTTACTATTTCTTTATTAACAATAGAATACAAGTTTAGATTTTACAAGTCAACAAAATACATGCCGCCCTATTGAAACAGGACTTACGACCTGCATAGCCGCAAACATGCAAGCAAGTAGCAAAGTACTGCCGAGATAAAGAAATTAATTAAATACTTAATTGCGTGATTACACATGGAAACAAATATACAGGGAGTTACAAAAATAAAATTTAAAATACAAACAAAAAACTCTAAACGCTACAAACGTCGCTCGTTTTCATCGACAATCAGGAAAACTAATATATATAAATTACAAATAGGAAATTCAAAGTGAAAAGAAAAAAAAACTAAACATAACAATTAAAGCTAAATTTTCACAGACAATATGGAAAATGAATATACAGGGTGCTACAAAAAGAAAATCAAAAGTTCAAGAAAGAAAACACTCGGGAATGACAAATTTAGAAAACTTGTAATACGTCATTAAGAAAAACAAACATACAGGGTGTTACAAATAGGAAATTCCTAATAAAATACTAATATTAAGTAGAAAACGACCCGGAAGTGATAAATTTAGTCAGTTTTACATTAGAAAGCACGGAGAAGTAATATATAGGGTGATATAAGAAGAAAATAGCTACATTTAATTAGAAAATACAAAATATTCGATTCAGATAATTAGATTCACGAGAAGGTGACACAACAAAACTACATCTACATTTTGAATTAAGAATAGAAAGCTAGAAGAAAAATCAAAGAAAATTTAAATTTAAAAAATGTAAAATTAAAAAAGAAAAGGTGGGAAAGCTAGGTGATAGATAAATAAAACATCAATATGAATTTTATTGCAAACCTAAAATTTTGATTACGACGGGTTCTCCAGATACGCCACAAGCAAGGCAAAATGTGTCGTCCGACGGCAAGTCATGTACACACGCGAGAAGAAATTTAAATTGTCTATTATAACACGTCTCCGCGATTGGAGCATTATGACATCAAAAGAAAATGCGAGCTAAGAAAAATTCACGTTATTAAATAGATGATTGACAGGGAAAAAGCAAAGTCTGCAGCGAAACCGAAGACGCATCCGACGGCACGCGTCCATTTTGAGTTATTATGGTGAGTACCATAATTACACGTGATTTAATGGATGAAGCACAAGTTTTATTATCATTTTACCCGGAACTCATCTTTCGCAAAACACAACCGATATCTATGCCAATTTGAAATTAATAAATAATAATGTAGTTAATGTAATCGAAATGAATAAAAGGAAGATGCCGAGCGGCATGCAGGTAAGAACAGACTGAAATGGTCGAACGTTCGTAGCGTGAACGCAACATTGCGCGCGTTTATCGCGATACAAAAAGTTGTTTATACGCAAACCCCGATAAGCGCGTAGAATTGAAATCGAAACATTTCTGATGTGCACTTAAATAAAATAAAATATAATGTTTCACATCAGTTATAAACTCAGTCATCTTAATGATGTATAAATGAATATGGGAGCGATATTTATTTGATTCACCTAGCAACTGTTGTGAGTTGCAATCTACACTGTCCCCGCGATCACAAAGCAGCCGGACAATCAACGCGCAAATAATAAATAACATTACTCTAGTGATTACAATTAAATAGTCGAGTGATGATTAAATATAATACAAACAATACGAGTCACGTAAAATTAACTGAAAAATTAATGAAAAATTAAAATTCGATTTGCGTAATTATGATTTCTTGTGCTGGCAGAGTGCCAAATTTTACATCAAATATTTAAGTGATATCAGTTTAAGTGAATACTTGCTTAAATTTATGATGCCAATATAAACTGCAAGATGTGATTTTATTCCAAGAAATAAAGATTCGATATCTGCAGGTAAACAAACTTATCTCTTGCGTGAAATCGCACGATCGCACACGGACACGATGTGCACTCACTACCACCCACAAGCAATATTTAACGCGAAAACGTGCATCGTAGTGGTACGGAATTTTCTAGCAATAAATTTTGATACAGAAAGATACAAAATTAAATTCTTCATGTAGGAAAATTACTCCAAACCATGTTGTACACCGCGTTCCCGTGCTACACTAAAAAAACTATAATTCCTAGCGCACCGAGTACTAGTGCGTATACACACAATTTTCAATATAACTCGCGTTACGGAATTTTCCCGCAATAAATTTTGATACAAAAAGATACAGAATTAAATACTTCATGTAGGAAAATTACTCCAAACCATGTTGTGCACCGCGTTCCCGTGCTACACTAAAAAAACTACAATTCCTAGCGCACCGAGTACTAGTGCGTATACACACAACTTTCAATATAACTCGCGATACGGAATTTTCTACTAATAAATTTTGATACAGAAAGATACAAAATTAAATTCTTCATCTAGGAAAATTATTCCAAACCATGTTGTACACCGCGTTCGCGTGCTACACTAAAAAAACTACAATTCCTAGCGCACCGAGTACTAGTGCGTATACACACAACTTTCAATATAACTCGCTATACGGAATTTTCTACTAATAAATTTTGATACAGAAAGATACAAAATTAAATTCTTCATCTAGGAAAATTATTCCAAACCATGTTGTACACCGCGTTCGCGTGCTACACTAAAAAAACTACAATTCCTAGCGCAACGAGTACTAGTGCGTATACACACAATTTTCAATATAACTCGCGTTACGGAATTTTCCCGCAATAAATTTTGATACAAAAGATACAGAATTAAATACTTCATCTAGGAAAATTACTCCAAACCATGTTGTGCACCGCGTTCCCGTGCTACACTAAAAAAACTACAATTCCTAGCGCACCGAGTACTAGTGCGTATACACACAATTTTCAATATAACTCGCGTTACGGAATTTTCACGCAATAAATTTTGATACAAAAGATATGGAATTAAATTCTTCATCTAGGAAAATTATTCCAAACCATGTTGTACACCGCGTTCGCGTGCTACACTAAAAAAACTACAATTCCTAGCGCACCGAGTACTAGTGCGTATACACACAACTTTCAATATAACTCGCTATACGGAATTTTCTACTAATAAATTTTGATACAGAAAGATACAAAATTAAATTCTTCATCTAGGAAAATTATTCCAAACCATGTTGTACACCGCGTTCGCGTGCTACACTAAAAAAACTACAATTCCTAGCGCACCGAGTACTAGTGCGTATACACACAACTTTCAATATAACTCGCTATACGGAATTTTCTACTAATAAATTTTGATACAGAAAGATACAAAATTAAATTCTTCATCTAGGAAAATTATTCCAAACCATGTTGTACACCGCGTTCGCGTGCTACACTAAAAAAACTACAATTCCTAGCGCAACGAGTACTAGTGCGTATACACACAATTTTCAATATAACTCGCGTTACGGAATTTTCCCGCAATAAATTTTGATACAAAAAGATACAGAATTAAATACTTCATCTAGGAAAATTACTCCAAACCATGTTGTGCACCGCGTTCCCGTGCTACACTAAAAAAACTACAATTCCTAGCGCACCGAGTACTAGTGCGTATACACACAATTTTCAATATAACTCGCGTTACGGAATTTTCACGCAATAAATTTTGATACAAAAAGATATGGAATTAAATTCTTCATCTAGGAAAATTATTCCAAACCATGTTGTACACCGCGTTCGCGTGCTACACTAAAAAAACTACAATTCCTAGCGCACCGAGTACTAGTGCGTATACACACAACTTTCAATATAACTCGCTATACGGAATTTTCTACTAATAAATTTTGATACAGAAAGATACAAAATTAAATTCTTCATCTAGGAAAATTATTCCAAACCATGTTGTACACCGCGTTCGCGTGCTACACTAAAAAAACTACAATTCCTAGCGCAACGAGTACTTGTGCGTATACACACAACTTTCAATATAACTTGCGTTACGGAATTTTCCCGCAATAAATTTTGATACAGAAAGATACAGAATTAAATTCTTCATCTAGGAAAATTATTCCAAACCATGTTGTACACCGCGTTCGCGTGCTACACTAAAAAAACTACAATTCCTAGCGCACCGAGTACTAGTGCGTATACACACAACTTTCAATATAACTCGCGATACCGAATTTTCTAGTAATAAATTTTGATACCGAAAGATACAAAATTAAATTCTTCATCTAGGAAAATTATTTCAAACCATTTTGTACACCGCGTTCGCGTGCTACCCTAAAAAAACTACAATTCCTAGCGCTGATCCCGAAATATAGCCAAATTTCCACCTCCTGTTTCAAAAAATAAAAGCTAACAAGATCCGAAAAGAAGTTAAAGCATCATGAAGGGTTCCCAAAATATAACCAGTTTTCTACCGCAAGTTTGGAAAAACAAAAAAAAGGGGCAAACTTTAGCGGTCATTTTGTGAAACATTTTGAGAATATGCAACATGTGGCATGAGGAGATGGCAACGCGATTTTCTCAGAAACTAAACGCGATGGAAAGATTCGGATTGAATATTCTTAATTCTCTACAAGATAAACCAGTCAAATAATTTAAAAAGGGTAGCGGTAGAAGTGACTCCCATTCAGGGCACCGTACGAGGCTAGCGGTAAAAGTGACTCGTGTTCAGGGCACCGTAGGGAGTAACGGTAGAAGTGACTCGTGTTCAGGGCACCGTACGAAGCTAGCGGCAAAAATGACTCGTGTTCAGGGCACCGTACGATACTAGTGGTTAAAGTGACTCGCGTTTAGGGCATCGTACGAGGGACCGCTACCCTCCAAGTGACTCCCATTGCGAAAAATGGTGCGGTATTCTGTTTTTTCATAATTTAGGGAATATTTTTTAAACTAAAAGCGCTAGCGACCAGCCGATCGAAATTATGAAAGTTTGGAAAATTCTCTATAAGATATCATAAGAAAATAATTAAAATATGGGCTATAAAGGTTCCGAAATCGTGTTTTCTCCGATTGTGAATATCTCCAAAACTAAAAGAGATACAGAGGAACGGATTGAAACACGACTGTCTTGTGTCTTTGCAACACGCGGTGGAACGCGAAAAAAAAAACGTAAATACAAACTTATGTACGACGCAGGAATTAAAATGAAAAATATAATTGAATTATAAACCTACCAATGCAGATCACATCGGACTCCAAGGCACGACAAATACTGTAAATAAGAAAAGGAAACATTATATTCATGTAATATTATATTCAAGCAGCGGAGAAAAATAAACATCTATGCTGTTTACACCAGCACGATGGGTCAACCTAATGATTTAATGACTTTAAGTTAATGACATAATCGACATTTATGGACAATAAACGCGCAAACAGAAAATAACATTACTATAGCCGATTGATGATCGAGTATAATGCGAATTTGGAAAGTAGGTAGATGTCCGGACAAACAATACGAGTCGCGTAAAATATTGGATCAACCAAATACCGGTATGAAACTGGCTGCAAACTGTGCAAGCAACGACGCGACGAAAGCAATAGATGCGCATAGCCAGTGGTACGCCGTTGGTAGGCGACCTTGTGTGCGAATCGCTTTGGCACCTTATCTGCGATAAAACTAAACTAAGATGCGCCAACATGCGGCGTGAGGGGATCTCATACGTGGTATTCTCGCGGCGATTGCGATAAGAAATTGAAAGTTGTGTTCAAAACAAACACAATTCTAGTGTCGAATGCTCGCGCTTGCTGATAGCTATAGAAATAAACAATTCATGTCTATTTTACAAATTTTGTTAATGCTAGTGCCATCTATAAATAATGCAAATAATACGCCCGGAATTTGGATTAAAAAAAAATAATAATAAAAATTTAAAATTCGAATTATGTAATTCAGATTTCTTATACTGAAAGATTGCCCGATTTTACACAAATTATTTTAGCGATATTATATTCAATAGAACAAGACGGATTAAAGATTGAAAGGAACGAATCGCAGATTCTTAATCTACCGACTATATATACTCTATAAAATAAGCTAGTTAAATTGGAAATTTAAGTATTGAAAAAAATCATCCTCATTTGTTGCCCAAAATACGAGTCACTTCTACCGCTACCCTCGTACGGTGCCCTGAATGGGAGTCACTTTCACCGCCAATTGCAATTAATTGAAATATAACTAAATAAACAAAGAACAATCAACGTTCTTGACATATTTAAGTCAATAAACTTGAATAGTGCATACCTTTTAAACTAGAAGCGATAGCGACCAACAGATTGAAGAATATGAAAGATTGGAAAATTTTCGATAAGATAAAAATTAAAAATAATTCAATTCTTTGGGTCCTAAAGAGTTCACTTTTTTTGATTTTAGTAAAAAAATAAGCAATAATAATATAATCGCTTCGCTTGAAGTGACAACACCAGCCATGCAATTTTAAACACATTTATGAATATAACAATCTATAAAACACTACAAAAATATGATAATAAAGAAAAAACGGCCGAAATAGAATCAATTATTGCGGTTGAGAATATTATCAAATTCACTTACTGGTTAGTATTGTTAAACTTCCATCGTAAACGGCATCCGGCGGCACCCCGCTCACGAACAAATACACAATATTTTCATTTCGCGAACATCTTATAAGCGATAAATCATTAGCATTAGACACAATAAGTCAAAATAATCACTAAGAACACCGAAAGTAATACGCGTTACCGAATTAAATCCTAAGATTATTCCTACGTATCTCCTCGATTCTTGATCGAATGTAACACATTTATCGAATTACTGTTTTGCGAAACATGGCGTACCGCACCGACCACAAACCACAATAAATAGAGAGGCATGCAAACAGCACCCGGCGACGGCGAACGACAAAATACCACTGCCCGAATGCAACTTACTTAAATTCTAACGCAGCGCGTGAGTTCTCACGGCACACAGGTTCACCGCTGTAAATAAACAAACAACTGATAACAAGCAATCGACTACGCCACATCGCGTAGTACAGAACTGGTTTCCATCAAGGCGCTTCGAATTTAATGCAAATATGTGCTTACTAGCGACATCTTGGCTCACTTTATAAAGTAATGATAAAGTATGACGTGCGCATCGCGAGATTTAAGACGGATACGAGTTTCGCACTGAGATACTCACGCTCTGATATCTACCAACAAACAACATTCATGCACTATTTACACGTTCATTTTTAAATAGACCAACAGATCAATTTGATCGAATTATTAAAAGAAAACATGAGATTTTATAAGTTATTCGTAATAAATGCCGAAACATAGCCCAATACCAAACAAATTCATATTCTCGTGCACATGCAGAGCGTATTGGTCTCTCTCGGCATCCCAGAGAAAGCGCATCATCATGAAGACATCCTGGCAGAGCTTCTCTCCAATCGATACATAACAAATAATTTTATACCTTCAAACAGCACAATTTCAATATGAACTTGTTTTACAGCATTATAGTACAGTTATACCTGTCAAATTCTTGCTCTTTTACTTTTGCTCGAATCGCACTCGACGCCCATTTAGCTTGCTTTGAACATTTGTCTGGATCATAAGTTAAATCCTGCAGAGCTTCTTCAAGAACTTCTTGCAATATTTGCTCCACTTTCTCATGATTGAACGGCCTATCTGAGTCTAGTTTGTAGCTGTTTTGAAATTTTGGCGCCTGTAAAATAATTAATTACATAAATATGATTGTAAAATAATTATTAACAAACTGGTTTAGAAACTGCAGCACTTGTTGTGCTCTCCATGGTGGACTAGTCAAGACTAACTTAATAATACAAACTATAACATGTTAACCGGGTTATTTTGGAAGAATGGTACAGGGTTGCACTACGACCTAAATTCTGCTGTAGTTAATAAAAGACAAATTAATGTATACTTTTTGTCGATCGAAGTAGGTAGGATCTCCACGCCTAATTGAAATAATACTCCCCAAAACCCTCTGTTTCTTCTTTTCAAGCAATTCTTTTTTTGTGCCAACGTCCATGCTGTAGAAAATTAATTATGTAACAATTTTAACATTTGTACAGTTTAATTTAGATATTACCTGGAATCTTTTAATATATCGATAAGGGAGTTGGATTTCTCTATTAGTTGCATATCCTCCGGGCCCTGCTCAGGTTCCTCCATTGACACTCGTCGTTCAGCTTTAATGGCACTTTCACTGAGTTGATCATCTCTGCTCAGAGAGCGTTCCATAGAAGCTTCATCGTCAATATAGTCTTCTTCTTCTACAGCTTGATCCTCTTTCAAGACATGAATTTCTTCAATCATACCATCAGCTTCAAGAACTTCTATTTCTGGATTGTGGAGAAAGTCGGCATCACCTGCTGGATCGCCAATGGTTATTTCTTTCTGGGGTGCCGAAGAAGCAGACAGTTTTGATACTCTAGGTACCTCTTCAACCGGCACAATTTCCTCTGGAGGAGGTTCTTCAGGAATCACTGTTTTAGAGATACCGGTCTCTGGTAGTGCTTCGTCTTCGACTGGTACTGGAGTTTCATCTGCTGGAGGAGGTGCTGCCTCAGACTCATCGGGTGGAGGTACATCTGGATTTTCTTCCACAGGAGGAGGTGCTTCTTCAACAGGAGCCTCTTCAGTTGCTGGAGGAGCGTCCTCTGGGGGTGACTCTTCTGCAGGCGCGGGTTCTTCATCGGCCATTTGATATCAATTGATTTTTAAAAATGTAAATAAAATGTGTCAAGATTCAATGTCAATGTGACAAGTTATGCAAATTGTATCATATTATTTGTTTTTACATTGTTTTATAATTCCTTTATATTATTTTTAAGAATTACAAATTGAGAGCGCTTCTAATTTATTGGGCCGTCTTTCGAACTATGGAACCATCTTCAACTAGTAATACGTACTCCCAAGTATTGGCTGAATTTTATGGCCTCTATAAATTTGATTCATTCAATCTGAAAACAAGACAAAGGCTAGAAAATAAGTCGATAGTTTATGTAATTATTTTTTTTATTCCTTATCATGAAAAAAATGTAAATTATCCTACGTGTTCATCATCGCATTAATAATAATAATTAACGTGTGTGTGTGTGTTGTGGCTGCGCACTTTGCTCGATGCCTAAACAGATTTCTTATTGTTTATTTCCTCGCATGTTGAAACGTACGCTTTTAAGAGACACGATGCATAATTTATCTTTGAATATATTAAACCGATATATCTACACATGCTGCTGCTGCTGCTCCTTCATCTCCGACATCCAACGTGATTCGCGCTCAACCAGGAAATACGATTTGCGCCTATTTTATTCGTCTCGCAATTAATCAATCAATTATGTACATGTACAAGTCGAAATCAAGCACACAAAAATTAAAATACTTTCGTTTCGTGTTGATCAAGTAAAAACCGTGTGTCGTGTCGTAAGTGTGATTGGGGGAAAACAATCGGAGGTAGAAGTATTTCTGTTGATGCGCTCGCTTTTGCTTCCTTTTTGGTTTGCAACTCTCAACAATGTTTTTACGCGTCCGCATGACCGCGCGCACTGATGCACTAATTGTCCGTTCTGATTCTAGCACTCCGATCTAGTCTAGCACAACCACCTGCAAGTCCTCCTTGGAACGCACTACTCGCCAGGGCTTTCTCGCAATCCTTCGAATTTCCGTCACCGAGATGGCTTTGCGTATTTTTCTACAACAAACAAAGCAAAGCGATTATTGTATGAGGTGGACACATTATAAAAGTTAGAAAAACCTACTTGCTGTTCTCGGTGGCTCGGAAGTATAAGTCATCCGGGGCATCCATCCAGCTGATGACCTGCTTTCGTCCGGAGCCGGTCCTCGTCATGTGTGCTATCTTCGGCTTGCCGTTGATAAGGGAGACGTGACGAGGCAGTGACTGCGTCGCTGGCGTCGGCAGCTGTGGCGGCACGTTGGCGACGACGGGTGTGATGGGCTCCTGAATGGGCCGCTGCATTCCCATCGGCAGCTGGTGGTCTTTGGAAAGGCGCTTTGCGGGAGGGTTGGCAAGCGTCGGTCCTGCAAACACATACAAACGCCACCATTAGCTCACGCCCTACCAGGTACAACGCGGGCGCCAAGAGCATCCGTGAACTCCGCGAACTCACCATCGTCCCAATCCAAATCGGAATAGAAGCCAGTGGGTGGGACAAAAAAAACGAACATTACATAAACGTACGGCATGTCGAGACGGGGTGTGTGCGCTGTTGAGGCGTTAGGGGAGGCAAGGATACTTACTGTCGGTGATGCCGTTCATGTCGTCGAAGGCGGCGCGCCGCTTCAGCGACGGCGACATGCTGTTGAGCGGTATCTTCTCCGCCTCCGGCTTGTTGGGAACGCGTTCATACATCAGGCTGCCATCCGGCGCCTTCGGTGGTTTGGGATACGCAACCTTCTCCGGCTTGGGCAAATCTTCCTTCTTGGTCAGGATGAGCCACTGCGCCGTGGGGCCGACTGGCGTGCCCAGCCGGTTGGCAATCTGCGTTACGCTACCGCGTTGTTTCTTTTTGTACACCAGCAGCTGCTTCAACTCGGCTATCGTCTTACCCGTCATTTGCGCACTACACTCCTGCTTGACAGCCTGAATGTTGATGGCAAAGAACGGCGCGCGCGCGGCATGCCTAGGTCGCATCATTGCTCGACACAGTCGACGTGAAATGCGCGTTATCGGCGTTGTGCAGAGATAAAACGCTGTGCGTGTCTTCATTATGGGCCGTGGTGAGCCTGAGCGCACCATAATACCGTGCGCGGTCGCATAGTGCTTAGCGAGGTGTGCCTTCAGCTTAAACTCTTTCATGCAGCCGCCAATATTGCAGCGGTGCGGTCGGTGCGACAATGAAGACGTCACCTTTTCGTCCTCGTTGTCGCTACCGGACTTCTTCTTGCCACCAGTGGCGTCAAAGTCACATTCTGCAAAACGCGACGGAATCTTCAAACCGCCGTAGCGCTTCCAATACTGCCAGCACTGCTGACACACGCGGCATTGTGTTTGCGTTGGTCCCCAGGCGTACCACTGACTTGAGACCGTCACTGAACAATCAAAAAACCACAATTAATTAAAATCGCATAAAGCTGGTACAAGAAGAATAACTAACCATTGCATGATTCACAAGATTTGCCACCGAGTGAAATGGCGGGATCCGAGCTGCCATTGCTGTTGCCGTTGACGACGCCACCCTTGGTCGCCGAATTGAGCGCGGCCGGATTTGGTTTGTTGTAGTTAGGAATGTAAACTTGCTTTAGTTTTGACTCGGCTTCCACCGCTTTGACGCGCTTCTGCTGAACGTAGCGGTCGGTCGTCTTCCACATGTAGTAGTACTCGATTATATTCTTGAGCGTTTTCCACGGCAAAAAGTCTTGACGGATGTCGTTAAAATCTTTGCCGTATTTGTCAAGCGCCTCCTCAAAGAGGTTCGCTTCTGACGCGCTCCACTCTTCCATTTCGTCGCGGCATAACACCGGTCCGCTGCTGGGCACCAGTGAGCTGAGCGCTTTGGAGAGGTCGTACGAGTGCTTGTGCAGCGTATCCATGGCGTGGAAGAGTGTTATATCGCGGCTGGCGGCCGCCGCCGACATATGCAGCGATGGCTGCTTCACACTCGAACTGCAGTCGAGGGCGCGTGCGAACGTGCCCACCGAACGCGATACGACAAGGAACTGGTCAATCTGTCGGTCGGATAGCTCGTGCTCTGGTGTCCACACCAATGTCTCCAGTTCACTAAGCTCACGACCGTCCGTCTCGCCTGTTTTGAGCAGCGATGTCATGTCGCTCTGATAACGCGAGCCGACACGTATTTCACCCTTATCTGCCAGCAGTGTCTTCTGCGTGGGGTCAAACACGAGACAATAAAAGAACATGTCGTCCTTGTTCAGGTACGACTGCAGCGACTCTGTTTCATTGAACAATGTCACCGAGCATTTGCCGCGGATGTGTGTGGCTGGCAGCGTCTCCACCTGCCGCGAAAGAAACAGCTCGCGGTGCTTCATCTGGTGGCGTTGCTTCGACGATGTGCCGTTCTCGTTGTTTCGACTCGAATCGCTCGAGGGGCTCGCTCCGCTTGATTCATCTAAGGCACCTAGAAGCGGAGAAAAAAATTCAAAATCAAAACTTTACTGAAAAAAAAAGAGTTCAAAGTCCTAATTCTTTTTCCGTAATTTATAAAGAAGAAGACTGAACATCCGGGAATCCGCGGCATACATATACACATCGTGCTTATCGCGCGCCTCGTGGATATCGATCTGTACACGGGGGTGGCGATGGCGGTGGGCGGTTGGTTTTGGTCGGGGGGATTAAAAGAGGAGACGGTGGTGGCGGAGGAGGTGAGGGACGCGCGCGCGGCACCGAAATGAATGGGTGACAGGCCAGGGCGGCGGGGACCTCGCGTTTGGATCTGCAAACACTACTAGCCGTCCCCGACCACCGAAACTTTCCCGCCCGATGCCACCTTGCCTCATTCCAATCGGTCACCCCCTCGGCGCAACCCGCATCTACCTAATTCGGACCAAATAAAATATTCGTTTTCGAGCGAACGAATTATTCGTACCGTGTTTAATGAGAGGCACTTCCGCTTCCTGCTCGCAACAATTGAAAAAACGAGCTTGAATTAGATAACAATCAACATCGAGAGTAACGAGTGCGTCTTAAATAGTATCATTAGAAATTTAAAGAAATTACTACGAGTTTTGTTTCGGAATATGTTTACATAAACTTGTCACGTTGCTTGTAATACATGTGTGTATTCGAAGGCACACGCACTCTTGTTATCAATACGAGAAAACAACAATGACGCGACAAAGGCAGGGACGCGTGTGTCGCTGAGACGGTGGTGCGCATTGAATTGAATACGATGAATGCGACCATTTGTTAGAGGCGCGCGACGCCGTGCGAGCATGTGCCGCGAGGAGCATGTGTGACGCTGCAGCGTCCAGTTTTTGCGTGTAATTATAAAAGTACAGTCGTGCGGAAAGAGCGAGTCCGGCCGGCTAGAGGAGGACCGCGCGCGCGTGGCTCGGCGGCGTGCACATCTCGCGCGCGGCTCGCCACCACACCGCCAGTTGTCATAGCGACCGGTGGGCCGCGCCGAGGGGTCGGGCGGGCGCGAGCGCTCGTTTCGCGCATTAGAAACGCGCGAGGCGGAGGGACGGTACAGCAACGGCAAAGATTTCGCGAAACACACATGCCCTTCCTCTCACCCACATCCTTCTCTCATCCACCTCAGAGACATCTACATTCATTAACGGCTAATTAAGAAGCGCCTCACGTACAAGTATCTTTTGTTTCGGATCAACATAAAACAAAAGAGGAAAAAGAAAAAATATTGTATTATTTTGTATTTTTGTATATTTTTTATATAAATACAAAAGAAATATAAATTTAAATTAATAATTTAGATTAACTTCAATCCACTGCAAGGGTGAAAAAGGGTTGGCGGCGAGATGAGCAACGCGTCGCGTGTGGCAGCGCCGCGACAGGTATGCAGTGCGCGAGAGGGGTGGGTGTGAGGCGGTTTGGTATGAGGGTTTCATTTACATTCGCGTCCCTCATGCATATGTGAGCGCGCGACGCCGGGTGGTGGTGGGCGCTCGGGGTGGCGCGGCGTCATTTCGTCCACGGAGCGCGACGCCGGCTCTCGGGGAATATCGATCGCTCAATCAAGACTCTTCGCGCGCGAGAGAGCGAGAGCGGGGGGTGGTGTGTGGTGGCTTGCCGAAAAGTGCCACACGCGAGCCACCGCCGCGACACGACCACCCTTTGTCCGACGGATTTAAATTAACGCGTGACTCTCCACAAGCGATTACAAAACCCCAACACACTGCCTTAGATTTGTTGCCGCGCCGGTGTGAAGCGTCTCGGAAGGAAGCGGAAACACCGGTGGAGCGAACGAGGGATGTGTTGCTTTGGCAGAAGCAGAAGCAGCAACAGCGGTGTTTGGCGCGCTGCCGAAACATGATATACGCACACGACGACGACCTACCCCAAAGTTGGCCGCCGCAACGCATTCTCACACATCGCGGGACATTTTTCAACCCCTACCGAGTTATGCATGCACACAACACGTCGATATAACCCAGTCATAACCAACCCTCAACGCTCCACGTGTTTATCATCGGCATATTTCACGCGCAACAGTGTGCCTAACACTGCCGGTTATTTAAACAATCCCACCACCAATTCCACGCGAATTAGATTATCTAATTATAAAATACGTGCGTTTCGTCAAGGACGCATAAATTTCACATTATTATAACGATATTCAGTGTCAGAAAATGGTTTATTTTTAATTGTAGTCATGTGCAACATGCGCAAAGAAAACAAATAGATCATACTCGGTACTCACATTGGTGTTTGTCAGCGAGCTGAATCAACTGGTTGGGCAGGTCGCGTCGTCTGAAGAAGCACATCACTTTCGCCTCCACGTTCCCCGACGCAGTCTTGTTAAGCTCCTCGATTCGCCGAATCTGGTACGGGGAGGTCGAGGTGCTTTCAAAGTACACGTAATCTGCAAACGGGACAAAGGCATCGTAAACACAAACAAATCAAACAAAAGAGAAACTGCCGAAAAACAAGATGGCGCACACAAAATAAATAAATAAGAAGAGTATCAACATAATATGCATGAAAAATAACAAATACTCAAATTACTCTCATTGCCATAATAATATAAATATGAACTACATTTACAATCTTTTCATTGTCTCGAGTTCAACGGTAAGCAATTTCGATAGCAAACAAATAAACGAAACAAAACAAACGGATCGGTTTACGAAGTATTAATAACCATTTATAGTTGGCTACCTCTCTCTCAACACACCGTGTAAACCAATGCGTGTATTTCGTGTAAGTACATGAACCGTTGGATCCCGTGTAAATTCGAGTGATTAGCGGGCGATAAGAGGCGCCCGGCCGGCAGGCACGAAAGAGCACCGTGCGGAGTGCCGGAGTTTCCCCCGTTTTGGTGAGTTTGAGCCGCGCGCGGCTGGCTCGCCGTCTCGCCACCTCGCCGCTGACTTAACTTGAGCAGCTTGATAATGAACACCCGCGGCTCGCCTAGATAACGCAAAACCCATCGCGTACTCAGTTCCGGACACACACACACACATACATACGCGTGCATACATACACCAATAGGTAAGCACACCTTTCCTATTCCTGGCTGTATTTTGTTTACACGCTTGCATAAATAAAACAAATAGAGAATTCGGGTAACAAATGCCGAACGCAAATAGAAATAGAAATAGCAAAATCACAACGTTCATCTCCGTCTAACCGGATAGGTCAGGTCGCGGTATTGTATTGTTTTCTTGTCTAACATCGGTAGAGTCTCGAAGCATGCGTCCTCTTCCGCAAAAACATAATATCTTGTTTTCATGCCATTTTGTCTGTGTACAATTATGAGTAATGCGGATGCAGGCCGGTGGATGAAACGGAAACATTTCCGAACATAACCCAAAAGCGGCGTGTAGGGTTGTGATTACTGCCGGCGCTGCCGGTGTTAATTAAAAATATCAATCGCTCACCTCCGACTCGATACATGTTGGCTGTCATCTTTCGCTCGGTTGGTGCACACTGGGGCGCCGGCACGAGAGCGCCGCTCGCACGGGGAAACAGCTCCGGCTGCGGCACAGGGTCGCCGTACGCTCGGTCGTGGGCACGCTCTCAACGGGCGACGCGCTCCAAGCGCATCGCTCGGGCGCGGGGCGCGCAAAAACCGCGGCGTTCGCACACGACGCCGATGCACACGCACTCTCGCCGCAGCGCGACCTAGACGGGGACGCGGATGCGCGTTGTTCGACGCACTATCGCTGAGCCGACGAGCACCGGGACACGCGCTTCAGTGTTTTCCGGCGACACGCATCGCCGCTGCGGCGCGCACGGACGCCATTTTGCATGCACTACGTCTACGCTGTTCACTCGCACGACGCACGGACACTCGCGGTGGCTCTTCGATGTGCTACGGCGTTTCGCACGTACGGAGCGGCACGGAGAGCGCAGCGACACTGTGCGGCCGTGTGAGTGTCGACGAGTGTTCCGCATTCGCGCGCCCTCTCACGCGTATATAAGCCACTGCCAACGCTGTTGCACTATAGGCTACCCAAACAACAATAACAAAAACAAATTTATCTGCAATCCAAAATTAAATTTGAAACAAAAAATGTTGCAAAGTAAAGGATTTGTATTTTGCATTTAGGTAACAAACTTATTTAATAAATAACAACTTACTCAACTACATCAATCAACCACCTTCAGCATGTTTATCCTGTTCAAAGGTCAATGCATAATAATATCCCTTCAGTTTTCGAAGAGATTCGTGTGTTCCCATTTCGACAATTTTCCCCTTACTTAATACAACAATCAAATCAGCATTCTTCACAGTTGACAACCTATGCGCAATAACAATCGTTGTTCTACCACAACTCGCATGATCCAGCGCATTCTGCACAATCTTTTCAGATTCTGTATCTAAAGCACTGGTTGCTTCATCCAAAATCAGCACCGACGGCTTTTTCAATAAAGCCCTTGCAATTGCAATTCGCTGTTTTTGTCCGCCAGACAACGCAGCCCCACGTTCACCCACCATCGTTTCATAACCAGCCGGAAATCCAATGATAAATTCATGCGCGTTCGCCATCTTTGCGGCGGCCATCACTTCATCGTCGGTGGCATCCGGTTTACCATATCGGATATTCTCCATTACAGTCGTGCCAAATAAGATGGGTTCTTGACTGATAAGACCCAATGCACGTTGGCGCAACCATGTTGGATCCAGAGTGCGGATGTCATGTCCGTCGAGTGTAATTGAACCGGACTTCACGTCATAGAAACGTTCCAATAACGCCACAACTGTTGATTTGCCGTTACCGGATGCGCCTACAATGGCGACTGTCTTACCAGCAGGCACGTGCAGAGTGAATTTATCCAACACTGTGTGTTCCGAGCGGGTGGGATACGCAAATTCAACGTCTTTAAACTCTAACTCGCCACGCAGAGTGTGGAATGGGATGGTTTTACCTCCGAGAAGTTTCATACGTGGCTCCATGTTGATGTACTAATGAAACAAAAGTATAAAACAAGTGTCTGCTTAAAAAGTTGCCTAGTTACCTCAAAAACGCGTGAACCAGATGCCATACCACGAATTACACTACCAAACAACAGCGACATCTGCCCTAAGGATCGTTGAATCGTTTGAGTAGCCATTAAATACGCCATCAGTTGACCTGGCGATAGTTGATCTGTACTTAGAAGATATCCACCCATGTAAACCACACCCAAAACCATCCTAAAACAAATTTGTTTACACTATTAATTTACATTTCGCGCTCGTAAATCTTTGCTTACCCGTTCAAAAATAAATTCGTGCCTGCTTGAAACAGACCAACACCTAAACCTAATTTTTGGTTTAAAACCATGGCCTCGACAGCTTCCTGATCGAATAAATTCGTTTCGCACTCCTCCATTGCAAAAGCTCTTACTGTTCTAATGTTACCGACAGCTTCATCGGCAACTGCTGTAGTTTTCTCCATTTGACTCTGAGCACGTCGTGAGGTTTTGCGCAACATGGCGCCGAATACAGTGCCCACCGCAACTATTGTTGGGATGCATAATAACGTAACAAAAGTCATGTGTGGTGAAATCATAAATAATGATACAGAGCAACCCAGAATTTGAGTGCCGGCTCGCAAACCACCTGAGATAGTTTGCTTGAAACTGCTTTTGAAGTCTTGAATGTCCGTCGTCAATCTAGGCAATCAAATAAACAAATTAAAGAAAATTCATTGAAATTTAACATTATACACACCGATTTATAATTTCCCCAGTGCGTTGTCGATCGAAAAACTCAATATCCTGTCTTACAATTGATGCAAACAAATCCTGCTTCATCTTGTATGCCATCCTCTCACCAATTATTGATAAATTGAAAATATATGCAAAAGTAAACAGTGATTGAGCAACATACATGCCAATCAACTTCAAAGCAGGCACTTTCATTTCATTCACAAATATCTCACTGTCTTTTGTTTCTGTAAACTTTGATATAACATTGATAACAGAACCCATCAGCTGTGGTATCTGAATGTTTAAAATTGCAACTACAAGTGCCCCCTAAAACAATAATTATAAATTAAACTCTTGCCACATCATAACTGTTCTTCTTTTAGACTTACAGCAATAGCACAAATGAAATAAATAAAACTGGGCTTCAAATAATGCCACAGCATGCTCCAATTAAATGGAATCTCATGCTCTTGGCCCTTTCTAAAGCCCACCATTCTAGTGGTCTGTGCTTTGCACAAAACATTATTATTAGAGTAAATTTTAAACAATCCAACACCAGTCAGTGAACTGCCAATGATGTTTACCAATTTGTAATTGACATTTTTGGTGCATGGTGGTTGTTTTGGGGGCTGTAATTTAGTGTAAAATTTTCGTACACTGTTTCTTGATAGTAAACTACCATTAGTTGTAATTCCCTTTAGAGAATATCTAAAATATTTATAAATTATGCAATGAGATAACCTTAAAGTAATTGAAACTAAGATTTATCAATTAAAAGTTGTTGAAATTTATACCTCAAAGGTGCATTTGCCGTGGAGGCAAACTGGCAAAGCTTCCACATGTTTGCAGATAGATGTTAACACTATTTAACTAGAGTTTATACGTCATTGTCGTTGAATAATTTGAATATTTACATTTTTGTAAGCAATGAAGAGAGTCAAGTCACGAAAGGCTAGTGTATAAAAAGTTGCCTATATTAAACATTTATAGCAAGAATTTGTTAAGCATGTATTAGGGATAACTTGGAACGTGTTCCAAAAGATAAGTGAAAACGCCACCGGTCTTTGCAGGAATGCGCGACTAAGTCGAATTAAAGACCAAACGAGAAAAGGACTTATCTGTGACTGTACTGTTGGGCGGTTCACACACGACCACAAACTATTAATTCCTAATAGTAATTTGGTCTATAGTTGCTAGAAACATCCTGAATATGGTAAAGGAAAGGAGGGGAGATCCTAAAATCCTGCGACTGAACAACTGGACGACTCAGCCATGACTGAACGCGTAGCGCAGTACAGTACTCCCTGCCCTTTTATGCCTGCGAACAACCCGCAAACGGTGGTGGGGGAAGCTGCACGGGTAGCCTCACTCATACTCTCCCCACCTTTTTTTGCGGGTGGCCCGCAGGTATAAAAAGGCAGGGCGCAACGCGCTCAGCCGTGCCTGAGTTATCCAGTAGTCCAGTTGCAGTCTCCCAAGTTCCTCTCCAGGCCCTTTCTTCAAGTCTTCGTTTTCGTAATCATTCCGCAAGCGGTTTTTAGCAAGCGAAATCAGCTTAAATTTTTATAGCAACTAAACAATTTTTTATTATACAGGCTCTTAAAACATACAATAATTTCACGCATTATATATTTCCTTTCATCTATGTGTAATCCACTTCAATTTTGCCGCTCGCCAAACAAGATGAAGTCTCATCGCCTGCCAAAACAGCCCTCCGTTAGCGGAAAGCCACGCAAAAAACTGATCAGTCTTGGAAATAAAGCATCTCTCCAGGCCGCTGCCGCTTGCGCGAGTGCAGCACGTACAACCACAATCGGGCACAAACATTGATAAATTACATTTACATATCGTTAGGTTTCGAATAATAATTATACGTGATAAATGGAGTGTTAAATGTATAGCGGTAAATGCGCAAGCCGTCGAATGTCGCCGAGTACACACAGAGCGAAAATTTCATCCAAAAAACATTTCGCATGTAAAAATGCGTAAAATTCTCAAGCAAAAACCGTCCTCCCACAAAAGTTCACATAAACGCATCATCATTCATAAAAACGTTTTCAAATTTTAGGCGTTAATGCAAGTGTAAAAAAGACTGTAATCGTAAGAATCTAATTAAAATTCATACAAAATTTGTAAAATCGTAAAAGAGTTTTGTAGATTGTTATAGGAGCTTCATTGTTTTTTTTTGTCAATTCGGCAGCCATTCTTCACATTTTCATCTCCTTTTCGCTTAATGTATGATTAAACGTGTAAATAATAAAAAAATATGTTATCATCGTAAAAAACTATACATGTAAGAAGCATGAAAAAATATCTCTCTGGCTTCGAGCGTGATAAACCGCCTCGAAGAATTTTACATTACATTACAGTTTGTGTGTGCACTACTTTTTGATTGTTTCCCTTTGTTTTTTTTTTTTCATCATCTAAGTGTCGTGTACAAAAGCTATGTCCTATCGTTTTTGGTCGTTTTTAGTTTCAAAAATATTTCTTAAGCATGTTGAGATATGCAAGATTTACACTGGGTGTTATCCTCGTTCCGTACATTAAAAAACTGAGAAACGCTACAGAACATTAATCAATAAAATATATGATGATATATATATAGTATAAAGTATTTAAAAATAATATAATCTCATCATCACTTAATTACTCCTCCTAATAAACGTCGTTCAGCGATTTCCTGCGATATTTTAAGTTCAATTATTTTTTTGTCGTTTTCATGTGTAATGCAATAATAATTACTAATTACTAATAAACCTATACATTAATATATAACACAGCACAAAATAAAAATGCGGCAATTATAAAATGCGTCTCCCCCCGTTTAAAATTAACATATATGGCATGTTGTGTATCGCTTGTCGAAAGTAATCGGAATGATCTGGCTCTAATTATCGAACTACTCAAATATTCGGCTGGGATGTGGGCATGACAGTGATAAAAATATGTAAATTATTAAAAAACGAATTTTTGGGATGTTTACCACCACAAAGAGGAGAGTTTAAAGTTGGTTATGGCGTTCAACTTGAAGCTTTCTCCTCTTCTTTATCTTTTGATTCTGAAATTACAAAAAAACAAAATCAATATATAAGTAATCAATAGCAAAAGTTAATAATTATAATAAATAATTACCTGCTGAATCGCCAGAGTCTCCATTAGTCATAACCTCTTCCTTCTTCTCCTCTTCGCCTTCCTTAGCAGCATCAGCCTTCTTGTCATCCTTCTTCTTTTCGGCCTCTTCATCCTTTTTCTCCTCAGAAGACTGCTTCTTCTTGCCCTTCGCAGGAGTAGCCGGCTTCGGTTTGGGCTCCATCGCTGGATCAAGAATAATCTTACCGACATTCTTACGGTCGTGCATCTTCTGCATAGCGTCGGAGACGTCCTCCAGCGCCCAGGTGGAATCAGCGTGCGGCTTAATCTTGCCGGCAGTGAAGAGAGCAAACACCTTCTCGACAATGGAACGCACGTAGGCGTGCTCACCCTGGTGGAACATCAAATGACGCATGTTGAAGCCCATCATGGTCTTGTTCTCATCGAAGAGCTTGATGGGGGAGATTTTATCCACTTGCCACCACTGAAAATTAATAAAATTAGTAAAACTAATTTTTTTTTAAATATTTATACTTACAGAACGTGCAGCGCTGAGAATGCTGCGTGTCTCACCAGTGACAACATTCGAAGAACCAAAAAGAATATACTTGCCCATCGGTTTGAGCAGTGAGTAGCCGCGATTGCACTCCTCGCCGCATAAGCAATCGAGCACCACATCCACGCCCTCGGGTTTAACCTTGCGCACCTCGTTGGGATAGTCGCTGCTGCGCTCCAGCAGGTGGTCGATGTTGGCTGCATTGCCATTGAGATGTTCGTGCTTGCCCTTGGAGCACACGCCAAAGATAGTCACGTCCGGAACTGTTCTTGCCAACTGCACAACCGCTTGGCCCTAGGACAAGCAAAAAACAAAAACAAAATAATACTTGCCGATAAGAATAGAAACTTAACTTAAATATAGAACGCAATAAAAGTCGTGTACGTTTTATTATGACGCATGCGAAAAAAGCAGCAGCAACAACGTTTGAAGCTGAAAATCGTAATTTGGAATTTCCTCTGAGTCAACTTTTCGGGCGGCACGTATGCACATTGCACACGCGAATAGATCAATAACATCGTCTGGTGCGTTGCGCTCTCCGGTCTGTTGCGTTTGCGGGCTCGCTTTTCGAGATGAAAACACAGCCTGAATTATCGCCGGCTTTTCATTCGAAAGCGGAAAAAAAAAGCGCATTCGAGATAACGCGGTCGTGAAGAAGAATGATGCGGCATTAGCGTCGTGGCAGCAAAGAAAAATTGAACGCACTGAAAGCGGCTCGAAAGAAAGTCGCCGCCGACGTGGCATTATCACTAGTTGTTTATCTTCCACTTGTTTGTGGTTTATGGTAGTCACGCGCTCGATTTGCAATTGTTATCACATATCATGAACACATTATACTGTTGATTTTTTTTCAGCAAAAACATCATTTATTTTTTATGCTGTTTTTTCCTTTCTTTTCTAAGAGGGTGAATTTTTAAACGCTGTGTTTTGTGGGTGTTGCACAAGCATTAAAAAGTTTTTAATAGCTGTAGTTATCCCCCGACATGATTGCATATTCTCTTCCAGTGGCACTCTGTCTAAATGAAATTGCAAATTGCAGTCGAATTCGGAATGCACGGCGTGAAATAAAACGCATCGTGGTGTGTGGGTGCGGTGCATGGCCCTCGCGGATCGATACGCCGGCGCTGTCTAGCCGCCTCCCATTGACTGCGGGCTGTCGGCGCCGCCGCCGCCGCCTGCAACCTGTTGAGCACAAGTGTCTCTGACCCTCAAAACGCCGTCGCCGCCCGACTTGGCAAAAAGAACGCGCAAAAACGAGGGCGCGACGCGGAACATATGTTCGGAATTGATCTCGCCCTTTTGGCGGCGGCTGTTGGCGGCCACGAGCAGTGGAATTGATTGAAACGTGATTGTTCCGCCAGCCACAAGTGTCGCGCATGATTTCCCAGCGGAAATTGCATGCTGAACGATTGAAATTAAACTTTGTCAAGAATTATCCCTACGATTCAATCAACACCAAGATGGCGCTTGATGAAATAAAAATCCGACGCTATATAATAACGCATTAGATTCTTATGTCTGCATGTTTATACTTACAACACCACCTCCAGCAGAATGCACCAGTACAGATTTACCGCTGACAATGCCAGCCATCTCAAACAGAAGGATGTACGCGACAGTATAGTTCATCGTAATGGCAGCGGCGTCCAGTGGGGACATGCCCGCAGGCAGCTTGTAGACGTACTTGGCGGGCACAGCGACCAGCTCAGCCCAGGCGCGGCACTCGGTGAGCGCCACCACTTTATCGCCAACCTGTAAACAGAAAAACAGCCAAAATTACACCCAGTTCGGGGAGGCATTAAATGCGTTTTATGTGGTTTCCACGGGTGTAAAACACCCGGGCCACCGAAAATTCTCATGACTTTCGAGCCCCGTAGGCCGTAAAAATAATTCAAGAGTAAAAAAAACAGACAATTTCCCACACGCAGCAGCAAAAAAGGAAAGAAATAAAAGTAAGAAAATAAAAAGGCGCGGCAACAAAAAAAAACAATACAATCTTATCACTAAAATGTTGTAAAAATAGAACAATTTAAATTCGGTGACATTATTTAATCATTTTATTCATTTTAATGAAATTGAATTGATACCGAGTGTGGAAAATAATAAATTTAAACAGAATCCTATTCAGAGGGGTGTCTTGGTGGCTATAAATTAAATTCCGAAAGCAGTGCAAAAAGAGAACGAAAAAAAAATGAACTTTAAGAGAGGTGTGGAGTAAATGGGAAAACTTACAGCGAATCCTTCGACGCCTTCGCCGACTTGTTCGATCTCACCGGCACATTCCGTGCCCAGGACGAAGGGGCACTTCGGTGGGCAATCGATAACGCCTTGACGCAGCATCAAATCTTGAAAGTTCAAACCGCTGCAAAACAAAAAATGACAAATTGTAATTCCAAACATTTTAAAAAGATGTAAAATGCCATTAAACGACCGGAAATGAAAGCATTTAACTTTATTATCATATAACCTTGAACCATTTCCAATCTCTTCGAATCTCCGGCATCCATAAAATCATTTTCTTGTACGCAAACAGGTATAAACCTCGTTTTCACCTTTTCCGGTTGCGATAAGCGCGCACCGATCCACTAAACCAAATAACAAAACAAAAGAATGCGAGAGGCGGTCACGTCATCGACACGTCATGTTTGACTTTATCGCATAACAATTAGTGGCCGGAAGTCGACATGTAGCCGAGCGTCGTCTTGTATTTCCGCTGCGCGCGCCGCCGACGACAACGCATTTCAGTGACTAACGCCACTCGAGTTACCAACTTTCCAGCAAAAAACAATGTATTATAAGCGTCGTCTTTCCATATTCCCGCAATTAGCGCAAAATTACCGCACGATCTAATGCTTATCCTTATCGCGCATGTTTTCTAATAATTGCAGTGCGGAGACGCATTTTCAACGTGAGTAAACACACCCGAAGTGAATCACAACCATCACACATCGAAAACTCCGATCGTAATATTGTAAATAACAAGATGGCCGCTCTTGAATCTGCGTGATTTTATGATTCATCTTGCAATTTATTGATTACGCAGTGACTTTTTCGCTTTATCAGCGGAAAGTTCCATCACATAAGCTATGAATAAACAAAAGACACTTCTAAAACGGTTAAACAGTTATGATGCCGGGCGGATTATGATGAAGTTGTGTGGTATTGACATGTTTTTGCCCTTCCATTGTCCGCGTCGCATTCGTTTTATCTGCAAGCGCTCTTATGGGATCACGACCCAGTCATTATCACCCGGGCGCGACTACAATATTGCCGTCGGTTTTGTTGGCAAAACAAAAGCCGTCGCATTGTAATATATATATTGATGATATTCTTATGTTTCAATGTATTTTCCAGCGAACCAGCCGCAATTACAACATTTTTATTCGCCTTATCGCCGCGGAATGTCTAAATATTTTCGAAAAACAAAATAAAAACACGTAAAACTCGGAAATTAAGCCGACAGACGCAATGGAATTGAAAAACGAGCATTTAATTAACGCGAAAAATGCAAAATGCAAAGTCAGTTAAATTACAATGAGAGGGAATTGAAATAAATTATTACATTACATTACTTTACATTTAACAACGGCGAAGCAAATAATATCAAACAAACAATTAAAAATAAAAAATAGTTGTGTTAAATTTCCGGTTGTGCTTTCGTGAAACACATTGTATGTAAACGTTGATAAGTTAAGTTCATGTTATGTGTCTCCACATTGATTTTTCGTTATCGCATGTCGCTTAATTTTCGCGTCCGTTCCCGTAAACGATAAACGATGAGCGGGACGAAATAAACAAACACTAATTATCTCCTGTCGAGCGGCGCGCTCTGCATACCAATCGCCATTCCTAACCTGCAAACCGCACCGCTGCGAAATGCGCACGCGCACTGCATGAATTATTTATTACCTAGTGCGCGGTTCTTGCGGCGCGAGCGCGGAATGTTTAATTAATTGCAATCGAATTAACACAGCGACCAGCGCGACATTACGTACGTTGTATAATAATAATAATAACACAACGCAAAATATAGTCGAATGCGGCTGCACACATGCACACGCCGAGCGATTCGAGCGAGTGCAGATAAACAATAAAATGTTTATATAATTATTAAGCGCATAGTATCGCAATGTTTTCGCTGTTGTGTGTCAACCAGTGTCAAAGCCAAAGTTTTATGTTTTAGATTCACCGTTTTGAGGAAGAATAAAATATGTGAACATTATGTCAATGTCAGTTGTGGTGATATTGAGTTGTTGTTGGCGTTTGTCATTTGTTTCTTCTCTTCGCGAGCAGGCCACACACTTGTTATAGTTTTCTTTTGTTCGCCGCGAAGAGTTAATGTAGCATGGCGTGCGGCGTGGAATTACGAACGCACTGTATTATTAAATCGACTCGTAACCGAAATAACGAACGAATTGAAATGGGAAATAAAACTATTTCAAGGTTGTATTTTCAAGGGATTATAGGTACAGACATGCATGAAAGGAAAATAGATTTTTTTTCGTTTTCATGCGTTGTGTGTGTGAATGTGTGTGTTGGGTTGCGGCAGGAATAATAGTGATATGCTAGTCTAGTCAGGTAGTTGCAAAGTGGAAATCACCCTTCGGCTTTTAATCCCTGCGCGTGTGTCGCCTTTACCTCGGGGGTTAAACTATGTGAAGCACTCCCTAATAACTCACATTCTATTCTTGTTCTTGGCAAATAGTTCCAGCATTTCTTGGCGTATCACTGGGAAAAGTACATTTCACACGTCGCTGCGTTTCGGGGTGCGAGAGGAAATTACATTAAAATTAACATTCACAATTTACCCCTGACAACATTTCGTTTAAATAAAAAAAATAAAAACCGTTTTATTCGAAATAATTTTTGATGTTTTTTTTTTCTTTAAATTTTTTAATCGATTTACCTGAATATAGTCCGCTATTTTGGCAGATAATCTCAACATTTGTAATAAACAATAGTTCGTTTAGAGCAATTTTTCATGCCAAACAATTTTTTTTTACTCCGTGCGTACGCTTTTTCTGTTTATGATTGGCCAGTGTTAATTGTAACACCCGTCAGCGGAGACGCGCAGATGCGCCCATCGCTTGTTGTTGATCTTGAAAATGAAAATATGCGTTTTCTGCACGCCCCTCCGTGCATTTTTAGCGTTTAAAAATATATTCGAAGGTCGTCCCAACCGACACACACCCATCATCAACATATCTGCACACACATATATAACGACTTCAATATGTTTCTGCGCACGCGTGCGTGTGTGTGTGAGCGAGTGTCGGTGGTGTTCGGGGCGGATGGAAGTCATCGCAGAGGCGAAGTCAAGTCCCGCAGCTTCTGTTATTTCGCGTCGCGTGTGTGAAACAAAGAGCACGACGCAAGAGAAGTGCCGAGTGCGGGCTGAGCGCTCATTATTCGGTTGCCATGCAAGTCGCAACTTGCGCACGCCAAGAGACGTCGATGTAAATTCGATTCTGCCTTCTTGTCACCCTTTTCGTTGTGTTTTTTTTCCTCGCCGGACGCGTACAACCTTGGCGAATCAAATTTGTTACAATTTTCATAATAATAAAAAAATAAACACACTGCGCATGTAGCAAATAAAAACTACAGTCACGCTCTGGTTGTCACCACAACCCTCTGATAAACACACACACTTCATAAAACGACAACGAATTCGTCATGCTCTTGTTGTCGTCGTCGCTGTCGTTGCGATTTTGTTTTTTTTTTGTTTCGCGGCGGCCGTTTTCACTTAGAAAATTAACAGCGTGCGAACACAATGAAATTGAACGCCCGGACCGAAACATATGTTCGTCCCTCCGACAAGAGAGATTTAATTAATCGTCTGCGCAGCGCAGCGCGCATTTTTTCGACGAATTCAATTCGTGCGGCGAATTAAAAAAAAAAACTACATAAAATGCGGGTGGCGTGAATGCACAGCCATTGTGTGCGAGTAACTGCGCAATAAAAAGCGTTAACACCAGTGTGATATCCAGTATGATCTAAATAATTAAACATCAAGCAAATTGCACAATGTAACACAAAAGGCGCTTTTATATACGTTTGAAAAATATTTGATACATCTATATTTTATGTTTTGTTCGAGAATATTCTCCGGATTGTTTATTATCGCTGCGAATTTGTTTTTTTTTTCTGCTGCGGTTCTTTTTATCTCGCTCGCTGCGGCACGTACGAGCTGGCAAATTAAAATCTGCGCGCGTGTGCGAGAAGGAACGCGCCCGAATGCAACAGCGTGCAGAGATCGGCGCGCGGATTGTACGTGTGTGTGTGCGCGAAAATGATAAAATGGCGTGTTGCACTCACCATGCGCTCACGCGGATGAGCAGCTCGCCCTCGGCGGGCGTGGGCTCGGGCCGCTTGAGAATCTTGACGCCCTTCATGCCGCCGAAGCTGTTGAGCACCACGGCGCGCATCTGCTTCGGTTCGGGCTCCGGCTGCGCGTCTTCGGCGGCAGCATCGCCGTTCTCTTTGACTTCGACGGCGGCTGCCTCCTCTTTTTTACCGGCTTCCGCTTGGGGTTGTTGTTCGGGCTCCTGCTGCTGTTTTGGCTGCTCCTCGGCGGCGACGGAATCCGCTTGTTCGTTGGACATGATGCGAACTTGCGCAAACTTTTTTCAAACGTACGCGTGCAGGTTAGAGGAGTGCTGCGCCGGCCGGCTTTCTAACGGACAATGGGGTAGAGAGAGCGTCTGGCTGCTGGCTACGACTCGACTAGCGCTGGTGAGTAACTGCGTAACAGGTGCTTCTTGGCTCTTGTGCGCGCGGTGTGGCGACGATTGCGCTTTGAAACGAAGATTCGGGTAGGGCGCGGACGCCCACCAAGCGCGCATGCGCTTTCGTTATTCTGTTGCTAATGCAGCGCCAAACAATGGCAGCACTCAGAAACTGAACCAATTTACAGAAATCTACACATAGTGACAAACAAAATATACAAAGTTTAGTTTTTATATATAAATTTATCAAACACCTCAATCTCACAGAAGCGTTCACGATAGGTATTTTTAAAAATTACTACACTATTACAGCATATCGTCATTTCAATAAAAAGCACAATTAGACACTAATTGAAGAAGAAACCAATTTGATGAATTTTCGAAATCTCTTGGAAATATGATTCGTCAGGCTTCCAACTCTAGATACAAATACACTAAAAACTAATTAATCAACTTAAATCATATTTTGCACTTCGCGCTCCTCGATTAAAGCCTGCATTTTGCGATTGCAAAGACGCTTGTTGTCCCGCTCTTCTGTAGTGTTGCTGTCAGTAAGCAGACGCTTCGCTGAGTGGCCAACCACTTTATTGATATTCTGCAAATCCTACAACGAAAATAAATCCAATAAGAATCACGCATAACTCTCAAATCCTATGCAACTTACGCGCACATTGCTCCGATTAAAATAGTACGAATAAGTTGGATTGAAGTCGGCATTCGTCGGCGACTCCAGCATGTTCACATACACATTGTCCGCAACCTGGCGGCGAGGCGACTCAAAAACATGCGGATTGGTCGGTAATGGCGACAGCGCATAATTTTCCACGTTACGACTCGGGCTGCTGGGGCAAATGCGCTGAATTAAAGGCTTCACATGCTGCACATAAATCTGGTTGTAGAATTGAATCAAATCACCGCGTTTCTCCTTGTCAAAGAAGACTTGCCGGTAGATGACGTTGTGTGCTTGTGGTTGCAGCTTATAAGCTTGCATAATATCCGTAAATTGCAACTAAACAAACAAAAACAATAAATAAACAAAAAATACACTTTTAAAAATTAAATTTACCGATTTTGATGACAATTTGAAGACAATATACACAGAACACATGATCAGCTGATCAAGATGGCGGTGTTTGAGCAGCCAAACTTCACCCTGGGTTGCATCACGCCGACTTTCGCGAATTGTCGCCTCAAGGAACGTCCAAATCTTCATGCGTGTTTCCGTATCGTTGATGTTTAACCGCTTGCATAGATCGTCCATACGTACGCCAGCCAGTACATAAAACTATTTAAATACATCAAATTATTAATCATTCAGCGGCCATTTTGTGTATAACCTACTTTTCTGAAGATGATCCCCAAACTGCCATTCTTTCTGGGTGTATTACCATTGCTGGCGTTCTGATTAGCCAGCTGATTGCGGTTAGAGTTGAGCAGTGATTGCCCCGGACGAATGTTGCTGTACCGTGGCGATTGGAACGGTTCTGATGGACTAGGCTGTGTCAAACCTGCTCCAACAAGCGCACGCCGCATTGTCGGGGTTGATGGCACACCCGAAGCGCTGATTGTCGTTCCTGGACGCGCAATTTCCTCAAACTTCGGGATGATATAGTTGGATGTTTTCATATCCTTCCATAATACACTGTCTTCTTTCCACATTAAACTCTCCAAGATTGTTTCCTCCACCTAAGTAAAACAAATAAAAATCTATTAATGCATTCATGAATTAAGATTAAACTCACATATGAAAGATGTTTGATAATATTCCTTGAAAACTGATTCGTGTTCCTCACAACCAGTTCAATAATCCGCACCAAGTGAACCGCCGGCAGCGACATGCACTTGAGAATCCATGGAAACTTGTATTGGTCCGCCATGTTTGTCGCGTAAATGACAATCTCCATCGCACACGTAAAAACGCACATTGCGAAGAAATCATGTTTCAAAAGAGGCGCAATGTCTTTATCAAGACGACGCTCACCAGCAAGCACCATCTCCATAAGATAATAAAAGAGTTTCACGCCTATAACTTTCTTTTCGTCATCACCACCAGCGCCTGCCGCAAATTTAGCTCCGAGATCTTTTTCGATATTGACGATTTTCTCGCCGAGATTTTCACCACCACAATCAGCAATCATTTTTGATATATTATCGGACATGCCCGACGGTCGCGTCGCCAACATGGCGATGAACTTCAACTGTGAGTCAGGTGAATTATCCTGTGTCCTGTCAGCGGGACCAACGTACTGTCTGCCTGTCAACGGTGTTTCAGGAACTCGCATTGGCAAACGACGTTCATTAACCGGCGTACTTGCAATCATATCTCCTATGGAATAAAATTTATCATAAAATATTGGTGATTTTATGCTGAAAACTCACCATTTGAACATTTCATGCCTTGAAGTTCAATTTGTCTGTAGGTTTCTTCTACAAAAACAATAAATTTAGTGTAATAATAACAAATTAAAGGTTTAAACTTACTTAAAAAGATGTTTTCGTCATAACACCACTCGGTAAAGATATACTGCTCGTACAATTTGGTCAATGTAGTGTAATTCTCCTCAAAATATTCCTCTTTGAACAAATCCGAAAAATCATCCTTGGATGTATGCAACCCTTCATCATTCTTCAATTTCGCCAGCACCGGTGCAATTTTATAATCCTGAACGTATTTCACATCCGCCAGATTCAATGTGCCAAAATTGTGAAACAATTTATCAATCACGCAAGGCGCCTCCCTAGGAATTTGATATCCAGGCAAATTCCAGCCTTTTGGCAAACCGACAAAATCAACATTTAGAATTTCACGTTTATTGAGCATGATTACGTTCTTGAACGCAAGGTTGCAGCAGCACTGAAGAATTTTTATGCATTCAATTAAATCATCACCCATATTCAGATATTTCCCTTTTAAAAGTAGAAATAATAACCAGGTGAATTCAAATACACCTACTGGTGTACTCTGGAAGGACCTAAAATATGTTTAATTAGCAATTGGATGGGTTTAATTTTAATTTGTTGTGCGCTTACGTTTTGCGCGTTTTGATCGCTTCCAGATCCGGCATTTTAAACAACTTCTTAAATAACGGCTCGTAACTTTTATAGACATTCTGACAAACAATGAAATTATGCTCAGCGACCTGCACATCGCGTGCAAAATCTACTGGTAGTTTCGACATGACGACCCATGCTTTCATGCAGCCGAAAAACTGTTTCAAGCTGAAAATGTTATGTGAATGTAGGCAACTTGTTACACATATAACAAAATTTATCCATTTGTTTTGTTTCTCTTGTTTACCTTAAGTTTGTATGGCGCAGGACCTGGGTCAAGCTGATTGGATTGCTCCTCACCACAGTCCTGTCCCCAACCATCATTTCCTGCCGGCGGCATGTGGCTACTAGAGAGCAGGCCAGCCAGGATACTTTATTTCCCTACATGTACAAAACAAATACAGTTAATGATTTGTTTTGGTTTGATTGTTGTGTTATATTCACTCACCTCCAGAGTAAATTTACTGGAAATATCCTCAAACTTCTCCCACGCATCCTTGCTGGTGTCAGGATCAAGATTGAACACTCTGCATAGCTTCTCTAGGGCGGCGTAGAGGTCTTCATCAAAGGGCGATGCAGAAGACGTGTCCAAGGGGTCTACTTCAGGATCAAACTCCTGATTGATGCTCATTGTAGAATGTTTTCGCCCTGCGCAAGCTGGGGATGCTGTGGTTGGGCAACGAGTGCCTTCTTAGAGCGGGTGTGGTTTGCACTAGGTATACACTAAGTAGGGTTAATTTCGCGGGAACACGTCTTGATGCACAGAAAGTCGCGGCCGAAAAGAAACTAGACTGATATGTGGTGTTTCGTCGTGCGCACCGAGAGGGAAAACGTTTTGCCGCCGGCGCGAAACGATGTTTTGGCGCGATCACAACCACAACAGAAGAGAACAGCGCGCGAGGTTGTTTGTTGGTGTCATGATCCGGCTAAAGCGCGCCAAATCTTTGTAATACGTCATTGCGTGATGCAAATTTGCGCCATCTATGAAGCAACATCTAAAGCAACATAAAACAATGCTATTCTAGATATTACAACGCCACCTACCGGATATGTCAACACCTACCAAGTTTTAAACTGTATGAACAAAGCACAAAACACAACTTTTAAAAACAATGAGGAATATGAATGAAAATGTAATGTACGTCGGCAAAAAATGTCCATCGACACTTTTATTCACACCAAAATGACCACGAAATTAATGAAACTCTATCTCAATTATAAAATATGCAAATATAACCGCATACACATGTAAAAACATCCATATAAAAGCACAAAAATAAATAAAACTAAAACAATCACAATGTGATACAATACGCGGCAACCAATCGACGAAAAATGATGCAATTGATGAGAAATCATGACAATGTGATGGTTGGCGACGAAATCACAAGTAATACTAACAAAGCCGACAAACTGACAAGAAAAAGCATATGTCAACGTCGGAAAAAATTCAAGCTTGGCCTCTTCTTGGGGCTCGCACCGGCGTTCTGCAAAAAGAAAACCAAATATAACACTCACACGCATTTTGTAGCATAAAGTTTCATCCATAGTTATATTTCCGTGTTAAAAAATATAGGTATAGTATTTATATATTAATAGAAATGTATTATCGATTGTCGAGTATAGCGACAATTAAAGCTGCATGGTAGAAGAGAGTTAATTGATAACAAACGTGCAAATGTTACGTTAAAAACAACAGAGAAAAATAAAACGTAATATGTAAAAAGTTGTGTAAAAAGTGTAAAAATAACAAGTGTGTGAGTATTTTAGTGTTTTAGGAAGTGTACGAAACAAGTGAGATGCTAGCAGCGACGATAGACAACACACAAAACGCGTTCCGTGTAAAAAGCCAAAAGGTGCGCATGAAGAAGATATGCGCGCGATTAATTTGTCGCTTCGTCTCTATGCGCACGCTCCTGCACGCCACGCAACGCGATGGCATACAAAGACACACCACATGCCGCCTGCGTCGACTAATATGTTCGGTACAAGTGTGCATACGAGTGCACGTACACGTACGATGATAACTGCACGTAGCCAAAGAAATAAGAGTATCCAGCGGCCCATGCGCACACCTCCTGCGCCTAGCAGTGCCGCCCTCGCAGAAAGACCAAGCGTCGTTGTAACCTACCTCATCCACAGCCCCTACTTTCTTATTAGATGATGAAAAGAGAGATCGCAGTGGATTGGGGGTGGTGCGTTTCTGATCTGTCGATAATTCACGCAGCACGCGTTCATTTCCCTGCAGCGAAGGACGGCCGCCATTTTTACTCGGCGTTGGCGGACCGGGGCGTTTGTATGATGTCGTACCAGCGTCTTTCTTTTTGTGTTTCTCGGAAGGTAAGAGTTGTGTTTTCATTGTATCGTCCAAAAAGTCAATATTTCCACTCTAAACAAATAAAATTAATATGGTTTAATTAAAATAAAACACAATTAGGTTAAACTAACCTTCAAATCGTCGTCTTTATACTGTCGTTGGTCCAAAAACTGAGTTTCAGCCGGGTAGGAACTTTTCAAGTGTGGGGGACATAGAGAATTCCTGTACGCAAACTCAGAGAGTCGACTAGATGAAGATTCGCGACTTGATGCAATACTAGGCCGGCCAGCTTTCAAATCATGCAGGTATTTATTGTTGAACATGTCACCTTCATCCTCCATTTGCAATTCTGTACATAAAAACACATCAAAACATAAAAACATTTGCAAATAAAACATATTTGTTAAAAAATACATACCACTTGCAGCTGGAGTAACATTACTAGTTCGCCTGCGATATCGCACCTCTTCAATAATATCCATTTTTCCCGGTTGTCCTGGTTGCATACTTCGCGGCAAACTAAAAGTACTCCTGCGCTCTTCAATATAAGCACTTCTTCTATCACTCTGTAAACTATGTGAACTGGCGCGTCTGCTAAGAAGCCCTGGTTCTTTAAAGTCAAACTCTGCTTCCTCTTGCCTCCTGGCTTCTTTCAACTGTTGCATGATGTACTGCTTCTCAGAGTCGATAATTTCATTCTTCGCTTGCGACCTGCCAAGTTCATCCTTTAATTTACAAACCGTATTTCTATAGTGTTCATTTTCCTCCTTAAGCGCGAGTATTTTTTCATATCGTTGTGATTCATTCTGGTCGACTTGTTCTTTATACTTGGAAACAATACGCTCCTTCATCTTCTCCAGCTTCAAATCATACTCTGCCCTTACTTCTGTAACCTTATCAGCTAATTCCCCATCTAATTTCTTTGCGTGCTGTAAGAATTGTTCGCGATCACGTTGCCGTTTGTACTTTAGTGTGTCTATTTCTGACTTGAGTTTTGTGTTTTCCTCACAGAGATTCGAATAAGATTCTTTTGTAGATGTTAATGCATTAAGTTGTTCGTTGCGTTCATTTAACAATTGTTCAAGGGCAGAATAATCCAATTGGAGTTTTGAATAAGCAATTTTTACATCTCTATAGCTACCTTTGAGTGAAAATAATTCGTTTTGCAACTCATCTTGACAATTATTATTCTTACTTGTTTGTGATAACTGTATTTCAAGTTTATGACACTTGTCTGCCCAATGAGTCATATCATCTTGATTCTGTTGCTTGAGTTGAATATATTCACTCAAAAGTTGTTTGTAATGAACATCATTATCCTCCACAGATGATTTTTGTTCAACATGTTCTTCTTTTTCAATTTGAACCTCAGTTTTAACCTTTTTCTCTTCATAAGTACAACTTAATTTCTTATTCTCATCTCGCAATTGTTTGATTTTCTTCTCGAAATTGTTCTTGGCATTCTCAACAAGCGTCAATTTCTGCTTGACACTCAAATACTTTTTCCGCCATTCATCCTCCTTGGGCTGCTGTTTGACTGGTTGCATATTCTCCTTGAGTACTTTCTGTTTTTCATCTTTGATTGGCAATGCTTCAACGGAAATCAGGAATGCTTCAAGTTGAACTTGTGTGTTATTAGCGTTATCTTTCAAATCTTCTAATTTTTCAGTTATCTCTTCACAAGATAACTCTTTAAATAAGTTTACAGAATCAACTGCTTTGTTTTCCAAGATGGCCGACACGGTTTTCTCCACGACTTGATGACATTTGAGACTTACATTATAAATCATTTTGGAAAGACGTCTAAATTGTTTGTAAATATCATCGATGATAACTTCCAGCGCGGTTTTCTGCTCGTAATGTAACTTGTGACGGTCTTCGGTTATATGAATAGATTTAATTTGTAGCGTTATGTATTGATCACGCAAGTTGTAAACCACTTGTTCCAATTGGTTACGTTCGGAAACCATTGTTTCAATCTCTTTGAAAGCAACTTGAGATTTTTTCATAAATTCAGTGTATAAATCATGTTGCTGAGTGTTATTTGCTTCCAATTGTTGTAGTTTCTCTTGGATAACACTGGAATTGTGGTGTTGCTCGCGTAAAATTTCATACTGCATCTAGAAATTTGATAAAAACACAAATAAGTATTGTTTATATGAAATTTAATAATATAATATAACTTACCTTCATATTTTCTAAACTCTTTGCCTCCTTAGCTTGGTCTTGCATTAACGCAGCCTTCTCCTCGTGAAGTTTCTCGTAAGTTTCCAAAAGTTTTGCTTTATCTTCATTCAGTTGTTGGTTACATTTGTCCATTTGCTGCAGCGCCCTCTGTGCATTTTCCTTCTCATTCTCGGCAGTTTCTTTAATACTCTCAAGCTCACGCAATTTTCCATAAACATTAATAATACGCCGCTCTGTATCCATAATGATATCATCAAGTTCTTCCTCATCCAAAGCCTCATTTTTGTCTCCCAGCAACGACCGAATATGTTTAATATTAACTGTCAATTTATCCCTGACAGCGTTCGCATCAAAAACTTGCGTTTGTAAATCAGCCACGCGTCGCTCCAAAAACTCCTTCGCCTCACGCTCCGCCCCCAACAACCGCTCAATTTCACCCCGTCCACACTGCACACTCTCCAATCGCGCGACAACCTCCCTAACTTCACCCTCGGTGCGCAGTAAATTTTCCTCGACCGCCCGCAGTGCGCACGCATGTTTCTCAATTAACTCTTCCTTCTGCTGCGTTACTTGCGCCAGCTGCGCCTCCGCTCGACGTTGTTCGTCCTCGTGGGCGTGCCGCGCACTAGTAGCGTCCGCAAACTTGGCCATCCTATCCGCCAGCTCCGCCTGTAACGAAGCAATCGACGCATCTTTAGCATCTAATTGGCTAGCTACTGATGCGTACTTTTGTTGCATCTCGGCGATCAACTCCTGCAGCTCATGTACGCTCGCCTCCGCCGCCACACGTTCGTGCTTCGTCTCCGCCAGCTCGATGGTCAACGTTTTATTCAAGCCGCTCATGTACTCCATCTCAGATTTCGTAGCATCATACTGCATCTTCAACTCGTTGAAAGACTCCCGCTCAGATTTCAGTTTACCCTCGTAATCTTCGTGAATAACCGTCAGTTGTCGACTGGTAGCCTCCATCTTTCTTGTCATATTGGTCAGGATTGATTGGACAGAGTCAAATTCATCATTCGCAGCTTCAATTTCTTCGCATTTTTGTTTAACCAAAATCTCATTTTCACTTATTTGAGCGTTGGCCTTATCAAGTTTAGATTGCAGTGAGTTTCTTGTAACCTCAAACTGCTGCTGCTCGTCGTGCATTTGATTTTGTAGCGATGCCAACCGATCCTCCAACTCCTTCAACAATTTCTCCATTTTAGTCTTGCCAGCTTCAAGCACATCATTGGATATTTGAAGATTGCGTATTTGTGTAGTGTGTTCCAGAATCTAGCCAAGAAAACATAACCCCAATTATAAATAGAATTTCCTTCAATATCAAAACCTACCGTTGCGTCCTGTTGCCGACAGAATCCAACCATCTCTTGATGTTCCTGCTCCAGTTGTTTAATCCTCTTTGTGAGCGCCTCCTTCTCTTTTGTCAGCGTTTCAATATTCTGCAAAAACTTGGCAATGCTGGTATGCAACTCTTGAATCTCCTTCTGACGCTTTTCGATATCCTCTCGGAAAGTCTTCTCTTCGCGTTTGATACGATCATAGTATTTGGATACCTCTTTCTTCAGTTTCATTATTTCAATCTCTTTCTGCGCCACAATCGATTCATGCGCTTTGGTTTCTTCTTGCAACATATCCTGCTTTTCGATCAGTTTTTGTTTAGATTCTTTTAAATACTTTTCCTTGGCGATCTTTAAATTGTCATAATCTCTGCGCACATTTGCATTAGTCAACTCCAATTCTTCCAACTTTTTCGTCATGTCATCCTTTTCGGATTGAATCATGCGCAAATGAGTCTTGGCGTCTTCTAATTCAGTCAAAACACTTGATCCTTCTTCCTGGGACTCCTGTAGACGCATTTGAAGATCATCAATGTCTTTTCGCAATGATTCTTCAATCTTCTTAAGAGTACTCATTTCCTGTTGGAATTCCATTTGGCAATTTTTAGTATCTTCCTCATACTCGCTCTTCAAACGAACAATTTCAAACTCCATGGATTCTTTTGCAGTTTTTATTTCATCATAAGACTTCTTGTTGTATTCGAGAATGTTCTGCAACTCTTTATGCTCCTTGTCAAGTGAATTAAACTTCTCCAGCATTTCATGTAAACTTTCAGTGAGATTCTGAATTTGTGAATCGTTTTCTACTTTCTGTTCCTTTTCAGTTGCAAGCGCTTCTGTGTACTTGTTAATGGTATAATTCAATTCTTCTTTGAGCATGGAAATCTCCTGTAGGTAACCGATTTCAGTTGTTTTGAGAGTATCAGCTTGTTCTTGTAAATCATTAACTTCTTTAGTTTTTGTTTCAATGTATTCAAACAAATGTTGAAGTTCCTTCTGTACAGAATGATTTTCTTCTTTTAAATGTTCAGCATCCGTTCGTAGATCAACCAATTGTAGATTCAACTTTTTAATTTCATCTTCTTTAGTGTTTTTATAATTTTTCAACTCTTCCAGTGACTGTTTCATGTTTTTCTTTTTAATATGAAAATGCGTGAAGACAGTCTGAATGTTTTCTTTAAACTGCTCGGTTTTTGCAGTCAAAGAATTTTTCATATCAGTGATTATTTGCAATTCTTCCAGTGTTGTTTTATGACTGTTGCTCAACTCATCAAGTTTACCTTTCGTTTCACTTGCATTTAAAAGCGCTGCAGCTTTTTCATCTTCTATATCAGCAAGACTGCTCTTCAATGTTGAGATTTCATTTGTTTTCTTTTCTATTTCCAATTTTAACGCCAATAATTCTGCTGTATTCAGTTCAATAACATCGTCTTTACGCTTGCAATCATTTTCTTTTGCTTGCAGTTGTTGAACCAATGCCGTCAACTCATTTCTTGTTTGATTAAATTCGCCAGACAGATTACCCTTTTCTGCAGTTAACGCACCAATCGTTTCAGTCGCTTCTGTTAACCGTAATTCCAGGGCATCCTTTTCTTCTGATTGGTCCTTCACACGTTTATCCAAATTCTCTATGGTTAATTGAATCATTTCGATCTTCTTCTTGTGTTGATGGATTTTTTCATTCAATTCCTTCTCTGTTTGAGAAGCAGATTTGCGTAAATCTTCTAGATCTTTCTGTTTTAATGCAGTCTGATTTTTAGCGAGCTGTAAATCAGTCGCTAAACCTCGTTTAACTTCTTCCAAATTTGTAATCTTGTCATTTAATTCATTAATTGTTTGCATTCGCTTTAAATCTTTATTAGAGAACTCTTCTTTGGCAATGGTGAGTTCAGAATCTTTGTTTGTAAGTTTAAGCAGTTGAGAGTCAATTTCAATCATAAGTTCTTCAATTGTTTTCTTATTAGAATCATTTTCTGCTGCTGCTGCTTGCAAATCATCCTTTAAACTTTTAATATTATGGTTTAAAGAATCTATTTCTTGTTTGCTATTATTTTGTAACGTTTGATTTTCTGTATCCTTCTCCTCACATTTTGCAAGTAACTCTTTATTTTTCTGAGTCAACTGATTACTAGAGGTTTGTAAGTTTTTAAGTTGTTCTAATAAATCCGCATTCGTATCCTTCAAATTAACAACATCTACTTGCAGAGATGAATTAGCACCTTGAACAGTATTCATTTCTTCTTGCAAACTATCAAATTTACTCTGCAATACCTCAATTTGTAAATTTTGTTCTTCAGATAACTGATTGCAATTATTAATATCATCTTGCAACTGTTCTTTAACTTGCAGTAAGTCACTAACTGAATTATGCATGGTAAGAATCTGTCTCTCTAACTGTTCAATAACAGATACTCTGTCAGAATTCTCCAGAGTCAATAATTTAACTTGTAATTGAAGATCATCTCTCAAAACCTCCAAACTATTCAACATTTCGCATTGATCCTCAACTCGTTGCTTCAAATTATAAGTTTCCTCACGTTCCGAATCTAAACGACCTTGCAATAAGAGATTCTCAGCTTCTTTATCGAAAGCAACAACTTTCAACGATTCCAATTCCTCTACAGTCCTACCAAAAGATCGTAACTTCTCATTCATATCAGATATAGTTTCAATCTTCTCCTGAATATCGCTTTCTAGTTGACTCACACTTTGTTGTGATTGTTCCAACAAGTGTTTGATTTTTTCAATGTTTTTCTGTTTTACCAAATCATCAGCACGTAAAGTTGTTAATTGTTCTTCTAATTTAGTATTCAACTGAGTCATATTCTCAATTTTACTCTCAAATGACATTTGTTTTGATGACAATTTATCCAACAAACACTGAATCCTTTCAAATTTCTCCATCTTTGAATATTCAATTGATCCGGTAATCATTTCCTCTAGACGATCAATATTAGTCTGTAACTTATTATCAGATTCTTTGATTTGTTTTTGTAACGCTTGCAAGTTGAAATCAGAGTTATTAAATGCGTCAACTGCTTCCTCATACTGTTGCTGTAAATGACGTGATTCTTCTTCTAATGCATCAAATATTATGTTTTTCTCATCGAGTTTCTCCTTGTAGTCATTGCGAACAAGTTCAACATCCTGTAAATCTTTGCGTAGACTCGCTATCAATTCATCATTGACTTGAATTACACTCTCACGATCTAAAAGCCGCAACTGCATCGCTGAAAACTCTTCGTTTATAGCACCATTTTCCCTGGTTAATTCTTCAACTTGTTGAGTAATCTTCAAATTAGTAGTCAGCAAAGTATCTTCAGATTGTTGCAAAATCACAAGACGTTCCATCAACTCATCGTGTTTCAATAACATGTTCTGATGATTATTATTAGCAACTTCAAGCTGTGTCTTTACATCAATGAGTTCATCTTCCAACTTCTGACTTTCTTCAACTGATGCAGTCAATGAATCCTTTAATTTCTTGTTATTGTCCTCCACGTCGCTGTAATCCTTAGCAAGCTCGTTGATTTTCAGTTCCAACTTCTCATTAGTAACAATGTATTTATCCAGAGTAATATCTACATCATGTTTGAATGCTTGCAGTTCTGTAAAACTACTTCTACACTCTTCTAATTCTTGTAGAGTAGTTTTCATTTGTTTCTCTACATCGGTGGAATATTGAATTTGATCTGCTAGTTTAACACTCAATTCTTGAATGTCCAGTTGACATTCTTTGAGTTTAATTTCAACAACCGTATTGGCAAGTGTTTCATCAGACGTAGACATGGACTGAACGTTGATTGTCGATACGGAATTATCCAATTCCAAAGTGTTGTTGTGAGTCTTGTTCTGACGAAGTTCATCCAAAAGCGTTGATAATTCGTTGTAGTTTATCTGCAGGTTGGTGAACTCCTCCTGTTGGGCTTTGTATTGTCGTTGTGCTTCTTCCAGTTTTGATTCAAACTCCACTGCACGCGTTTGCCATGTGCATGCTGATTCTTCTGCTTGTGCCAACTAAATAACAAAGAAAAATTAGAATTATTAAAATATAAATTCATTAAAGTTGTTTATCGTACCCTTTTTGATATTTCCTCCTTTCTAAATGTAAGTTCACCATGTTCAGACTGCAATTCACAAATATATTGTTGTGCATCAGCTAGTTCCGACCTCAACAACTTCTCAATTTCAATAATTTCACGTGGTTTATCCGTTGGCGGTCTTTCTTCAATATCTGCCAAACGAGCGCTGAGATTCGATATAACCAGAGATTTCTCATGAACTTCTAATGCTGCATTAAAAAAAAAACATATTTTAATGTAAAGCAAAAAACAAATCTCACATCGTGTTAAATATTATGCAAATTATTGTTACTTACAAATCTTTTGTATCCGCTGCTTTTGTTCCCGTATTTCCACATTCAAATCTTCTTTGTCATCTCTTTCCAACTGTAGTTCTTGCTGCAACCGCCTTATTTCTCTGTCTTTTTCTACCATCTTTGCCGTTTTCGCAGCTGGCGTCTTAAAATATTCAACCAAGGGGCTATTGTGAACGAAAGGGGACTCCCCTGAGGAGTTCCACTCCATACTTTTTTTAGGCGTGCAACAGGCAAGGATAGGATCACCCTTGATTGCTTTGCGTACGACATCGTTAAATTGTGCCGCCGTTGTCTCAGGCTTAAAATGTTCCAGGAAAAGCTTGATGAATGTTTGTACGGTGCTGTTGAGTTTGTGGCACATAGGCGCGATAAACTCTTCGCGTCGATCATGGAAACTCATGAAATGTAGCAGTAAAGATGCAACAGCGGTGAGTTCCGCGTCTGTATAATTCGCGGAATTTCCATTGCCACCGATTTCAAAAGATGGGTAGTGCGTGCGTAGAAATTCGCCGATGGTTGTGTGAAGATCTGGTTGCCTGTTGCGCAGTGACGAATCAATTATAATCAATGAATTATGATTCAAAAAGTAAAAACTTACAATAGATCTAAGAGTGCTTGGAAAAATTCGCCGGATTTCAATGCGTTAATGTTCTGAATGCGTTTGCAGAGTTCGAGACAATTGACCTACAAATACATACCATGTTATTACAATTACACCAAATTACGTCTGATAACCGCATAAATGTGCTGTGATTTTACTAAATAGAAATAAACCGTGAAACATACCCAATCGACGATGACAGAATCCCATTTTTGCATCGTGAGATCGCCCATCTTACAGCTCACCAAAACTACCGATAATATTTACATTTATAACACTAGCCGGCATTCGTCGCACGTGCGGCACGTAAAAAACCGCCGTCCGGACGTCCGAGATCAACCAGCGAAAACACAAAACTGGTTGGCGAACGTCGGACGACCGTTAGACAAAAATTACGTTAGGATTCGAATCAAACGTATTGCGCACGCGCACTGCGCATCAATCGTTGTCACAAACAAACAAAACAACGCGCAACGACGCTCGCTGATTGGTCGAGCAGCACACATCCCCTCCAATCAACTTTAACGAGCGCCAAAATAAATTATACTGAGTGTCACAAACCATAAATTAATATAAAAAGAAGAAAAAACATTTATAGCACAAAAATTCAATTTTTTCCACATTTTTAAATGTGGAAGAGGAGAAATTATACTTAATTAACATAATTCATCAACAAGTTTATTATTATTACTGCTTGAATCGTAAGTAATCAAAATATGTTCTTTATGGGATCAAACAAATCCCTATCTTACATCAACCCGTCGTTGTTAAAATTCCTTTTGTTCCTAACACGTCCAAGCCCAAGCCCAAAAACAACACATCCGTGCAAAAATAGACAAAAACTCGTCTGCGCTTGGGAATGAACACTAGTCATCTCAGTAAAAGTTACATCTTACAGCTTAAACCTACATAATTCTGTACAAAACTAATCGATAGCTTCAACAGCAGCGTTCGTCTCTTGGATCATAGCTTCATCGTCAATATACTCCACCGTTTCGTACTCAACATGCTCAATCTTCGCGTCAATGTCACCGGTAATAACCTCTTCAACTTGCATATCCGCTTCGGACATATCAACCATTCGGTGTTCATCTACATCCTCTTCATCTTCATCCATATCATTATCATCTTCGTTGTCGTCTTCATCATCTTCTTCCTCGTTGTCACTCTTCGCTAAACGCAACACGTGTTGTATTACCTCATCAACGGTTTGGTTATTCAATAATGACTTTACAGCTTGATCATCAATGACTACAGTGAATAGAAGTTTCGCATTTTCACGCATTCGACTAATATAGTCGAATTCTGAATCGGCAGCTGGTTCATGTCCACATCTTCGAATGACAGCATCGAGGATTTTATCCACTGGTGCATCAGGCCAACCGAAAGCAGTGAGTGTCTTCTCATCGACGAGTAAACTTAGCAATTCTTTAATAGAATCCGTCAGAGTCAGCTCCGTCCAAATTTGTGATTCAAGAATCTCTTTCTTGATGCTAGACGGTGCGAGGAGTTGTTCTTGTAGGCGTTTCTTTTCCGCGGCGGCCATGATATCCTCTAGCACATCGCGATGTTTTGCGCGCATGTGCCGCAGGAGGCAATCTTGGCGAATAAAAGCGCGTCCGCATTCGTCACACGCGCATGGCTGTTCTTTTCTATGCGTGAGCATGTGCAGCTTGAGGGAGGCTTTCACCGCAAAACGTTTTTTGCATGTATCACATTCAAAAGCTAAGGAATAAAACATAAAATGTTAAATTTTACTCTTAAAAGATTTAAATAATTTCCTTACGTTTTTCTCCAGTGTGTAGCAGTCCATGCCGGATTAAATCTTCTTTCCTGAAGAATGTGCGATCACATTGATCGCACTCCAATGGAAGAGCTCCTTCATGCACAAATTTAATGTGTGTTGTAAGACGCACGCGACGATTGAATGCGCGGTTGCAGTGCGGGCACGTGAAGGCGTTTTCACCGGTGTGGTGGAAAATGTGCGCACGCAGTTGCGCTGCCTGAATGAACGACTTCCCGCAGTAGGAACAGCTGTGTGGTTTGATACCGGTGTGTGTACGCACGTGTCTATTCAGTGTTTCCTTCGCAGCGAACCTTCGTTTACACTAAAATTAAATCACAACAAAATTAATTATTTTCAATCTAAATTAAACACATATGATTAACACCACTAACCTGCATGCATTGATAAGGCTTCTCTCCGGTATGCATCCGTCGATGCTTCTTATACGCCCCGCTGGAAGGAAATCTCTTCGGACACAGATCGCATGCATATGGCTTCTCTCCAGTGTGCGTTCGCATGTGCACTACGAGAAGCGCCTGTCCCTGAAACTCCTTCCCGCAGTGCGAGCATGGAAACGTCTTCTTCTTTTTGATCTGCCCGGCATGCGCGCGCAAATGGTCACGCAGATTGTCCTTTCGGCCGAAACTCTTGTTGCATACTTGACATTTAAACTGGTTGCGCGGCGTGCCATCGCATCCCGTCTGCATTACATGACGATCTAAATGATACTTCCTAGTGAAATCGCGATTACATGCTTTGCAGGAGAACGGTTTGGCAAGCGGATGCGATTGCATGTGATTACGAATCGCTAGTTTACTGCTGAAGCTGCGCAGGCATTCGCAGCATCGGAACATGCCGATATCATCGGGGTGTTCTAATGAATTGTGGCGGATTAAATTTGTTTGGAGCATGAAGAGTTTGTCACATAGCTTACAAGCTATTGAACCATTCTAAATTGAAATAAAAATTCAAGATTATTGATTATTATGTAAATAATTATAATAATTAAATAACTTACTGCATGGGCTGAATCAGCAGGTTCACCACAGCATGCACACACTTCAAATGCAAGTGGATCATCAACATCAGCATCCTCAGGGTCATGTGTGACTGAAATATGCCTCTTTAAACTCTGTAAACCAAAAAATATTTTATTAATTTAAATTTTTTCAAAAAAAAAAAAAAAGAATTAAAATTATTGCTTACAGCTGCAGTCTTAAATGATCTCTCACAAATAGTGCAAATATTCTCCTCAATTTTCTCTTCCTCCACAACATACTCTGGATCATCAGTGTCCCCACTGTAGACATCTTGACTCTCCTCAGTTCCCTCCATGATTTCAGCCACAAACTCCTCATGATCTTCATACTCTTCAGGTTCCACACTTTCATCAACAATTTCATACTCAGTTTTGTAGGTTCCTGCATCCTGCACATAAATTGTGCCTGTGTCTCCATCTTCACTGATGTATGCTTGTCCACCCTCAGTGATGATGATCTTTTGAGTGCCATCTTCAGTCACATACTCACTAAATTAAGAAGAATTAAATGAGAAAAAGTTAATGTAGTGGAAGTAGATACACTTACCCTGGGTCTGGTATTTCACCTTCTTCTTCATAGGCATTGATTTGTAGGTTACCATCTGTATTGGTTTCCACATGAATTTCCCTGACTACCTCCCCATCAAGGTCTTCAGGATCTTCACATTCTATAGGCTCCAATTTGCTGATGATCTGTATGTTTTCACTATCCATGCTGATTACACTTAATCACAACCTGCATCAAAGCAAATAAATGTTTTAATGATAACATTTTATTATTTTAATATATATTTTTTGATTGTTGTTTAAGGATTGCAATAAATTCTTTTTGCCCCTGCCTGTTGCTGAACTCAAAAAGTAAACAAATGTAGGCAGCCCTTCAACGCTCGAATTCAAATTTCGTTAATCATTTGCAACCCTCCAAGCGTTGCCGACGTTTTCCGCATAAAATTTATCAAATTTCACAATTATAATAGCAGAAAATATTCGGACAGCGCATAAATGATTTTGTTTTTCAAGGTTTGAGTGATATGAGCGCATTTTTTTACCGGAAAATGTGTTAATTGTTCATCGGTGAGGGAACGCAGCCACCAGTGCAATGCCGTGCAAATGGTAAACGGACGCTGCTGGCTGGCGGGCGAAGGGCACACGATGCCGCCACGAATTCGAACAATTCGGCACGGATTTGGGCCGTTCGCGCTAAGTGGCACGCCGCTGGCACGCATCAACGGGATGTCGTGAAATGCGGCGATTCCACGGGATGTCGACCGATTCCCCTTGATGGGCGCCTCAAGAGGGATTTTCGCAAAATGCACTCACCTCTTACGGTGCGCCCCTGGAAAGTCGTCAACCTCACGATCATGCGGACGCGTAAAATGGTGGATGGACTAGTTTTCAGGCGCGGCCATTACGAGCGCATCTAGTGACGCTTCGCGGTGATGACGCGAGCGTGTCGGGCGACGTCGGTAAACAACGTCAAACGTCGGAATTAATATCTTTAAACGATTTTCTGTAACAAATGCATTTATAATTAAGAGAAGCGAAAAAATGCATGGTATAATAATAAAACATATTAAAAAATACCTGCATTATATTATTTATGACTAAAGAAACGATTTTCTGTATCAATTTGCTTTATATGAGTTAAATATGAACTGAGATGTTTAAATTTCGTGCGGTTTCAGTTTGGCAGCGCCAAAGAGGAAGTGACCGCGTGATGCAAGCGCGACACGCGGCGGAGCTGGTTTGAGCCGTCAACTACCGGTGTTTTCTCTCGCAGCACGTCCTCGCAGCTAGTCAGCCAGAGCGTTGTATACCCGTGTGTGGCCGAGTTGAGGATTCAGCGCGTAACCTTTACGCTTGCGTACACGAGGTTCGAGGGTGCGAGTCTAGTTCGTTCATCGCTTGAATCCGACCAACACGCATGTTAACGTCAGCTTCGCAACCTGAAGTGAAGTCCAGTTCGAGGTGAGTGCAGAAGGCGCAAAGATTTTGCGTAGTTTTCCGCTGTCGCGCGTGTGTCCATTGCTCACACACACGTGGACGCAAGTTTGGACGCGGGCTTGTTTCTACGTTGTTGCTGCAAATATACCGCGCAGACGATGCGCATTCGGTCCGGGACGTTGATCTTCCAGTTTTACTGCGTCTTACAAATGTGACGTCGCCGTATTCGACGCAAAATCAGCGCTTTCGGGGCCGCGCGGAGCCGACTCGTCCACGTGTGGGGAAAAAGTGGCCTGTCATTCACCTCTGGGCATTTTTTCCCTACAAGAAGTGCGTTGTAGCCGATTTTGGCGCGAGCACAATGTCTAGAAGCTTGACTCCATGGGATTTTTGCCAACATAAAATCGCTTGTTGCTTTGAATTTGTTTAAAAATCAATGTTAGGTTATAATGGGTGTTGCGCAAAAGTATGTCCGCCATGCATCGCGCGCATGGTGCACGCGGAATACAGGATGTCCCATTGCCGGCATGTTTTAAATGTTGTGTTTGCGTTTTGTTTGCAGTTGTTAGAGGCGTTTCGTGAGTTTAGCTGTTGAAGAGAAGAGAGCCAGAGTCGAGATGAGTTCGAGCGTGTGCTACAAGTGCAGCCGCCCAGGGCACTTCGCCAGGGAGTGCTCGCAGCCCGGTGGTGGCGGCGGCGGCGGTGGTGGCGGACGCGACTCCGGCCGTGACAGCTACGGACGCGGACGCGAGAAGTGCTACAAGTGCAACCGATTGGGTCACTTTGCGCGCGAATGCAAGGAGGACGCGGAGCGCTGCTACCGCTGCAACGGCGAGGGCCACTTCGCCAAGGACTGCCACCAGAACCCGGACACGCCGTCGTGCTACAACTGCAACAAGCCGGGGCACATCGCGCGCAGCTGTCCCGAGGGCGGGCAAATGGACCGCATGTCCAATCAGACATGCTTCAACTGTAACAAGGTGGGCCATCTGTCGCGCAATTGCCCCGAGTCGACAAAGACGTGCTACCTGTGCAACCGGCCGGGCCACATCAGCCGCGACTGCGACCAGGAGAAGTAGCCGCCGCGACGATAAGGACCCCCAGCAACAGCAAAAGCACACACACCACACAACACATCCCACCCACCCCCCCAGCAAGCAGACACCGAACATATAACGTCATTCGATCGCGGGCCGCCATCGGGCTCGAGTAGGCGCAGGAGAGGCTGGCAGGCGGACGCACCCGGACACGAATAAAATATAAAACTAATTGTAAGGCCATTTATACGAGGTGGAAGTTGTTATTGTATTTTTTTAATGTTTAAAGATGAGGCAGAAAATAGTAGTTTCAGTGGCGGATTGGCAGGCGAGGCGGTAGCGGCGGCATGAAAATTGCATTGCGTTGAGAATTGAAGTTTTTTAATGTTGAATTTTTGTAAAATTACAAACGAGAGCGGCACGAGGCGAGGAGCAGCGCACGAGAGCAGTTGAAGCAGTTGTAGTAAAAAATAAGCCTTTATTTTGTTCTTATATGATTATGTTTATTATTAGTTCTTTTTTGCCGATTATTGCGAATGATCGTTGCCGAACGCGAACGTTTTATACACTACACACACACCGGATTCAGACCGACGCGGCCCCCGGCCCTGCGTCGGCCGCCATTCTCTTTCACTTCCGTTGTGCTCACGGAAACAAGCGAAATTTATAATAATAACTCGAGTTTTCCTTACGAAAAGCTTGGCTCTGTTATTTTTTGTTGCGTAACCAGAGAATACACGAAAAACGTCGAAACTTGCACACAACCGACTTCTCTCCCCCGCACAGCATCCTTCTCATCACACACACAGCGCACCACTCTCGTTTACTAGCGCGCCCAGCGTACAAGACACACAAGATTGAGCCGCCCATCCATCCTCTCACATCTCAAATTGACGAATGTACATAGCTTTCGACAGAAGACAAAGACGTAAAATGAAGGAGGGATATTTTCACACAAAGTTTTCATTATCGCGGGGACTCGTAGGGGGTTTATTGCCTGTTTGTTTTTGTATAACTAATCGACTTGAAATCAACCCTAACTCTTAAGCCAACCAGAAATCTATCTATAAAATACATGTTGTAAGCGTTACGGAGGCGATGCAGGAGAAGAGACCGGCTATTTTCGCACGCGGCGAGACGCGCGCGCGTGCGGCTCACGATTCGCAGCAGTGGTGGACAGGAGGCGAGAAATAACAAGTGAAAATCACGAATGTACTTTTGTAATTGCATTTACTCGTAAATGAGGGTCGTTTATTCTTTGATCATGTGGAAGTTTTTAAGTAAAAAGTAAAGAAGCAGCAAAATGATACACTCACCCTGTTTTATTTCTCCCGCAACGCATCACTCGACTTCGGCCATTTTGTTTTTCGGTTTTGAATGTAACTGTGACTTGGGTTGCCTACATCACATTCAGAATGATTCCAAACATTGAAAGAGAAGAAAAATCGCGATTAAATCAGATTTTGAGCATATTAAACGCATTTTTCCTTAAGTTACATTAAAATCTTTAAGAATTAAAGACAAAACAAGTCAAAAAACGTTAAAATTTTAATATTTAACCTATTTTAAGTCCTAATATGAATGAAAATAGTATTCTCCGTTGTTTAATATTGAAACACCACGAAATTTCTTATATTTATGAAACGAATGGAATCGAAACCCGCATTGAATTAATTTATAATTCCATAGCGCGCATTCCACCCAAGATTCCTTCGCCCGCCTGCGGGCAATTCTGAATGAAAGCCTTGAAATGGCATTCTTTCTGTTTTCATTCCATACTTAGCGCATCCATCGCACTTCGCTGCAATTTCCCATCATTTTCACCCTTAGCGCAAAACTCCTTCATGCGACTGCATGCACACTTGTTGCATTAACATTTTCCAAGTGCGTTTGAAAAGAATTTGATGCGTTTGAGCCCGAGAGCTTGATAGGATACCGTTAGCAAGTGAGCGACCAGCATGAGCAAGACTCACCTCTCGTCGCTTACCACCACTACACTCACGCTTCTTCGGCTGTGTGCGCGCCGGCCAGGTAAACATACGCGCACGCTCACGGCGAAGAATATCTGACAACATTCCATTGAATTCGGTCAGTTTTCATTCTTGTAATTCCTCGGCGCGTTTGTGCCGCGAGCAGCACTCCGTCCTGTGCGCACCAGCCACCTAGCGCGAGGAAGTCAACAACAAAGCGAGTTTACATGCGCAAAACTCTTTGCTTTGGCGGAATTTCAAGTTAAAGCAGAGTGCAGAAGATGATGTGGTGAATAAGGCGACTCCTGGTGATTTCTACGCTGGGCAGCTGTTCATCGAGAGAAATATGTGCGGAGGTTAGGTGTTAAGAGAATCCACCACTGGAGGCATCCGCAACGCGAAGAACACTAGGGAATTACGTGTTTCTTCAATAAAAACACATTAAGTAAGTCGCATTTGACTCAAAACCACATAAAAACATCTAAAACAACAAGAATTAAAGAAGTATTGCATGATTTTTCATAGAAAATCTAAAATAACAAGTTTTTTAGTTCAAATTTAAACGTTTTTACATGAATTACGAGAGTTATGCTTAAAAATTCAAGTTTTTTTGGTTGCCAATAGTAAATCTATCACATTTCTTACCTAATTTAACTAAATTTTCCTTCATGTCTGTTTTAGAAACATGTGATAATGGTAATCACACAAATATGTCAGAGTTTTTGCCACTCTGCGATTTACTATTCAATGTCGTCTCGCTGGCTGCATACTTCTGCGACTGCGTCTTCGACCTGCTGATGGTCTACTCGCTGTACGACAAGGGCCTCTACTCCACATGCGTGCACTGCTTGCTGGCGATTGTCACCACCAGTCTGATAATCCAGTCATTATCACTATACTGGTACAACCTTAAACTCAAACAAAAACTACAAGACGAAGAACAAGACGGTGCCAAACAAGTGGAACGTCGCGCACCGGATGACAAACAAAAATGGCGCACAGCCGCCATTTGCGTGCTGCACATCTTTCAACTTGGGGTTGTGTGGCGGTATGCCAAACTCCTTGCACCTGTAAAACTCAAAAATGTTAAGGAAGAAGTGCGTGATTTATGCATTCTACGGCTAATACATGCGTTTCTCCAAGCGGCGCCCATGTTACTTCTTCAGCTGTCATTGTTAACCAAACATGAGTCGCCTCCAACGGATTTGGTGACTGTGTCAGCATCGCTGTCACTGTTTACAATATGTTGGGCATTGGCTTCTTTCAGTAAACATGTTCAGAAGGTGGAGAAATTAGTCTTGACATGGCTGGGAGTCCTTTCACAGTTACTGTGGCGAGGTGGGACTGTGACAGCCCGTGCGATGGCGCTGTCTGTCTATGCTGCATCTTACCACTCTTGGATTTTCCTTGTGATTGGTTTACACTGGGCATGTATGTTTCTGTGGTTGGTTTCACCACGAAGCGCTTTTTATGGCGAGAAGGGCAAGAAATTAGGGATATGCTTCTTAATGGCTGGGATTTACGTCCTGGCTTATATCAATCTGCATGACAAACCTCACACTCGTACAATGATGATATTCTACGGTATTATGTTGTTTGAGAACTTGATGTTAGTCACTGCGTGGTTAGCTGCAATCTGGGCGATTCGTCCTCCCAATTGGATGTTGATCCCGACACTAAGCGTGGTATTATTCATGTGTGGATTGTTTTTCATGTTGGTATACTACCGCTTTTTTCACATCAAGCGTATCTTGGAGAAACCAACGCAACCTCAAGGAGTCTTCAATTGTCGCTTTGTGGGACCTACAGCTGCATTATACAACAATCGCAAGAAGAAAAAGCCGACTAGTTTTGTCCCGCCGCCGGGTCTTGCTCCTATGACCTTCTGGCGTCGTCCTTTACCGTCCAGCAGTGAGAATGAAGGTTCTAGTGTTGGGTCACGTGTTAATATACATCAAAAACTGCAAGAAAAGAAACAAAAACAACTCGCTGAGTTAAAAATCATCGAAGAAGAAATAAAACAAGGCAAACTTGTGGGTCCCGAAGGTGGTGATCCGGATGATAGGCAACCAATTCCATGCACGAAGCGCCATCTTGAACCGCAATTGCTCAGCTTAGCTTCGTTGAATAATCTGGCGAGTTACGGGGTGAATTTAAATCGACGTCCGGCACCAAGGGCGCCAAGAAGTCGCACACCTGAATTACTGCTTGCGCCAAGATATCTGTACTGCGATTGTCCCATGCCGGAAGCGGAAGTTGAACAGAATAATAGCGATATTGAAAGTCAGCTGAGTCTGCCGCGGTCGTACACACTGCCGAGGGAGTTTAAGTATTATCGTCGTGGGAAAACTCGTCGCCCGGTGCGACAAGTTGCTTCTACTAATAGTTCAGATGGGGATGTGGATTCAGCGGAGGACGAGGAGGATTTCAATGTACCTCCGGTGCTGGTGCGCCCATTGCGGCGACCGCAGTATCGGCACGAAACTAAACTATAATTTATTTATTTTTGATAGTTTGATTTATGTTTTACCTGCGGCTACTCGAAATCACGTTATTAAGCCATTATTATCTGTGTACATATGTTTAGAGTCGCGATGGAAGAGAGATGAATTGTATATACAGTTTATATCTGCAGTAGCTATGATTTAGTTAAGTAATGATAATGATATTTTTATATGTAAAAATTATAAATATAATTTTATATGACCAACCAATGATAGGAAATGATAATTTATCATTATTGATGTTTTGCAAGCTGACTTACCTTTTGGTCGAGATAAAAGTTTGTTTAATGGCACGTAAACACCCTCAGACGCCCAAAAAAGCATTTTAGGGGTATAAGATCATGAACTCAATCTTAAATTATTGCTTTGGCTTTAAATACCACTTGATTTCAATGTTTTTGAAGACTACAAAAGGAAAACACTGAATTCCGTACTATGATAAACGCCATTTAACCACATAAACCCTCATTGACTATCATTTTACAAGCATATTATAAAACAAGTTGTTTTTATTCACATATTTTGCCGGATTCCTTTTTTATTTCTTTGTTTTCACGTTTGAAATTTTGTCTTCAGTTATGCTTTACCTAACCTTACAAATTTGAAAACTGATCTAACAAACTGATTTCTCTGATACATTGAAAGCCAATTTACTGCAGTTATGTCGAATTATAAGAAGAGAAAAAGTTCCAATTGGTATAAGCACCTGCCACCGAAAGTAACCATTGCTAATAAAGATGTTTCCAATTATTCAATAGCTCCACGCTTTGACTACATTGGATATGATCATTATTTTACTGAAACAGGTAAATATTAATAACAAATAAGTTATATTTTGTCTAACTTTTGTCTCTGTTTGATTATTAGATCCTGAAAAAGCTCAACCAACCCTCCAGAAAGTCCAATCATTTGAGAGCTTCATATATAGAAACACCAAATCATTCAACTTTACAAAAATCATTGATAAAGAACACTTTAAACTCAACTTACACATTGTGTTCAAAGATTATGAGTTAATGAATGAATGGAATACACTCAGAGAAGATTTAGTAAACAATGCTCAAGTTACAATTAATATCTTTGCACTAGCAATGCATCAAATAAGCTACACATATCTTGCAAAAAACGACGAAGAAATATCAGAGATCCGCATAATTCACTGCCGACTACAAAACTACGAACCAATCCTTCAGATTAAAAATTTACGTGCGAATGCCTACGGTAAACTCGTCTGCGTTAGAGGAACTATAATAAAAGCATCTTTAATTGGGCTTAAATGTACTCAGATTGAGTTTAAATGTGCATTTTGTACTGGTACACAAGTAATACAACTTGATGATGGAACATATGTAGAACCAGAGAAGTGCGCTATGAAAGGGTGCAAAGGACGCTCACATTTTGAACCACTATGGAGCTCTAAACATACGCTAAGCGTGAGTTGTCAAAGTTTAAAACTCCTGGAATTGGTTGGTGAAGAAACGGATGACAACGCACGCATGCCGAGGACTTTAGAATGCGAAGTTTGTAATGATTTGGTTGGGAAGTGTACTTCTGGTGATGATGTTATATTAACAGGCATATTAAATGTAAGCTGAAGAATATTCATCCATAAATTATTAATAATTAGCTTTTGTAGGTGAAAAATGCGAATGAATCTAAATTTTCTGCTAAAGGCAAAGTCCAACAGTCGGTTTATGAACTTTTCCTGAAAGTTAACAACGTACAAAATGAAAGATCTCAAGAAAACCTTCCAGCTGTATTCAACCCTAAAGATAATGAACTTATAGAGGTATTATTCTCAAATATCACACATATTTCACAAATTGTGTTATTACATTGTATTTTTTTGCAGAAAATCAAAGCTGAACCGAAATTATTCCGTTTTCTGGTCCAATCTCTCTGTCCGAAAATCTATGGACATGAAATAGTAAAAGCCGGATTGTTACTCGCGTTATTCGGCGGTACCAAAGGCGATAGTAACTGCCGCTCTGATTCACACGTGTTGATCGTAGGCGATCCAGGTTTGGGTAAGAGTCAAATGCTCCTCGCCTGTCACAAAATCGCCCCGCGTGGTGTATATGTCGGTGGTAACACTAGTACTAACTCAGGATTGACTGTAACAATGTGTAAAGAATCATCAGGAGAATATCGTTTGGAAGCTGGAGCAATGGTTCTGGCCGATCAGGGATGTTGTTGTATTGATGAGTTTGACAAAATGTCTGCGCAACAATCAGTAAGTGAAGTATTTTACAATTTCTTTAAACAAACTCCAATAAAATGTGATTTTTAAGTCGATAGAAAGGATAAACCTTACGGGTTTCACTGAAACTTTTACTACTCTGCGACATGTTTCGCCACACTGTGGCATCATCAGGCAGATGAATATTCAGAGTAGTAAAAGTTTCAGTGAAACCCGTAAGGTTTATCCTTTCTATCGACTATTACAATGGAGTTTCATCACGTAAGTGCCACCTCAATTCATGATTTTTAAGTGTTTACTGGAAGTCATGGAACAACAAAGCATTAGTATCGCTAAAGCTGGAGTGGTTTGCAGTGTGCCAACAAGAGCAAGTGTCATAGCAGCAGCTAATCCTGTTAATGGACATTATAACAAAGCCAAAACCGTCAGTGAGAATCTAAAGATGAAATCGCCATTATTATCACGTTTTGACTTAGTTTTTATTATTTTGGACCAAGCAGATGAGAAACGCGATGCTATGCTTGGCGAACACGTTTTAGCTCAGCAATCAAACAATAGTAATATGAGTTTTGATACGACTTCGTATCTTTTCGACGAGGAGAAAGATAAAGGCACTGAGGATGAATTACGGTACATTAGTCAATATTATTTCCTCTTTGATTTGATATCCGAGTTTTTATGTTTCTTTACAGTTGTAAACTAATGTTGAAACGTGGTGAAAAACTGGACCTACTACCGCCTGTTTTATTTAAAAAATATATTGCACACGCGAAAAAGTTCATCCATCCGCAATTGTCAACCGAAGCGCAAAATGTTCTTAAATATTTTTATGTTGATCTGCGTCGAAAGTATCATCGTGGTGATGCTACGCCAGTTACAGCAAGACAACTAGAATCTATGGTGCGCTTAACACAAGCTCGTGCTAAACTTGAACTGCGTGAAACTGCAACAGCTGAAGATGCGCAAGATGTGGTTGAAATAATGAGAAGTTGTATACTGGACGTGTTCACCGATGACTTGGGCATGTTGGACTTCACGCGAACACAAAATGGCGCTGGCATGTCAAATCATAAATCAGTAAGATTTTCTGTTTAAAAACATATTTTTAGTATAAATTTTAATATATTTTGTCATTTAGGCAATGAATCTGTTGAAGCAACTTCAAAAATATGCTGATTCCATGCAAAAAGACACGTTTGATGTGAAAGAACTGAAAAAGATGGCGGCGTCGATTGGTCTACAGGGTGAATCTTTCCACAACATACTTGATTCAATGAATATCAAAGGATACTTGTTGAAAAAGGGATATGATCGATATCAACTCGTTGTTTGTGATTAATTTAACATGATTTAGTTTAAAATAGAACAATAATTACTTGTTAAGTTTTAAAATATTTGTTGGCAGACGATCGCGAATGATAAATCGCTTTTCATCACTGTCGGTTAAGTCGTCCAGGTATCCGAACCAATAAATAATTAACCCCGGACCGAATCTACCAGTAAAATAATAAATATTTGTTTTTAAATCAAATGTCAAAGTATGGTGAGTACATACCTATTCCAATAACTAATGTATTGATTTTTTAAATAATCTTGATGAATTTCTGAATCGGCAAATCTCGCTTTGCTCTCGATCCAGTGAATGATAAAACCGTCCACGACTATAGGAATTTCTAATTTTACGTCTGGGGTCTTGTCAAAGCCGAATTTTCTCATGTATTCTTCAGTTCTGAAGACAATACCACATTTCTCCATTTGTTTGTATAATTTAATTTCGTATTGTTGACCTAAACTCCTAGAAAACTATCAATTACAACAAATATTCTTTTGATTGAGAATATAACTTACATTCTTATAATTTCACTTGTTGGACTATACTGATCATCAAAAGTTGTACACTACAACATTCAAAATATTAGATTATTGCGATACACATTTTAGACAAATAATTCTATATACACACTTACAAGAAATACTTCATAGGCCAATTGTTTATCATTAATTAATGTTGTGTTCCTCAATTGTTTCTTTACTAATTGCATTGTGTGATTATCATTGTTGGCATCTCCTTGCCCCTCAACCACATGTTTTGTAAGAATAATTTTTGCTGTAAGTGAGTAAGGAAGTTCATACTCATCAGCCAGTCTCATAATTACACCTGGTACAGCTCCTGATTGTATTGATTGTTTGTATTTGTTGTAAATTTCATTTGCTGAGTCCTGAGCCTTGGCAAACTTTGATTTTGTCCATTTTTGTACTTCTGATGAGAATATACTGTTTAATGTACCATGTTTCACCCTAAAAGTATTTTAATTAGTACAGAATATTGTATTAATAATAGTAAAATATTATTATTTTAGTCTTACTTTGGAAACTTTTGTTCTAAAACTTCAATACATTCAATATTAATGCGTTTAAAGCCATTTATCGTTGATAATATCTCATTATAAAGTTCAATTTTCATGATTTATGTTAAAATAATGTTTAAAAGTCTATTGGTTCATAAAATTCGTGTAAAATATAAGTTTTAAAATAAGTACATTTAAAAAACAACGGACAACACTTTATTGAGTTTTGTTAGGTTATGTCTGATACAATATACAGGATATTTTTTTTCATTTTGAGCCAAATTTCAATTTTGTAAACTGTTGACAGTTAAAAACATGTCAAAATTATAATTTTGATTATAAATTTTATTTTTTATTTTTAAATTAATTTTTTAGCAAAATTTAATAATATAAAACTTAAATCATGGGAAATCATCAGTGCACGCCCCCGCAACCTATTATTGTAGCTCCTCCACAGATCAGAATCACAAAACAACGCGACAAAGATCTCAATGCAGTGCGTTCAGTTTCAAATCCGTCATTAGTATCACAATTAGAAGATGAAGAAGAACAAATTGAGACGAGTATTAGCCAGCAGTTTGATGAAGCTTACATGGACATGATATACAAAAAGTATCAGACACTCACTGGTACCACAGAGTCTTTTATGCCTCCAGATGCTGTCAAACCGATCATGAATGTGTTTGATACTGTTTGTATGGATGAAAATATTATGTATTTGGCTATGAAAGTATCAGAAACGTAAGTTATAAATAAATAAGTAAGTTATAAATATTTAATACCATTTTAGTATTATAGCGTTCGACGATAGTTGGGGCTCAATGTATAGCGCATGCGCAGAACGCAATCCACTAAAATATGCCGAAACAAAAGGTTTTGCAACGGATAATCGATTGATTGTACATGCAATGATGATTTTTCGCACGTTAAAAGTGATTACTGCCTCGTTAGAAGAGGCAAACATAACACAAGTGATGAATATTTTGGATCTCGTCGCATTGAGTCATCTGGTTATGAAGGTTCAAGCTACAAGTTATAAAGTAAAACATTTTTATCATATAGGTAATATTAATTACTAATTAAACTAATTAAATTATAGTCGTTCTTGATTGCAATGGTAAAAAACCTGTTGCACTTCAAGATTGTCAGTGACGACGTGCTTCCTGCTTTTGTCAGTTTCAACTTGAATATTTTAACGAGCTTGGATAAACTTGTTCAACTTTGGCAGCAAAAACACATCGTGTTGTTGAATCAAATGTTTGATGGGCCAACTTCCCCAGCCAGAGGTAATATTATTAATATTTATGTATTTTTTGCATATTATTTGATATGTTTTTAGAGTATTACCGCGAATTGAAAAAATGGCGCATCTATGTTCTCTCTTGTTATAAATACCTGGCTAAACCATTGTTATCTCTCGAAAAACAAATTCAATCCGCGCATAAATTACAAAATGCACCCGGTGTTGAAAGTGGAAGTTACGAAAACTGGAAATTAATCCGTTGTCTCAAGAAAGGCTACAAATATCGATTGATGTCGGAGAATCAAACCGTATTGTAGTGTATCAGTATGAAATTATTAAACATCTTGTATAGTGTCTAGGTGTATATCTGGTTGCCTACATTCAATGTGCTTGCATTTTGGCAGTTCGCGTATGTTTCGCTGTCATTCGTTTCGCTCACTTTTGTAAACATGCATTTCGTAGACTGGACGCAACAAATTAAGCGCTACCTTTAATCAGCAAACAGTGCGCGTGTAATTAGCGCTAGACTCGCACGAGCGAGAGTAGCCTTGTGACCCAAGGTAGGGAAGCAACATGTGTTCCTTGTGAGCCCATGCACTTGCACCTTGATGTTCATTACAACACATTAACTATTGATTAGATGCATGCATAATCAAGTCGTTGTAGCGCGCTGCTGTGACAATGTCAGTCAGCCACATAACGCCGAGCGGCAAGGGGCAAGGCCAGAAGGGCAAACGCAACTCGATGACCCGGCCACAGAGCGCCACCAATGATGGAGACATCTTCATTGGCTTCCGGGTGGACTATGACAATGATGGTGTCACACCAGCCTACAAAACCAGACTGTTGAGTTTGTTCAAGCAGATTGAGAAAGAGTTTGATATCTTATACAAAGAAAATCAAAGCTGTAAGTTTTTATTTGTAACATTTTAAAATCTAAATAATTTTTGAGTAAATATTTCAGTACATGAAAGAATCGAGCAGTTAAATGAAAAGTTTGATGGTTGTGCCATTGACAAAGTTACAACTTATGACAGTGTGGACTTTGACAACAATTATCCACAGAAAATCAACAAAAAGTGTAAGTTTCACGTTTATTATCAAGTATTTTACTTAAAAACAAACAAAAACTGTGTGTTTATGCGCAGTTTAAAAGTCTGAGAGTAAAATTTCACCTAACAAACATTCATTTTATGTTTTTTTCTTTCTAGTGAGCACCACATCAACACAGAATTTAAAAGCAGCGCATAAATTAAAAGCTCAAACGAGTAAAATCGTGTCGAGTTTTAAAACGCCGCATTTAAATTGCAACTTAATCAGAGAATACAAGGGTCATAAAGATGGCGTCTGGGAAGTTTCAGTCGCGCGGCCTGGTCAACCCATCATTGGTACTGCATCAGCAGGTCAGTAATTAAGATAATTTACTTTCCTAATACTAATTATTACTTATTATGTAAGAACTATCCATGATTGAATCTCTAATAAAGGTTGCGTGTGGTATTCGTGTAGAGTAAACGCACGTGTACATAATATATTTCATTACTCATTACGCGATTGATAGTAATTACGCGAGTGCTTTTCGCTCGTAATAGGAGCACAAGACCTTGAGGCGATGTGCGCGTGCAACACGGACATTCGCCACACGTTTATGTCGCTTTTTTCGTTGGCTTAGTCGATAGTTTGCACCTGTTGGCTTCGTAACTTTCTTTTTTCTGTGTTAATACGCAGATTATTACCAATGACATAATAGCAAACAGTATGACTCACCAATCGTATTGATTTACACTCGTATTAAATTTACTGTTGACGATATTTTTTAGTATTTGTAATTCGTTTAATGGAATTGAAAACAGTAAAAAACAAATGAAATGATATAAAATTTTAGTTGCGCCATCTGGGGGTTATGTTGTATTATAGTTTAGAGGTTATTTATTAAAGTTATGGATTTAAACATGGAGATTACTAGTAAATTATAACTTTTTTAAAAGAAAATTATTATTTTGCAGATCATACTGCATGTGTGTGGAGCACTGATAACAACAGATGTTTACTGCAGTACCATGGGCACAACGGCTCAGTTAACTCAATTCGTTTTCATCCTATGAAAGATTTAGTGTTAACTGCGAGTGGAGATGGTTCAGCACATATTTGGCAAGCTGTTGTGAATTGGGATTTGCCTGTAAGTGAAAAATTAAACAACCAATTGCATTTGATAACATAAGTAGTACACTCGTTCGCCAGTAGATGTCGCTGCATGTATTAACTCTGCAATTTTTATTCATGCAACTTACAGAAAGGATATTCATCCGAAGAAGAATTAGAAGGTGATGAATGTGAAGATCGTGTAGATGCGCGTGTTTCCACCCTTAGGACACCAGTGCGTGAATTAGGAGGCCATGTCGGTGCGATTGCAGCAGCCGAATGGCTTTCAGGTATCAATTATAACTGTTTTTCTTTTTTACTAAAAAAACATGGCGTCTTAATGCATATGCCTTGTACAATTAGGTGCTGAGCAGATAATAACTGCGTCGTGGGATAGATTAGCGATTTTACATGACGTTGAAGTCGGTTCGACCGTGATCACCTTGACTGGTCATGATTTGGAATTGACGCACACGGCGACGCACGGGGCACAAAAACTGGCGTTGACCTCGTCGCGCGACACCACCTTCCGGTTGTGGGATTTCAGAGATAACGTACATTCGGTTTCCGTCTTCCAAGGACACACTGAGTAAATCAATATCACCTATAATCCATATAATGAAATTGTTTTGAAACTTCGTTTTTTTATTATTACAGGAGTGTGACTTCGGCTGTTTTCGCTCGTGACGACAAAGTCGTATCGAGTTCGGATGACCGCAGCGTAAAAGTTTGGGATTTACGCAATATGCGTTCCCCAGTAGCGACAATCCGCGTTGACTCTGCTGTTAACCGAGTTTCAGTCTCTCAGAATGGTATAATTGCCATACCTCATGATAATCGTCAGGTGCGACTGTTTGATCTCACTGGTCAAAGACTAGCACGTCTGCCACGTAGTTCACGGCAGGGTCACAGCCGTATGGTGGCTGCAACCGCGTGGGCGGATGAAAGTCTCGGCGGTGTTAATCTTTTCAGCTGTGGGTTTGATCGACGCGTGCTAGGCTGGTCGATTCAATCACTAAAGGATTTGTAAGTACAGGTATCCCAGAAACCACTCGCGTGGTGGGACATGTGATGGCGTAAAAAACTTTTCAAATTGTTTAAAATGTTAAAACACATTTGAAAAGTTTTTCGACACGCGGTGTTAACATGGGCGACCCTTCTCTCTTATTATATACTTATCAAGTCCTTTTTAAAGCTACAAAGAAAATCCGGAGTGGGCGAAGCGTAGTTTCGGACCTGTGTGCGTGCACTCGGATATTTTTAACGTGCTGAGAACCAAGGCGATGAATCTAGGGAATTAACCTCGAAACTTAAGCGAAGTTGTACATAGAAAAAAAAATGGCGGCGATCGTGGTGTTTGTTTGCGTACGACGCGTTACACGGAAAGTGGTTTATTTCGTAGTTACTCTTTAAAATAAATGTTTACCGTTTACCATTTCGGTGTCGTAGGTAATCTTTTCTAAATGCGGGACTGAACAAAATACTAAATACTGAAATATTTAAAACTATTTAAACATAGATGATATTTTAATGTGCGATTTGCATTTACTTTTTGTTGTGCTGTTGATTGTGTTATTTATTTTGTTGAGGAGATGTGCTCAAGGGTAAATTTAAGAGTTTAGGCGACAATGGGTTTATCATGTTTTTGCTTCGAAATTACTTATGTGAACCTCAATTTTTGTGGAAATGTTGTAACTCTTATGAAAATCATTTATTTGGTGTTAATGATGACAAAATATTGGTAATCCTAACATGGCCTAACCTCTTTGTTTATAATAATTCTTAAAAACCGCAGGATAATCATTCTATGAACATTTTGTAGGTGTTTTTGAGGTTATGTTTGCACTCTTTAACAATACCTGCACTTCTCTTTATGGTTGGTAAATTTCTGTCGTTCAAAACGATAACCAATATAAAAATATCGCGAAAACACCTTCTTGAAATGTTCTGAAAAATGATTACAATTGACTTTGGATAAATTTGCTTATAGTTGTAGATGTTCCCCTCGAAAATCTCAAAACATTATATTACATACACTAACTGAACTTAACTATAACTGAAAATTGTATCAAATAGCACACCGAACCGATGGACTTATTGTTCGTATCAGCAGAATGTGACACTGTCTAAATTTCTAGTCAATAGCTGGTTGTTTATTGAATAGTTGGTTAAAATTATAATTCTAATCATCATATCATGATTATTACACAATTTTATTGTATATGTGAGGAAAACACGTTCATATCATGCATTAATTAAGACGAAATTTAAACGGCGACGCGAATTGGATCGAATTTATTGTTAATTGCTTACTTAAGAAGTTTATAGACTTTAAAAAAGGAAAAAACAAACTTATAACACGCTAAAGATTTTATATAATTGCTCATGATGGTGCTGTATTTGTGAAATCAGTTGAATCATGCAAATATTATTTGAATTTTATATGTTTCCTCAATGTGTTTATTTGTTGGAGGTTACTTTATGAAAAATAATAATATATGAAATCATACGATACGATATAAAGTAATATGTTGAATCCTGTATAAAATATTTATAGGTTAAAAGTTAAGTTATTTTAGGTTATAAGTACATAGAATGGGTATAGATAGAAAATATTCTTATATTGAACCTAGAATACATCGTTTACATAAATTCGCCACTGATATTTGCGAAGATACTATCTACGTGAGTTAGGAAAATATCAATTTTCATATAAATTAGTTTAATTAGATCTAATCTGAGCTAACCTAACCTATACATTACATGACATTGTAAGTTAGTCGACGTTAGTGAAAATCTTCAGCTATCATTACCTAGTATTTATTTATATCAACAGGAATTGTTTTTTTTGTATGTTTTAAGTCTATTTATATTGTTTTTCATTTGATTTACGCTCTAAGCAACCATGCAATTCTATGCAATCAAACTATGCTATCATTAGACATACGGGTGTTTCTATATTTTTGGTTAGGTTACGTTTTCATACGCTTTTAATGGCATTCGAAGATTTTTATCGGAGATTTGAAAATCGAAGAAAGTTTTGTTTAAACCTCTTCGTTATCTCGTTTCTTTTGGTTGCGTCGACGCACGAGGAAGCCACGAATTCCTGCTTGGATTTTGGTGGCCGACTTGTCTTCGATGTCGTTGCCATCTTTCAGTTTTTTGCTGTCTGGTGCTCTACCACCGGAAGTCTTTCTGCGGGCATTGCGTTTTGGAGAGATCACATCGTTACCACTCTGGAAAATAATAATAACATATTTTACGGAATGTTATAAATATTTTCATATTGCTAACATAATTTAAAAACAATATTAATGTCACCAGAGGGCGCGCAGTTTGAAAATTCTGCGATTTTGGTTAAGTTCTTTAGTTTTTCTTTTGAAAAACATTAAAATTTAATTGCCCTCAAATTCTTCTATGAATTTCATGATTCTTACGCACAAATTCACTAACGAACATATAGATATAATTTATATTATCATGAATTCAACTGGAGTTTATAAATTTTATGATTTTCTGAGCAGATCCACATCTAAAATTAATCCTAGAAAAACCACCAATAAAACATTTAAAAGTTTATGAATTTATAAGTTTTATGGTGTCATTAACTGTTATTTTTAATTACAACAAGTATTAAGAAGAGAAATGACGCACGTGAAGTTGATTTCCTTGCCAAAAATCATGTCAGTAAAACATCATCTTCATGTTTCTTTTAAGATCTAATTCCGCCGCAAAAACCTCCAAAATTTCATGTTCAAGACCACCAGCGAATGTGCACAGTGCATTAATCATACATTTGATAGATATGAATCGCTTTACGTTCGATTTCGCGTATTTCGACGTCAATAAGCGTTGAGAGAGCGAAATGGTACACGTGGACTGACGCGCGACTGTCGAATGACGCAGGATGTACAAATTTAAATAAGATTTAAGATGGTTTACGTGTTTTAGAAAGTGAGAACAGCGACAGTATTCCCAGGTGCATAACATCATAAAATTTTGAGGTTATGAATAGGTTATGTTATGTTTAGTATTCTTTTGTATTAAAAATTACTAAATTGGAGCGTAAAATTTGAGAATTTGTGAAAAAAAGTTGCAAATAATGGTGCCAAAATGTGAATGTACTCAACAAAAAATAGACACCACCCGAAAATCTACAATAAGCGTCTGCAAACCGCAACAAAAACTAATTTTTCCAAATGTTTCACTTGGCAGCCCACTCACAATAACTTGGCATCCAAATCGGCTGAAAAATCTTGTTAAATTCGGTGAATTACGATCGTCACGGCCCAAAAACCATTGCCGTTTAATCGCCTCTCAAGAAATGCATAAAACGACCAACATTACGATAATTATCTGACGAATAATCTTCTCATCACATTTGTTATGGTAACTTAGACGTCCAACTCGAATTAATTCCGATTGAAATCGGTTTGATCCGATTTTATCATCAAAATAGATAAATAAATAAACACAGCATTTGGGTAGTGTACATATGCGTGTGTTGAGTTCAAGTGGTTTGTTATTGTTTTAATGGCTTTTAAATGAATTACAACGCAAACCCATCTGCAAGTGCTGCAACTTCGCCACGCGATAAACACATACGAAGCGAAACGCTTTGGAAAACGTCAATTACAGCTTGAGCTTAATTAAATGGTGCATTAACACTCGTTAAGCAGTGCAAACATACAAATACTTTTAGATACACATCCACACGTGTCGAATTCAACAGAATTCTAATTCTAACCTATAAATATTGCTATTTTACGGTTTTTGGAAGAAAAACAAAATGGTTGATGATGTTTTTGGTTAAAAAAACAATGATGTCATGTTTTTGAGCGGAAGAATGCGGAATGTGGTGCAATTTCCGAGATTTTCCCGGCAAGCAGGTCAGAACGGCGAATGTCAAGCGTCGTCATGGCTGAAGCGCGACATGAATAGCGTCTACCCTTGAAAAAGGCGACTTGGTGTGTGATGGTTGTGCAATAAAACCTCCAAGTTCGCCATATGAACATATTGCTACTCGGCATGTCGCAATTTCTGCTGTAAAGCGTGCATCTTCACATTTTGTATGAGTATCGCACATCCAGCACAGGCGCGCAGCGTGATTTATTTTTAGTTGTGCGGATTTAAATAGATAATGTACGGATTCACGGATTCACTGCCGAACGCTGAGGGCATCCGAACACGTCGAACATGTGTTGCTGCTTCGTTAACGGTAGTTATCTTCGCGTTTTAATTCACGCGTTAACGTACACACAACATGCGCCATTTTAACCTTTCAATCAGTTGCGAAAAGTGAAACATTCCGGAAATACACGAAATTTTTAGAATTTTTCAATATTTTTAAGGTTAAGTTGGTAAATGTCAATTGAAATGTCAAAATTTTAACCTAAAATTATTTAATGTTTATAATCGGAAGTATTTTAACCGCCATTTTAAACTAAAATATTTTGCTTGCGTGAAACATTCTCAAAAGTTGTTTATTTTTGTTTAATTCGCTTTATTTACTCAAAAAGTAAAATTTTCCTTAATTAAAATTTAACGTTGAATACGATGATGGATGAGGTTCGGTGCGTAGCTGTCAAAACAAAAACAGTAGCGACTACATATATCAAAGAACTTGTATCAAATGCAAATATTTTTCATACCAAAAACAACAACGCTCGAGAATCGAGATTAATAAGATTCACTTTGAATCAAAACAACTTTGATATATCGCACCATTCGCCTGTCACAATTAAGATATAAACAAGATGGCTGCTATTTTATTACAAATTCCAACGTGAAATTCATCTTTGTCTGTCAAAAATTATTGTTTTACGCGTAATATAAACACTTTTAGGAGCAGCTTCTATAAATTTAGTTTCTGATATCAAATATAATGATATTAAACGCAGAAAAATGAAAATGAAGTCCAATAGAATGTGTGGAGCGTTTGTATCAGTGCCAAAATAAACAATGGCTGCGATGGCGATAGCGCACGACTTGAATACTTCAACAAATCGTTTATAATGCGTTTTATTGTGTCTTAAATGCGTTATATGCTTGACTTGGCAACACATTTGATTTACTTTTAAATTTTTATACTTAAGAGACTTAGAAAGTTAAAATAAGTTTGGTTATGTTAAAGTTAAAAAGTCTTACCTTAGGTTTTTGCATTTGTTTCCTAACTTGATAACCGCGAAAACTGGCCTGGATCTTGGTCGCCGCCTTCGACTCGGCGTTCCTTTCAGCGATGATGGCATTATTCCTTCTTGGATCCATCTCTTCAGTGTTTCCTCTTCCCTGCGGTTCCGTCTCGTTAATATTTTCTTCTTCTTGTTCTTCGTCAACCGGCAAAGGAGAAACGTCTCCTGTAGGTTCAAAACTGTCAAATTTTGAATTTTCTTCTTCTTCTTCTTCTTGGTTTTTGTGTTTATTTTCGGTTTCTGATTGATTATCTTCTGATTCTGCTGCTCCTGTTTCAAATTCTGCGTCTGCTGTTTGATCAGAGTTGTGAGCGCGCTCAGCTGAGACTGCGTGATCGTCAACGTCGTGAGTAAAGCTGGTTGTGATGGACTGAGTGGCCTGCGTCGTGGTGGTCGTCGCGGCGTCGCCCGCGGAGAGGGAGGACCCCGCCGACGACGAGGAGGAAGCGACGACGACGACGCTCGCCGTTGGGATCGACGTCGACGCTGACGTGGTCACTGGTCTTTCAGCACCTGCTGTAATTTCGCGCATACATTAGATTTACATCGCCTTACTCAACTCGTGCCAAGCAAGCAATCAGCGGTCTTTTGTTTTCTACTAACAAAACTCTCCATTACTCGAAATATTATCGGATATTTATTGAAACTGAGAGTTTTGTTTGTTGTTTGTCGAAATATGAAGCGGCACGTGCAAAAAACTGTATATTTTTAGCAAAACAAGCTAAGAAATCTCAAAATATTGAATATTTTTAAAGAAAACACTGTCACTGGTATAATATTAACATTTTTAGGTTATAAATCATCATAACCTATATTCTATAAGCATAAAAATTGCGTTAAACATTAAATTCCACGTTTTTCATTTACTAAAATAAAAAGCATTAAATTATATTGAAATAAGTGCAAAGATGAACTCCAAGAGATGAAACTTACTATGATGACAAATACTTGACCTGGTGGCGTAGCCTTTGCGTCGTTAACTTCTTGCGACATCTGTGTATCGTTAGCGTTTAAATTCCGCTCTGATTTTTCGTATAAATCATTAACCTCAAACGGCAAAGGGATAGCATCATGAAATTCGCCGGAATGTAACAATCCGATATTTGCTTCTTTTTTGGTTAATTCTGATGTTAATTTTATTGCATCTGAGATGGGATTTGCTTTGTCCATGTTCGGATCATGTAGATAAAATGGTTGCGTAGCTGTCAAATCATTTTCATTTCCAGTTTTCTCGTTTTTATTGTTATCATCACTTTCTTCAGCATCTTCAACTTCAACTTGATGTTTTACAACATTTGTTTCTTCAGAATAAGAAGAGTCTTTATTTTTTTGGTCTTTGGAAGACCCTAAAAAAGATTTGGGGACGTCAGCTAATGATTTTAAAAACTGACCAAGTGTAGGATTTTTCTTTCCGGGTGATTCTTCTGTTTTAGAAGTTGTTTCTTCTCTTTCTTTTTCTTTTTCTTCCTGTGTTGATTCTGTTGTAATTTGTTCGTATTTTTGTTCTTCTATTGTTTCCGTAGTTGATTCATTTGTTTGATTGGTTTGTTTAATGTCATTGTTATTATCTTTGTTTGTTTTAAGATTACGCACTCGAAAACCGCGGAAAGCACTTTGTATCTTTGTCGCAGCATTTACAAAACCTGTCAAGAACTTTATGTCTTCTTCATTGTTATTGCTTAATTGTGTTGCGTCAATTACAATGACATCATCTTGATTAGCATTTTCGTCTAAATTCGTTGTTATTTCTTCAATTTTATCATTGTCAGTAGTTTTACTATCGTCACCATTATTATTAGCTTCTATTTCAATATTAGTGACCTCTTCAGAAGCACCATCCGCCATTTTGTTTGCATTCTCATCATTATCTTCAGTTGTAATATTTTCATTTGCTTGATTCGTGTCAATTTGGTTGCCTACCTCTGTTTCAATAGTATCTGTGACCTCTTCTTGATTGTTTGTTTTGTTTTCTTTTTCTTTCTGTTGTTCTTCTTTAAATTTGTTTAAATCTTCAGTTAGTATGACAGTAGCAACAGAGTCTAATGAAGTTGATGAATCATGACTAATCAATCGACCAATATTAATACTTCCTGCTTTATCAATGACTTCTAATGTGTCTTTCATAGGATGATCTTTACTTTCTGTATCCTCTGCTTCAGTAACTTCCGTAATAACCACTCCATCTTCTTTATCTCCATTTGGTGCTTCATCACTGTCTTCTTCAATAATTGTCTTGATATTATTCAATTCTTCTTTAATTTCATTAATCAATTTACGAGATTCTACATGATCGTCATCTTCTACTTCGTCTTCATCAACATCTTCAACATCGTCATCGTCTTCTTCAATTATTTCAACAGGACTTGAATAGTCATCATCAATCACTAAGATGTCAACATGTGGGTTGTTTGTTTTATTTTCATTGTCGTCTGGTTCTTCTACAATTGGTTCTCTAGACATTTCTGCTGGAGGTTCTTCTTCTTCAATTGATCTTGCTGTATATGGTGGCATTTCGGAAAGTGGTGGTGCTGATGGTGCAATGCGTTCTAAAGAATCTAATTGTGTTGGTTCTTCTTCTGGAGTTACGGTGTTATCAGTTTCTTCCATTTCGTCTATTTCGTTTTGTATTGAATCTTTAAAGTCTTGAATTGTTTCTTCTAGACTTGGAGATTGTAGTGTTTTAGATGATGTGACTTCATGTTCATCTGATTTGTTGGTTGCTGTTTTTGAAGCAGCATCTGTTGAAGTATCTTCTGATCTATCATTTGTTTGGTCCTCAGCAGATATTTCATCATTTTTATTGTCTTCAACTTGTGCTTGATCATGATTTAATTCTTCTTTAGCTTCGGTTTTATCAATTTCTTCAATATTTTCTTTGATATGCTTTGAAATGTCATTAAGAGTATCATTTTTGACGGCTGATATATCACGTTTTGCTCTTTTAGAGTTGTCTGTTGTTTCTTCAGATATTTCTTTTGCTTTTTCCGATATTTGTTCTTGAGTCTGATTACAATTATCTTCAACTTCTTGAATATTTTCAGACACGGCTTGTTCTACCTCATCAATAACTTCATTTGCAGCTTCAATAGCTTTTTCTCCTTCTTCAATAACTACATCTTCAATTGTTTCTTCTTTTCCTTCCACAAGATTATTGACATCTTCAATAGTATCTTCAAGTGTTTCTGCAATATTATTAATATTCTTTTCTATGGCAGTTTCGATTACTTCCTTTTCTTCCTTTCCTTCTTCTTTGGTCGATTCTTCAATATTTGATATGTTACCTTCAACTTTTTGACTTTCATCAGACGCTGCTTCATTTGTACCATCTGGCAATTCATTTTCTGCTTGAACTTCCTTTGATTTATTAGATTCTTCTGTAGAAATATTGTTTTCCTTAGTTTCTTCTACAACATCGTTATCTTTGTATCCAATATTGTCAATATTACCTTCCTTAATATCCTTAATTATTATTTCTTCTTCTTTTGTAATTTCATCATGCACATTATTAATATTATCTTTTATTTCTTTTATTTCGTCTGATATAGCTTCACTCGCGTCATCCACAACTTTATTTACTTCTGCTTCTACTTCACTAATTTTTTCGGCGATATCTGAAGAAATGTAATTTTCATCAATAGTATCAATTTTATCCTCACTCACTTTATCTTGAACATCACTTACTTCTTCCTTTGTTGCTTCTGAAGAACCATTAATCTTCCCAGCGGCTTCGTCAATATTTTCCTTCACATCTTCTTCGGCAGCATCCATTACATCTTCAACATCACGTTTGCTTCGTTTTACAGTGTCATTAATATCATCGGCAACTTCTTCTACTTTTGTTTCAACTTGATTGTTACGATTATTTACGTTTTCTTCAAGATGTTTAATGTCCTCATTTGTTTCTTCAATTTTTTCAGACACGTCAGCAGTAGTTTCATTTAAATTCTCTTTGATATCATTTTCTGCATCGGTTATAACATTGTCTACTTCTGTAATTAACTCAGTAGTGTCCTCTTTAATATCATTTACACTTCCTTTAATATTTTCCTCAATTACATCAGTTCCAGCCACAATTTTGTCAATTGTATTATCAACGTTCTCTTCTATAACTTGTTCAATGTTTTCTGAAGTTTTGTTTACTGTTTCCAAAGCATCGTTAATATTTGATTGAATATCTTTATGTGCTTCAGTTATAGTATCGTTAATGTTTTCTTTTAAATCGGCAATTGAATCCGCTAACGTGTTTTCTGCTGCTTCGATTGTATTGACACCATCAGCAATGGTATTGTTAACGCTTTTATCAATCTCTTTGGTTAAGTCATCGCCAGTTTCAATAGCATGTTTAATTTGGTCTACAGTTTGTTCTGAAATCTCATTTAGGTTTTCTTCAATATTATCTTTGGATTCTTCTAAAGCATCTTTTATTTCTTCTGTAGCAGACTTCATGTCATCTTTTACATCAATTTTAATTTGTTGTTCGATATCCTCAATATTTTTGTTTGAATTATCTAAAGTATTTTTGGTATTTTCTTCTGCTTTAGTTAAAGTTTCATCAGCTTGTTCTAACGCACTTTCTGTTGCTGCTTTATCATTATTTATATCTTCAATTATTTTTTCTTGATTTTCTTGGAGTTCTTCCGAAATTATTTTAGACTTATTTTCTGCATCTTCACCAATTTCTACAGCCGCATCATTTGCTTCTGATATTGTGTCAGTAACACCATTATCAATCGATTCAATTTGATCAGACGCAGCAGCTATTTCTTCTTGCATTTCATCATTAAGTTTTTCAGAAATATTATGTTTGTCTTCTTCTGCACTCTTAACAACATCGTCAACTAATTGCTGTGCATTATCAGTGGATTCTTTTAAATTATCCATCGCTTCTTCAGCTTCTTCGGTCTTGTCTTCAATTTTGTCTGCAACATCCTCCAAATTATCTTTAATATCTTCATTTGCTTCAGTAATAACTTCATTTATTTCTGATTTTGTGACAGAAACATTATTATCAAGTGTATCCATTTGATCATCAACTTTTTCCAGCAAATTCTCCGTTGATTCTTTAATATCTCCTTTAGTTTCTTCCACTTGATCTGTAAGGTCTTCTAAATTGTCTTTAATATCAGCTTCAGCATCCGCTCCAACATCTTTTACGTCTGCTAAGGTATCAGAAACTTTGTTATCAAGCGCGTTTATTCCATCATCAACTTGTTCCACTAAATTCTCTGAGAGTTCTTTAGTTTCTTCCTCTGTTTCTTCTATTTTAGCTGCAAGGTCATCTAAATTCTTTTGCACATCAGCTTCGGCTTCTGTAACCATTACCTTTACATCAGTTGTAGTATCCGAAATATTATTATCAAGCTCTTTTAATTTGTCATCAACGTTTTCCTTCAAAATTTCTGCTGATTCTTTAATTTCATCTTTAATTTCTTCTACTTTTGTGGTGAGATCTTCCAAATTTTCTTTAACATCAGCTTCCCCTTTAGTAATAACATCGTCTACTTCTGATATAGCGTCAGAAACATTATTATCAAGCGCATTTATTCCAGCATTTACATCTTCTTTTAAATCCTCTGATAGTTCTTTGATTTCTTCTTTTGCGTCTTCCATTTTAGTTGTGAGGTCTTCCAAATTCTCTTGAACATCAGCTTCAGCTTCCGTAACAACTTCTTTAACTTCCGTGGCCGCATTAGAAATAGAATTATCAAGCTCATTTATTTCGTCATTTATTACTTCTTTTAAATCTTGAGATGATTCTTTGATATCTTCTTTTATATTTTCCACTTTAGTTGTAAGATCTTCTAAATTATCTTTAATGTCAGCTTCAGCATTCGTAACAACTTCAGTTATTTCTGCCAGCGTACCAGAAATATTATTATCAATATTTTCCAGCACATTTTCTGACTTTCCTTTAATATCATCTTTCGTTTCTTCGATTTTACTTGCAATATCATTTAAATTCTCTTTAATGTCATCTTCAGCTTGTGTCACAATGTCTTTTACGTCTGTAACAGTATCAGAAACATTTTGTTCAAACGCATCAACAGTTTCGGATACCACATTTATTTGGTCATTAACTTTGTCATCAACTTTATCAGATATATTATTAATCTCTTCTGCAACATCATTTTTAATGTCTAATAATGTATTTTTAGCATTTTCTTTTTCTTCCACTGCAGTTTCTTGCAAATCATCAATTGTATCTTCGATTGATCGCTTTTTTCTTGAAATACTATTAGAAACTTCTTCCAAATTGTCTTTAAAATCATCCTCAGCATTTGTTACAACATTATTCACTTCATCTTTTAGTTCATTTGCGTCTTCTTTTAATTCATCTATTGTTTTATTAATTTTTTCGTCAGCGTCTTTAAGTTTTGCTTCCATTTTATCTTTTACTTCTGAAATAGTGTCAGTAGCTGCTTCACCAACTTGTTCTTTAAGTATTTCAGCATTTTCTGTTAAAGATTCCACATTATCATTAATTTTATCATTTAAATCAGCAGCACTCTCAGAAATTTCCAAAATTTCACCATCAATAGTCTTCTCAACATCATTTAAATTTTCTTTAATATCTGCCTGACCTTCTTGTATTATATTTGAAATTTTATCACTTTCATCTTTCAAAGATGCATTCACAGTATTTATCTTCTCTTCAGATTTCTCAACTGCAGAATCAACAACATCTTCAAAATTAATTTTTAATTTTTCAAACCTTGCTTTAATCTGATCTTCTGAAATATCTTCCCCAACTTCGGAGCTTTCTTCATCTGCATTAACATTAAAATTAGTTAATGATTCCTTCGCTTCTTCTAAAGTTTTTGATCCTGAAGATATTAATGTTTGTAAATTGTTGGTCTGGCTTGCAATAAAGCCACCGACTGCACCAATTGCTCCAGCAATAATTTTACCTTCTTTTTTCGAAGAAGTTGAACCAGCTGAAGAAGGAGGAACATTTTCTTCTTCTTTTTCTTTATATTCATCGGTAATATCATGTAAATCAATGTTTTTATCAGAACGCGGAGATGTAACATAATTTTCTTTTTCGTAATCAACAAAATTTTGAGTTGTGGCTATCAAATCATCAGCAGGAACTTCAATAATAACAGTATCTTCCGTCACATCATCTTTTTTTGTGTTTTCGTCTTCTATTTCATCAATTTTTGCACTTTTTTCATCTTTTTCATCAATTTTTGTTTCTTCTTCTTTTGTTTCTTCATTTTTTTCTGGTTCTTCATTGTCTAGAGATTCTGAATCAGTCAAACGAATTCTAATTGATTCAACTGGTTTATCATTATTAATATCTTCAGAAATTACTGCTTCTTCACGAATTTCTTTGTCTGCTGATTTACGTCTTGGCGAAAGAAGATTCTTCAAATTACTACTTTGCGTTGCAAGAAAACCACCAACAGCTCCCATTGCACCCGCTATCACACCTTCTCCGCCATCTTGTTTTTCACTTTTTTCTTTTTCATCATTTTCTTCAACTTGAAGACGTGGTGATATAAGTGGTGAAGTCACATAATTAATTATTTCAGTATTAACAAAATCCCTTGTCAATTCAATTGGATTTGAGGCCAGATCTTGAATTTCTTCTTTTGAAGCTTCTTTATCTTTATCTTTAGTATTTTCTTCATCTCTTGGTGATACCATTGGTGATGTAGCATAATTCTGTATTTCATTATCAACAAAACTTTTTGTTGCTGTTATCGTATCCGGAATTGTTTCTACTTCTTTATGATTAGTTTCTTCTTCACTTTCTTCTTGAATATCAGCTAATTCCGGAACAACTTCGTCATTTATCTGCTGAGTTACATGTTTCGCAACAGCTGCCTCAATTTCTGCATCAACGCTATCTTTAACATCTTCCATACTGAAATCTAGCGAACGTATCATCCTATCATGATGAAAATCAGGATCTTCATTGGGAACAGAAACGTTTTCAAGTTTTTCAAGAACTTTGTTAATTTCTTCATCAATTGATTCAGATAATTTCATATAGGCATCTAGTTCAGCTTTTTCTGCTTCTTGTTGAGAAGTTTCAGCATTTTCATTTGTTTCAGCAAGAGTTTCTGAAGTTTCTGCTTGAATTTCACTTTTACCTTCGCCATTTTGTTTTTCTTGATTTCTCTTTCGTACCAAGTGACCTTTAATAAACGATTGAATTAAAATAGCAGCTTTAACAAACTTTTCTTCATTTTCTTCTGCAACAGTATCCAAATGTTCTTCAGAATCTTTCCCAGCACTTTTTTCTTCTTTTACTTTTTTGATTTGCTTCCTCACCAAATTTCCCTTCATGAATGCCTGAATAACAGTTGCTGCTTTAACTTTTTCTTCCGAATCTAGATCCTCCTCAATCGTACCATGCACATCATCATCACCATCTCCGTTTTCAACTTGTTTTTTCATCTTAAACAGAAAACAGAAAATCAGTTCAGTGGGGAACAAAATAAAATTTAGTTTTCGATTTGAATGGTTTTGTTTTATGTTCTTGTATGAGTGTGAGCGAGAAAAGGCGATGTATTGTCTCACTGAACTGTTACCTGTTTGATGACGTGCTTTCGCGTCTGATGGCCGCGCCATGCGGATTGTATCTTAATGGCGGCGGTGGCGCTGTCATCGCTGAGTGTTTCTGTTTCCACTGGTGCTGGGATGTGTAAGCCTAGTGCTTCTTCATGTGGAACTGTTGGTTCTACATCTCCTCCAAAGACTTTAGAAGTTGTTGGTCGATCAGTTTCTGTTGATGCAGATAATAAGTTAGCATCTGAAGAATTATTTTCATCGTCACTTTTGAGTTTATCTTCTTTTAAGTATTTTGAAACGTCTTCAATACTTAGAGGTCCATCATCATCCACTTTAGTTTCAGAATGTTTTATTGGGGTGTCTTGTTCGAGAAGTAATGCATCTTCATGTGAAAATTCAGCTGATGGTGTTTTAGCGATGGTGACAAGACTTGCATCATTAGCTTCTTCATCATCATCATGATTTGAGGTTATAAGTTCGGGAGCTGATAGACTTACATGAAGATCTGTTTCATCATTTTTAATAACTTCCTTGTTATCAACTGGATCTGCAGCCGTTTCTGAAATTTCTTCTTTCTGAGCATCTTCAATTGTTTCGTTATCTTTTAATTTATCTTGTTCGGTATTGGCATCAATTTTATCTTGATTTGAGGTTAAATCTGCTTCTTGAGCGCCATCTTCTTTATTTTCAGAAGTATCTTCTTTATTTTCTTCTTCCCTTCCCATTTCATTTAAGATGCGAAGTTGTTCTTCAACGAAACCAGCAGCATATTCAAATTTCTTCGAATCTGCAGTTTCTTCTGTCTGTTTTTCATCCTCGGCCGTTTCTGTGTTAACTTTTTCTGCTTCTGAGTCTACCACAGTACATAATTCATCTTCTGGGATAGTCATTGGTTTACCATCAACAGTAAGAGGTTCTTCTTCTTTTTCTTCTTCCTTTTCAACTAATTTTTCACTGTCATTTGTTTCATCAGCTTGGATTTCAGAAATATCTTTGTTTTCTATGTCTGGTTGAGCGGGTGTTTCTTCAACTTGTGTTCCATCAGATAAAAGTACTTCTTTAACTTCTTCTTCGTGTTTATCAGCTGTGACAAGAATATCTTTAACAGTTTCGTCAACTAATTCTGCATCTTTTGGTATTTCTGTGTCTGTGACTGCATTTTCTTTAACTTTTAATTCTAAATCATTTTCTGTTTCTTTTTCAGGTGACTTTTCTTCATGTCCTTCACTTGCACCATCTTTATTTTCATCTTTTGCTTCTTCTAAATTTGCAGATTCTTCATTAACAACTAGTTCAGCTGATTTAGCTTCTTTAGTATCTTCAGGAATTGTTTCCAAAGCCTTCTCTTCATCTTCCTGCCCTTCTTTTTCCACTTTAACTTCATCATGTTCAATTTCTGAAGCACCAACTTCAGTCGCATCTTCCTCCCCAGGACCTTCCAAATCTTCACTTAATGTTGTACCAACAACCGCGTTACTAACAACAGATCCCGAAATACTTTCTACATCTAGTTCAGCTTCACCTTCATCTACTTTTTCTACATTTACCGCATTAGAAGTCTCTGTAGTTTCTGAAGATTTAGATTTATTACTACGATCACTCAGGTTACCAGATTCTGAAACTGTTGCCGACCCAACTTCTTTGCCTTCCTTGTCATCAACACTTTCTTGACTGCTTGATTTAGATTTTTTGTTGACAGCTACTCCAGCTAATGCTCCACCTACAACTCCTCCCGCAACCCCCACAGCTATCGGAGCTACCTTAGTCACATTCTTCTTCGGTAACTTAGACAACTTCTCAGTAGACTTATTCAAACCTTTTCCATTAACTGAAATACTACTACTAGAATTACTATCAGTGCTCTTTGTCCTCGGAGTAACTTTAGTAGAAACGCCATTTTGTCGTCTAGTTGGATCCCGTCTTGTTCTAGGTGTTTCCTTAACAACTTCTTTAATTGGTGACTTAGTAACATCTAACGTCCTCTCTAATTTTTTATGTTCTTTTTTGTCAGTTCTATCTTTACTTCTATGTTTGGAATCATCTCGTCTGAAAGTATACGCTTCCCGAATTTCCCTCGGAGTCCGTTTAGGTGGCGCCACTTCCTCCTTTTGCACTGGTAACTGTTTCTTCCACTTCGCTCTTTCTTTCTGTACAATTCCACCTGCTGCCGGTTTTTTAACCGTGTCCTTGATCAATGACTGTTGATTAAAACGCGTCTTTTTCTTTTCATCACCCCGTCCAAATTTAGGCGTAGTTATTGAGCGTGGTGTCTTTGAATTTGTAAAAATAGTCGGCGTAGGCAACTTGTTAAACTTTGTACCGCTTGTGATTGATTTAACCTTCAACTGTTTGGATTCTTCGCTTTTCAGTAATTCTTTTTCGTTTGCGTTGAGTTTCTCTGTAATTAAACAAAAAAAAGAACATTGACTAAACTATTCAATAACAGCGTAATTATTTAGTTTAACGTCATGAATGAGGAGGTAATGAACCTTGGCCTTGGTCAATAAACTCAAACTACGCCCATTAAACATTAAATTGGGCGTTTACGTGCGGAGAAACAAAAGACGTATTTGGTATTAAATTTCCGATAAATTCGATTAGAACTGATAATAAACACGCAAACACGAAATTTAGTATAAGTAAATGAGGAGGGGAATAGTTTTCAACATACCTCTGATGGCTACTAAATGAGCAAAATGTTCGGAGGCGAACGCGAATAAATCCTTGGGTTTCTTCATGAGCACTTGCTTTGTGAGGCTTTCCATTAACTCTTCTAGGCCAATGGGAACGCTGAGGCGTTTTACCACCATTCCGGTGTCACCGTCTATTGTTGTAGCTACTTGCATTTTGGAGATATCTTCAAGTCTAAAAGTTTTATTAGTAAAAAATCATTAACTTTTATGTTTTAGTGGCGAAATCACTGATTTTCAGGTTTGGATTTAGTATTATTTAATTATTGCGTTGATATTTTGAATTTTTGAGCTTAAATTCACGTTTTAACAACTTATTTATAGTTTTATAAACAAATTTCTTCAATTACTTTGAGAAAAAAATACTAAATCCAAAAATAAAACCAAATTATAAAATTTTTTTCTGCATCAACATAAATCACATTTCAAATGACTCAAAATAAATGGAAATAAATTTAGGTCATGAAAAGTAGAGCAACAAATGTAAATTAAGTGGTAGGTCAGTTCGTCATAATAGAAGAAAGGGAAATTTGTGTGAAAATAAAATACGCCATCGAGGTTAATTACAAAATCTATAAATCAACACAATCAAAAAAGAAATCACATCAAAATTTTACGATCAAATATAGGTATTTACTTATAATTAATTTAAGACTACAAGAACCAAAAAAAAAATTATAAATTCGATTTTACTTACCTATTTAATCACTATTTTTCTAAAAATAAGCTCTAAGCTTATTTTTGCACTTAAATTTAATTTAACTCTCGTCAATTACTTATTTTCACAAAAACTATAAATTTATTCTTTGATACGCAGTAGTTTTTCTTTAACGTTCGTCCGACACGAATGTCTAGCGATAACTGACCGCTACTCGAGTAGTTTTCCACGCTTTCCACACTTTCCACGTTTTCCACTAGTAGCTACAAATCGACCGGCCAATCTGCTGGTCACTACAAACAATTTCTTCTTCTTACACGGCTAATAATCCCAAATTGTTCCATTTTTATTCTTCTCCGAAACATCATGAATTACAGAATACATTAATTTATATTTCCCAAAAAATTTACGACTTTTCTTCAAAAATGTATTAAAATATCCAAAAATACAGCCCAAAAATGGAATAATACGTGTTTATGCGTTGTGTTGATACCACAAAAAGAGAAACATTCAAATATTTCGAGATTGTTAAATCGATTTTCTTCTTTTCGCGGCGTCGTCCCCGTTGTTGATAGTAACGCATCGGTTCCCATAGCAACGCCAACCTATACAACACACAAAACACAAAAGAAAATAAAATATCGTTTATTCACTGCTGCAGAGGTTAAATTAAGAGTTCAATTGTAGAAACTAATCTGACGTAACAAAACAATTGCGCTACAATGTATCAGGTCGTTTACACTTTGGTAAATCATAAATAATGAAACATATTGAATAAATCAAAGGTTTAATAAAAGATAATCACTGGATATGCTCGAAATATGATATAATTTATTATATAACTTGCATTTTATTCTGCAATCACATTTGCGCTATCAGACGCCGCTAAAATATCATAATCAATATATCAACATTATCATACATATCATTTTAATTAATTAATCGATACATTTATCAATTTGAGATCGTCATTTTCCGCTCATTTGTTTGATACGCGCGTTTCGGCTTTTGTTTCGTCTCATAAAACTTAAACACTCATAAATGTAGATATCACTAATTAATGACTACGTTTCGCTCGCGCTGCGCGAAAACTATTTGAACTTAAGTAATGCTACACAGAGGGCGCTTTCGACCAAATAATAAATATTTCCAGCGCGTTTCGTTAAAATGACACAACAAAAAGAAAAAAAGAAAAAAAACCTCCTCGTAATTATTTAGCTAATGCGTGAAATTAATTAACAAGAACGTAATTAATTCGTAATTAAACATCACATGTACAAATCGATCGATTAATTAATTAATCAGAACGCCATGGAAGTTTGTTCTTTGCGTTCACAATTTGTTTTCCTTCACCTTCGTTCGTTTGTTTGTTAAATATAATCGCTTCTTTTGCTTCAATTAATAATAACATCACATTCATAAGCTTTTTTTGTGTTCGTCGTCAGGTCGTTTCGTACGGCGGCCATCTTGTGGCCGTCGCGTCGTCAAATATATTAAAACAACACTTGGTATGCAGTTGAGTTTTGTTTTTGTGGAATCATGCGTGTGTGGTGTGTTGGGGTGTGTGTGGAAGTAATACTGATGTGGCAATTGAGGGCGGCGCATGCGCGTTAGCGCTTAGTCCTCCTCGTGGTAGCACTCGTTGCTGCTGTCGCCGTAGCAGCCGTGGCAGCGCGACGAACGATCTTCGCGTTGTTGCTGACACCACATGCCAACGCCGCAACGGCCGAATATCTCCTTTGGACCGCCACATCTTTCGCCTGGTCCCTGTGAACGCAACAAAACAGAATGTAAGTTATAAAATTTACCGGTAGATGTCGCAGTGTGTATGATTAGTTAATTTTTATTTGTTTTGTTGTTTGTTACGATGGTCTGTGGTTGATAAACACATCCAAGGCATATTTTATTGTTTGTCGCTGCATGTGCCAACGATCTCTCTCTCCTTGAAACTTGCTCCCGCACACGACGGGAATTGATTGCAATTGCAATCGGCTGCAATCGTTGTTTGCGCTGGTTTGGCATCGAAAAATCTTCCGTAAATACGCACATTCCAAATCATATCAATTTAAACGCATGGAAAATGTTCACATTAAACAATTATTTGTCTGGGAAATTCCAAATTGGCAAAATTATTTGTATTGCTAGTGTGAGTGTTTGAGTGTATGTTTGGTTGCATATAGATCAAATATTAGTTGTGTACCTTGGCGCAAACTCTCTGGTTGCAAATATTTCGCGTCTCGTTCCATCGGCAAAAGTTGAGCGGCGGATCATCGATGCAGCCGCCATTGCCGTTCGGTCGACACTCTTTACACTTCCAGGCGACTTTCCCCTCCGCTCTGTAAAAAACAAACAAACACAAATCCGTTAGCACAACTTAACCTAAAAATATTTTTTCTAGAATAACCTGAAAAGAAAGGAAACTGTAACTTACGTGTCGATTAATGTGAAATAATACAATCCGGCGACGAGCAGTACGCACGAAATGGTCGTGTGCGCGGCGAACATGATGATTTCTGCAGCGACGCCCTGTCAAACCGACGACCCTGTAAACACAAAGTTTTCGCTGTTGAGTTGGTTGCGTCTATCATCAACATAACACGACATAACACAACAGGTAGAGGTAAATATCTAAATATAGAATTTTTCAAGTCTGCAAAAACAATTTTAATCCTTCGCGACTACCTGCTTTCAACAAGTGTATATATTTTTACCTAGTTTATACAACATACACTTGAAAATCTATTCTTGTCGAGTTTACAATGTGACCTAAGTCGGTTCTATTTTTAGACTATCTTCATGTTGTGATTATGCATGCAACCGGTGTCCGCAGGGCGTTTCGCGTGCGTTGGAGTCGAAAGATTTAGAAAGTTAACGTCGACTTACATTTGTTGACGCGCGCGCCGCGCACGCGTGTGTTGTGCGTTATTAATCGTAGGCGCGTTGTCGACGGCCGTCTATTTCAAAGTTCTTCTTGCTTTTATTAGTTCAATGGTTTATTTATAAACCGATAAGAGTGACAGCACAGCGCGCAGCGTCGGGCTACTTGCGCGTTCTTTGTGCGGAAGTGACTTAAGTCACTTTCAAGACACTCGTTTCAGACGGTTCTGCGTGCATGTGTGATTAAAGAGGCGTCGCGAGTCTGCTTCACGTCTGAACAACTCAAAAATTTGATTTTAGCAAGATTTACTTATTAAGATTGACTTAAGTCATTTGCGCATGCGTAATATCTGCTTTAAACTGCTTCAAACTACATGGGTGTTGATTTATTTGCTTTTTGTTTACCTTGTGTGAATAAATTTTAATGCCGGTTGATTGGGGGTGGCGGTGTTGGCCCCTCGCGCCCCTGCGTCGTCAACAGCGTCCACTTGCGTACCTCGCGAAGCGCTTGCGTCACACATCTATTTTATCACAAGCGTCCTCAAGAATTAAGCCGCCCTTCTTCTCAAACTCGAAAATAATTACGCTAAACTTCGCACTGCAGCGCAAATCAACACTTTTTATTTATTGAATTAAATCGTAAGTTCTTCTACAGAACAATTAAATACAATTATTAATAATTTGTGCAATATGACTTAAAAAAATAGTTTATAAAATTATATTAATAATTGTTTATATCACAATTTTTCTTGATTTGTTTTTTTTTTGTCGTTTGCTTCGCGCACTCTCACTCGGGTGTGACACTCGGCGCGTTGTCTTGTTTTGTTGTTGTTGTTGTGCGGCGGCGAGAAGGTGAAGACGAGCTGTGCGCGTCGTCCCGAGTTTGGTGCGCGATTGGCCGAACCGGCGCGGCGTCGTCGTCGCCCGGCTGATAGGAAATCGAAGCGAACGAGCGAGGCAAACGAACCAAGCGCGCGCGGCGCACGCGCTGCCCGCTTAGCGTGTGTTGTGGCGGCAGTGCCGCCGGCGGGGGGAGACCCACCGACCCACCACACACAGCTGATAGCGGCTGACACGCATCGGCCGTGTGTTATTTATTGCTTATTACCAGCCATTATACAACTTAAGTTTACTTCATTTTCTCGAACATTTTAAGTCAAAATATTCTTCCGTCAAAACATTCAATAACTTTACTTAAGTCATATTTATGCATGCGACTAATTCGATACGACTATAAATTACCAAAGCGCTTTGTATGATAATTTAAATTGATTTGACTTAAGTCATATTCGTGTGTGCGAATAATCTACTCCTTTCTATGTCAATTGTAAATCATTCTTCGTGCACAGCTTCCTAGAAGGCGCACATGCACTCACGCACACATATGAAATGCGCGCGCATACACTACTTAATTCACATATAAGTGACTTAAGTGTGTTAGTGGCTGGAAAATAAAGTGGAGCACGTTTATGACTTTCGTGCGCCTTCAATTGTCTCGCGATGCTCGTGCACACAAAAAGCGCGTCAAGCTTGCGTGATGGATTACTGCACACACACAGGAATTGACTAACGCGTTGGCGCATGCGCGCACACGCAGCCAGAGATAATAGACTGATCTATTTTTAATGCCTTTATCTGGACTTGACAGCCGCCTCGTAATATTAATAGTCTTGCATTAAGCTGCATTAGTCCACATCCATACTGGTTAAAATAGTTGATTAGTGAGGTTATGTTGGGTTAAGTTAGGTTAAGTTGCCTTAAGTCTCATGCTGCCCGAAGGAAAAACCTCAGTCGCAATGTTTACGACGCGAACGTGTTGTCATGGCGCGAGTGGTAATTTAGCGCAATTAGAAATGCGAGAAGCACGAGAGCGAATCTTGCGCAAGCGTTGCTGAGCAAGAATATGGCGCCTGGCGCCTGCCCGCCCGACTCCACTTTCGATTTCATCACGCTTAACTTATTTTTATCATTGCGACAAATTACAGACATAGGCGACTTATTAATTGTTCCCAATGCATTTCATCAGGTTAATAATATAGATGGCGCTGGTGTACATAGATAAAATGAACTAATTTCACTGCAATTATTCAATTAGGAACTCATCTAAAGCTTGCAATAAATAGGTCGCCAGTGTGCGCTTCAGAAAATAAATGACGAAAACAATCATTTTCTAAACATCGTTAATAAAAAGTAAATAAAAACGTAAATAAATAAAAACAAACTTTATTTTTGGATGCAGATAATAAAGTCAAGGACCTACGGATTGGCTCACAGTCAAACATAATTTTCCAATTGAGATCGTAAATCAACGAATAAAACACTTTGTTATTTTTGTACATTTGGTTGCGCACCGTTTGTGATTTGAGGTTAGATTTGTGTTGCTATGCGTTGCTATGCGTTGCAGATTCCTGGAATTTCGCATTGAACTAATTCAAGCAAGCATGTTGTGTCGATTTGGGTCAATGTTTTTCGGTTTCACGTTGAATGCACTTTTCGTCTGTGTTGATTCTATGCGCGCATAAACATGCGCGGCGCGCTTTGAAAAATCGACTTGGAAACGCCAAAGACGAAAACACTTCGATCCAAGTGTCGTTACAGCAATTATAAACAAATTATTAATTAATACGCGTTACATCAATTTGTTGTTGATGTTAATTTGTTGTTATTCGTTCGCTTGGAGGATGAATTCATCGATCGCTTGTTTATTGCTGATTTACGAGTGCCGACCAAATGACAAGCGAGCCAAAGGCGATTATTGTTAGTAATTAATTCGTTGTTTGCACTTACGATTTGTAACCTGACTGGGAACACATTGTTACTCTTCATTTAGAGCCGTAATTAATACAATTTTAATTTTATTTCGATTTAAAAATTAAAATTTTAATTTTTTTGAGTCCGGATCTGTGTAATAGTTAATCCCCGCGTGGAATTTGATCCGCGAGACTCCACATAACCGCACAATCGGAGTAATTGTCATTTTATGTCGTGCGCGGTTTAATTACACGCATTAGCACCGTCTCGTGGGCTATTAATAACAAGATTGTTGCTAATAATAGCCCGCCATGATGCGTTAGATGAAAACAGTGTCTCTTAGACCTACTGGTGAGTTACGGCCGCTGCGCGTGAGTCAATGATACGAATACGAGTGTTATTGACATCTCGGTGTCGAGCCAAAAATTGCGAGACTGACGCACTTTCAACTTTTTGCTGCTCTAGAAACGAGTTCAAAACGAACCGATGGGCTGCGTGGGCGGTTTGCAAGAGGCGCAAAAACAGGATGAACGGGATTGAAATCGAAACCCTATCAAAAACAACAAATTGTATACGGCATGCTTACAAATTTGATATTTTTAACGTTATGACTAATTACAAACAAAGTGTGTTAAGTTAAGTCAATTTATATTTAAGCCCCGCCTTTGAACTACTCATTGCTTGAGTAATTTGCGCATGCGTATAAGAATGGTATAGGTTATGAGTTTGTTTAGGCGTTTCTATGGTAACTATGATGTTTAGATGTGTAAATGCGAAACAAATTGTATGCGTTTGTGGGCAGTGTCGAAAACGACGTGAAAATAAACTCGTGGCCGGCGTCAGATGCATTCGGCGAAAATATTGCGTGTGCGAGTGCGATGCGCAACGCGACGCTTTTTATTTTCTTTTGCATTCATTCACGCCATTGTATATATTCGCGAGCGGCGCGCATTTTTTCGGCATTGGGTGATCAACCGTCTCAAACGAAGCATCAACAAGAAAAGTGAAATTCAAATCAAACAAAACAAAAAACTATTAATAATATAAAAATGTACTACGTGCTAGTTATACTCCACTTTAAAATCTAAAAACTTAATCCAAAATCAAAGAAAAAAACTTTTTGAAAGTGAAAACAATAAGTGATTATTTAAAGTTGTTTATTTATAAATAAATAATATGGGTATGATAACGAGAATTCGTGGTCGTCTTAGGGGAAGTGTTCACACCATTCCGAAACTCGACAAGAAACTACGCGATGAGAAAATTGCAGAAACAGGTAATTTTTTTCTTCATAGAAAAAAAAACTTTAAAAAAGGTTTATCCGGTTTTCTGAGTTATTTTCATCTATTTTATTGATTTGGCAGAACGACTCGCCGATGTTTAGACAGAACAAAAAAGAAAAGTTCATTCATATGCTCAGAAATAAAAAATCATTCACTTCACGAGCTTTAAACGCGTTAAAATCTTAAAATAACTTTGAAAACAACGCAGAGATTTAAAAAATAAATCAAAAAACAATCTAAATCAACAAAATATTGTCTGACAATACATCTTATTCCATAGATGGCGCTGTATCTTATTTCTATAGTTGAAAAACTTTCGACGTAGTTCGCTACGTATTTTCTACGCATTTTGACGATCCGTAAACAAACAAAAACGAAAGCAGAACAACACGTGCCTAACAGATTCATTTTTGGCATGATGAGAAAAAATACTTCTTATTTTCTTTATTTATTTTTTACTTAGTACTTTAAACTCACTGTATATTGAATAAGGATATTTATATCGCGAGACGCCGCGTGAGCTTTCGAATCAGGTGATTTTCGAAGCGCGTATTTCTTGGCAATGCGCAGCACAACAAGCGGAAAGCTCGCAAAAGTCACACAAAGCTTTGCAAAGCGCACAAAGCGCTCAATTCCTATGTTTTCGGCAGTTTAATTTCTGATTCAAGGCAGATCACGTCGCCGAGTGTAAATAATACGGTTAAAAACAGGACATTATATTAGATTATTGGTTAAAGTGTGCTCGGTGCGTGAAAGTGTCGCAACTTTTTCGATGCAAGAGTGGACCATAGACGATCTCGACTTGATGGGTGCTCCTTTGTATGTGAGGATACACGCCATAGGTACCTATAGATTTTGTAGCCGGACAAAATGGCTGTTATGCCACGTTGGCATAGATAAACATACATTGCGTTCGAATTGTTATTTAGGTTGTTTTTTAACTGCTTGTTTTGATTTTTTTGTAGTTTTTGATACATTTTTTGACTTTTGTGGTGATTTTTGACACCGTAGTCAATGTTTTCTTTGTTTATATTAAAATATTTACAATGTTAGACTAAATTAAAAGAAAAACATGATTGAAATCACGTAAATACAAAATGGGCGACGTTTAACAAGCAAAATTTCGTGTTTCAAAAGGATTTAATCAAAATTTTATTGAATTTATGGTAGAAAATTATGTTTTTTAACAGTTTTAAGTCATTTATGCCCAAATATTCAATTTTTTGTCGTTTTAATACGTTTTTTTACCTTTTATCGAGGTTTCTGGCATTATTTTCAATGATATCTTTGTTTATATTCAAGTTATTTCATTGAAATTAATGAAAAACACGATGGAAATAACGTAAATACAAAATGGCCGATTATAACACTCGATATTTTATGTCACAATGAAACTAAATCAAATTTTGACTGAATATTTGTCGGAAACTAATGTTTTATGATAGTGTTGACTGATTTATGAACATTCTCATACTCATTTTTTGTCGTTGTTGACAAGTTATTTTGTTGTTCTACGTTAATAACAAGAACAAAATTAACTTAATTTGTTCATAAAGTCATGTAAATAAGCTTTTATGCTTGTTTTGTCAAATTATTACGTTTAAACTTAATGTTTCACGGCCAAAGATGAAAATTTAACGACATTTTATTCTTTTGTCTGATTTCAATAGAAAAATTTCAATGCAACTTGGTGATTTAAGGACTTAAGGCAATTAAACCGACTTAAGTCACCAATGAACCCGTATAAAGTCCGTTGACTGGTTTAAACCACTTCCTTAAACAATAATATTTAAGTAAGAAATTCTTATTCAACATGTAATCTAAGTAATTATTACACTATTACTAATAATAACTTTGTATATTGCTATGCCTTCATTCAAAATTTAAAATTTAAAATTTCTCATCTAATTAGCATATGTTATCACATAAAATCCGTTTCGTGGTCAATTGCAACCAAATAAAACGCCTTTTGTAGTTGTCTAGTCCTGTCGTTGTTGTGTCCCCGAGTAAACACACAAACATGGCGCCATCTTCCCGATTAATCTTCGCCTTGATTAAGCAAACCGAGTAAACATTTTTTAACTTGTTTATGCCCCAGCACACGAGCCCAATTATTAGAGCCGGCGCGCGTTATCGCTGGGCGATGATTTGGATTCAATATGTCAATGACAAATTGAATCATCGGACTCATCCGCACGAAGAAGAGACGCACACACAAACACAGCGCCGAAGCTATTTATAAATCGTGCGCTGTTTGCACAATGCAGGCGCTTGTTTGTTTGTTTGTTTGCTGGTTTAGAAATAAATTTAACAAAAAAATACGTCTAGGTCTAGCGAGTGTCGGGGACCTGTGTATTAGCGCGTGACGGTGAATGATACGGTGATAATGTGTGCGTTTTGTTTTTCTTTTTTCAGTCTGCCTACTGTCTGTGCTGTTCCTGCTGCCGTACTGCTCGCGGGGGCACGCTCCCCTCCTGCTCAGTCTCGGCGGCTGGTGTCTTGCCACCTACTCGTTTCTTGTCCTGCCGTTACTCATTTCGGCCAATTACAAGTATCCTACAAGATGGCTGCGCAATTTCTTTTGTTCCATACCAGGTAATTGTTGTACTTACAGATGAATATGTTTTATGTTTTGTGTTTTAAGTTGTTTTGTGTGATGTTGTCGAAAGAATTACGAGTATATCGAGGTTATAGGGTTTTGTTTAGGTTGCAGTGTTGCCAACCAAAACTGTCAAATGTTGATATCGTTGATTTGCGTTGAAAATTACGTTTTATTGATTTATAAACAATGATTTTCATTAAATTTCATAAGTTAAACCCTATTCTAACGTATTTTCAACTTATATTTAAGTTTTATTTAATTTCATGATGATTTTCTTACTCACCTGATGTTTTCTAAACTTGAAACGAATTCACGTAGAGGGCGCTCGTGTTGATTATGCAACTGGCTGCAGTTTAGCGGAGTAACGTGTGTCTCTTCTCGATAACGAAACAAAAACGAATCCCTATCTCGGCTTTTCCGCAGCTTTTTATACTTTTTTCGCACATACGCAAGCCATGCTAATCTTCGCGTCACGGTCGTCCTTCCTACATTACATCTTGACAGGCCGGACAGCTCGTCGGTAGACGCGAAAGACAAAAGCGGGCGCACGTTAAAAATATTGAGAAAGTCCGGAAAAACAATCGACCAGTGGCGTACACGTGAATATTTTAACTAAATCGACAAAGTTGCGCGCACGCAACGCTTGGACTCAACATACACAACATACTGAAATATTTAATTGCGTATTTATATTTGTCGCGAATGTTTAGCAAATTGATTGAGATATTATTAAATATTAATCAGGGGTCACGTGGGACACGCTGTTAATTAATTTAAATGTGCGATTGTTAAATAATCGGCCATGAGGCCGCACATGGAGATAATTTGTGGTTATGCAATCAGTTTCTAAAGATTATATTCACACATAGATGGCGCTAATGAAGAAATGTGATATTTTATTATATTTTACAATGTCAAATGTCTTTTCTTGTTGTTCGGATTTTGTTTTGGTGGTTTATCGCACAAATAAAGCAAAACTCACGGAACTGTAATTTCTCCGTCTGTGTCTTTGGCGATAACAAAGATGACTCATAAAATTTGCGAGACACAAACCTATTATCTACAGATTGTTCAGGAATTCAGCGATAAATACAATTTATGCTAATTTATATAGTTTAAATTAATTGTGTGAAAAATTTGTCGTAAAGCGCCGGGGAATGGATTTGAACATTGCCCTCGCACGCCACTGGTCGGTGATCGACACATTATGCATATTAATTACTCGTCAACCGGTTGAAACTAATCGGAAGCGATGCAGTGCGCGGCTTTTAATTTAATTTTAATCTCCGACAGCATCCTACGCCAAAAAACAATCAATTCTTATTAACAAGGTCAAACCTAACCTTGCTTATATTCTAATGCAACCCAATATGCACGTATTGAGTGGGTGACATTTGAGTTTGTTGATTCGAAGCTAATAACGCCAGTAATTATTAAACAATAAACAAACGCATAAATGTGTAAACATTGTGGACTATTTTCCAATGCTTCTGGTACCGCAGCGGCGCTATCACTCCAATTATTTTAATTGCTCGAAGAATGCCGGCGTGTTTACACGCGCGGCGTAAACACGCCGAAGGGGCATCGAAAAAGCCACCGGACAATAGACAAAACAAATATTTTTCCAAACATTGTTTGTGGATTATCACTATCGCCGGATTATGCGTTCGGTCAATGTTTGATCACAATCTGGTGCACCGAAGTGCTCTCTATGATAAAAATAGCTTCCAACTGCAAATAATCTGCGAGTGTATACGATCACTATTTATAAAATGACGAGAAACAAATTATTTTCCGAAATACAGCTGTGGCAGTAGTTATTTTAGGTTATAAACTAGGTTAAGTATTGCATGCTTGTACAAAATGTGATTATTAATCATCGACAGTGATTCCACGCCGACATTTTGTGTGTTTTAGGGCTGGTGCGCAAGTTTTCCGGTCCGGTGGTCAACGTCCTGTTGAAAATCTACTCGCCGCTGGATAAATGCGAACGAATGTTTATGAAAATGACTAATTTATCGAACATGGCTGTACAAGTAAGATATCTTTATTAAAAGTATATGCAACCATCAATGCACATAAGTGTAGGGTAAATTGCATACAGTTCAGAACAAAATTTATTCATCTGTATTGCAATTTCAATTAGTATAAGATTTCTTTTGAAAGTGTATGCAACCAACAACACACCAATGCGTATTATACATTGCATACAGTCATGAACAAATTTTATTAATTTTTATTGTATTTTCAGTTAGTGTTCTTCTTGATGTGTGACCGCGTCCTCCTCTGCAGTCTCGGGGGTGTAAACTGCCCCCAGAAACGTGTCACAGGTCTCTACTCACTAATGTTCTACAACGTTATTGCCTACTGCGTGTCGTACATCAAAGAATTGATAGAAAAAGAAGACTGGTCGCCGTATATTAACATGTCGACGCATAGTAATGTCAAACACCTCGCAATGTCTGCAACGAAAATCGTCTTAGAATGGACCAAAGCTGTGACATTTATTATCACAGTCATTTTTATGTTGCTTGTATTTAGTCTGGAGCAAGGACTTGAACATTATCAACCTTCTACGTTGTATACAATCACCACGTGGTCGTTTTACATGGCAACCGAGCGAGTTTTCAACGAGTTATTTCTCTCTGGAATGAAATTATTGAAAATTCAACGATTTGAAGCATTGGAACATCTCTACGCACCTGTTATCTTAAGATATTACACGATTTCAATGTCTATTCTCATGGGGGTGATTATTTTAATGTACGGACAAATGCGATTTGCTTTGTTGTCTATGTATTTAACTGTTTTCATGAGAGGTAAAGACATGGCGTTGAATTGTTTGAAGGATTTGAGAAGCGAAGAAGCTGTTTTGAGTCAATTCAGGAAAGCAAGCACGGAGGAGATCGAAGATTGTGATGATGTATGCGCTGTTTGCTTGAGCGCCATGGAGAGGGCGCGCATAACTCCATGTCAGCATATGTTCCACGCGGAATGTCTACGTGAATGTTTAAATAACAGCGATATTTGCCCGATTTGTAAAAGAGCGTTTACATTTATCCATTGCACATAATATTATATTATGAGAAAATGTTGTAAACTCAAAACACTCGTAAAACGGTTGAAATTTTCTATTTTTGCATGTAATGTTAAGCTTGTGTGCACGAAATGGCCGCCATACTTTAAATCCCCATGTAGAGTAAGTTATGACTTTGATTTTGATGTTGTAAGGCTTTAATTATTTATTTTCTTGAGGATTTCAATGTAAATACCAACGAATGACTGAATATTTAGTGATATACTACGATATTTTATATGATGTAATAGATAGATTACAATTAAGGTTAGAATTTGTAATTGTATTGTGTTTATTTGGTTGTTTTAAGTGTCTTGATCAGATGTGATGCATTTTATACTGATATTTTGTTTGCATAAAGAATGAATAAACAAAATACTCTCGAATAAATTTATATTCATCTGTAAATCAAATAATATTGAAATTTATCTAGAATTGTCAAACAACATTAACCAAAACATGATTTTTCTTCTTTATTTTTTATATTTCTTGAATTTTTTCCTTAAAAATGACATAATAACGTTAATAACGTACATATTTCTGTGTTTTAGAATATATCCAGTTAAGTGCGAGTCATATCATCAACTTATTGCAACAAACACACTCAAAAATAGAAGAAAACTTCAAAAACGTAACTTATAAAAATCTACATCAATTATGCTGTCAGGTTAGTTCTATAAAACACAAAAAACAATTTTATTAATTTATTTTGTTTCCAGATGATATTTTTTACGTTATGCGACTGTGTTCTCCTCATAAATGGTGAAGAATCTAAGCAGAAAGTAGTCTGTGCTTTGACAACATTATTACTTTATACAATTTTGTCATTTTTTGGCACAAAAATCCAAAAAATATTGTGTAAACCAGACGAAAACGATGAAGCAACTCAACGGCATGCAACCCAACATACACGAACACACTCCAAGTCAATCTTTATTAATATTTGCAAAATCATCTTAGAATTTCTGAAAGCCGCAATGGTTATCCTCTGTCTTCGTGAACAAGGTTTAAATTATTATTACGACTTGAAGTATACAACAATCACAGGACTTTATTACATCTTAAGCGAAGAATTCTACTTGGACATTTTATGCGCGACTATTCCACTGGAATGGATCCTAAAATTAAAAATTGGTAAAACTGGTAATGAATCAGTTGATTCTGACCTTGGAAGACTTTGTTTGTATATTATTGCTACCACTTTGACGATTGTAATGGGGTGCGGTATGTTGATGATGACCAAATTCTCTGTAACTCAATTAATAATGATGTTTCTGATAATTGTGTATTCACCAACGGTGAAAATGAATGTTTTGTATTTGGGTGTGATGCGGGAGTATTGGAGCTTTTTGGAAATGTTCCCGACTGTCAGTGATGAAAAATTAAAATCATTGGAGGATGTGTGTCCAATTTGTTTGGATGATATGGATGCTGGTAGTGCTAGAGAAACACCGTGCGGACATGTTTTTCATTTTACTTGTCTTTTAAGATCGTTGGAAGTTACAAGAATGTGTCCACTTTGTAAATATGATTTTTAATTGAATTGATAGTAATAATTGTAAAGTTTGTGTACAGTTATTGATACGATTGTTTAAAATTATTTGTTAAATATTCAATTATAATTACTTATGCAGCCCCAGCAATATGTGCAAATAATATTTTGGTGTAAAAATTTCCGTTCCTTTTGATAATGCAGAAAATCAGTTTTGTTTCGTCACTCACATTAGGAACACAATTTTCTATTTCTTTTCCTCTTTTCTACACACACGCGCAGAACTCGCCGTTACTGTTGGGAAGTTTCTACTCGTGTGTGTTCGTGTGGTGTTCGTGTACACTCTGCGCTGTTCTGCACACTCAGTAGAAGGTTAGGCAAATTTTCTGCATTGCCGTTCACGCGTTCACACTCATGTGTTTGTGCGCGGTCGACGTTCACGTTTACAAAGATTAGTTCATTTAGTATCATTTAGTTGTTTGTTTTGTGGCAGATACAACTTTTAAAACTGCATAATTTATACAAATTGTTAAATAATTACTCGTCGCGTATCGTTTCATCAACTGAATCCTGTACCCATGCTACCAAGTGCGGCGTTATTATTGTAAGTATTGAAAGTAAAGTAAACACATATAAAAAACAAAACGTATTTTCAACTGTTGATATCGCTTCGCCGAAACAAGTGAACGCGGCGTCAACAAACAAAATATCGCTTTATATTTTGACAAAATGGGGTTGCATGATAGTTGAACTTATTAGAAAGATATTTATTTTTTTAAGGGTACGTTGTTCTTTGGGACAAAAGTACTATTATGTTATATTTTTTTTAATTATAGATTCTTATATTTTTAGTATGCGTTTCTATCATGTAGTTCAATTCATTTTTGTTGTGGTAATATATTTTTAAAGTTTATCGGATCATCATCTTCAATTATAAATATAAATTTACACTGAATTTACATTGAACTATGTCAATACTAAAACTAATAATAATAGTAGGATTTCCTCTAAACTTGTTAATACTACCAGAATCACATAAAATGTAATTGAACTAGGTTTATAACACGGTTTATAAATACAGCGGCAGGACGACGCGTTCCTAGTACATGCTTCTATTGATAGAGGGCGCCGATATAACTTCTATCGCGGAAAAACTAACAGGTCGGCATATAGCACTACCGAAACTCACTTTCGGTATCGCTTCTCGGCTCCGGCTAAGATCAAAGTGTAGTATCTGTTCTTATCAGCTTAATATCTGATACGACCCGCATGCGGGTCCAGTATATTAAACTGATTTTTGGACATGGATGAGAGTTAGGGGCTTGCTCCACTCACATCATGGGTTGGCCCGGTATTGCAGTACCTCCGGGATCGGCCCACATTTTAATTACAATCAAACAAAAACCTATTAAAAACTACTCATAGAGCGTCCTAGCGTCTTCGTGAATAGAATATTGTTTCAAGCCCGACTGTTTTCTTTATTCAATTCTAATTTTATATTACAATTTTTTTTAATCTGTCTGTTCCGAATTTTAATGACGATTAATTCAACCGCCTGTTAATAAAATATCGATTATTATTCATGCCGGTATCAAATTCGTTCTTACAAAGCGGGCATTGCATGGAAGTCTGCAAACAGCGCTTGAGACATTGCGGATGAAATAAATGATTACAAGGTGTAATCCTCGCCTTGCTCATACGTTCCAAACAAACCGCACAAATATCATCCCATTGCGACAAGTCTTTTTCATTCGCCACTTTAAAGCTAGCAAACGTCCTCTGCTCCACCATCAAAGGCGTCAAATAATTCCATATTAAATTCTTCATTGGCAGATACAGCGTGAAGTACGAAGATAGAAACGCGTAGATCGTATACCGTTGCATAGAGAGCAGCACCGCCAATATCATGATAGTCAAGATGATGCTGATTGTGTGCAGGATAATGGGAATGTAAAGGTGTTCCAGCCCGTCGAACCTCTCCAGCGACAACATTTTGGAGCCGTAGATAATGGCGTCTACGAAAAGTTTCTCCGTGCAGATGTAATACACGAATGTGGCAGACGAATAGCAAGGATCAAAGTGATATTGCAAACCTTGTTCGCGCAGGCAGAGGATAACAATGGCGGCTTTCAGGAATTCCACCATGACCTTCATCGTGCGCAGTACATTGGTGCGCACCGTGCCACTCCGGGTGTATCGTTCGAGAACATGAGTGAACGTATCACGGATTTTCGCCGCAAAGTAAGTAAAGATCGAATAGAGTAATAGTGTGGTCAGACCAGAGATGACTTTTCCTCGCTTGTGTTTGTTTTCGGGTCGGAGTAGTGTTATGTCGCATAGGGTAAAGAAAAAGAACTGAAACACACTTTTTGTTGATGAGATTTACATTCAACAAAAGCACTCACCTGACACATAAACGCGTATAGGTTACTCATTAATAGAAACATGTGTTCGGTGGCGACGATTTCATCGCCTAAACGTTGCCCGATGAAGACCACGATGCTTACCAAGATTTGTACAATATCTGAAATGAGTTTATAAAAGTTTAAACTATAAAATGGCGGATTTAACGGTGCTAACTCATCAAAATTAACAAAATGGTGAATACACCACGGGCGAAACGCGCGTATAATGCAATGTCTTCTTCGTCGATGATGAGATTCGTCTGGGAGTCTTCAGTCTCCATTTTGGGAACAAAACAGTGCTTGGAGAGTTATCATTCATCCATTACTCTTTCGATTTTTTCTTACTATGAATTTGAAATTTTTTTATGTGACACACCGGACGAATATTATCATGAAATGACGTTGTTGGCAGTAAAATCAATCATTGCATTATAAAATTGACTAAATTTTACAACAATTAACATCTTAGGTCATTGAAATGTTATTTTTTTGGGCTGAGTGGGTAAAAGTCAAGGAAAAAAGTTAGAACGACCAAAATAGTTTTTTTTCTAAATTTTTAGCTATTTTTGTTAATATCTGTATTTTTGCGTCGACGACTAAAAGTTATAAAAAGAAAGTTGTAGATAATTTCATTTTCAAAAATAATGGTTTTCAGAATTTGTGTGCCTCGAATAGTTTGCACAATAGACGGTAAAAACCATTTAGATACGCTTGACATTAAAGGTAGTGTGTTTTATTAGTGTTTAATTGCTTTAAAGCGTCAATTTAAACATAAAAATTAGTATTTTGGTTTAAAAACGTGGTTTCATTTTTTATTTGATGTTGCTGATATTAATTCAGGTTTTTTTTTTCAAATTACCGCAACTATCTTGTTAAAAATTAAGTTAATTGTGTCAAATAGGTATTTAAAATTTAGTTGTTCTTGTTCAATTTTTGCGTTAAATCTCGTTTTAAGTTTTAGTTGAAACAAGATTTACTTTTGCACTAACCTCAAATGTAACTTTTCAAAATGTTACAAAATTGAGTACACCATGAACTAGTTTTTATTACAATTTTATTACGGTCATAATAAAAAAAAGTCAAATATAAATTTAAGTAAACATACTGAAATTTTATCACATTTGAATTATTCTGCCCATATCTCCATCTGTGAGATATCAATTTAATGAGAAAAATGAAACAAAAAAAAATCAAAAACTAAACTGCAACTCATACAATTCTTATACACTAATGGTAATAATTCTACATATACAGCATCTGTGAGAAAATATGCATTGAGAGATGAATTTGGACCATTTCATAACACACATCAGAAAATCAAGTCAGAGTCTCAGTCGTTTCGTGAAATTACAAGATGGATTCCTTATTGTAGGTCTCCATGATCTTCTCCATAATCTCCCAGTGTTTGTCTTTGTTCATATCCTTGACAAACACACTGTACCACATTTCGTCATCTGTGTCATCGATGAGTGGTATCTGCACGCCGTAACACTGCAGTGAGAGACTAATGCATGCGACTGCAATGTGTTTGGGTTCATATTCTAAAATGGCAGGATCCAGGTGGAAGTCTTGCAGGAAAGCCGCGCATGTGCGAGCGATTGGGAATTTATTCCATACGTCTTTCCCTAGTAGTCCTTCCAAAGATTTTAAGTAGTGTAACATAAATTTATGTGGATGTGTGATGGTGACTTCGAATTTTAGAATTCGCATTATGAGCAATTCGGCTTGCACGATTGCATCGCGCATGTTCCAATACTCTTCGCCGATTTCGAGTGGTCCACTATGTCGATGTAGAGTATGATGTGACACATTGATAATATCTCTAATCTTTAATGTGTCATCTTTTATCTTGCCAGCAAGGTACAAGGTTGATGCTGCAATCAGGAACAGATCATAGTTGTTCGGATCGACTTCGGTGAAGAAGCGATGATTGAGAATTGCGGCTGTTGCGATTGTCAGCGGTTGTGCGTTCAGTTTCATGCCGCATTCGAAGATGAAGCGTGCGGGGGTGTAGCCGTTATTGAACTCCAGCTTGCGATAGTCGATGGTCATCTGTCGAGAGCGTTGTTTCTCGCGTTGCAATTCCATAACGTCAATAACGTCCTTCATCTAGAGAATTAGGGCGAAATATAATTAAATTTTTGTTTTTAGAGCGTTGAAAAGTGGTAACTTGACCTACCTTTGAATTACTGACACTGCAAACAAACTGATAACCTCTCAAACAAAAAACGATCGCAAGCGAAACGTTTATCAATTTGTGAGTGAAAGCAGGAAAAACCTCCTGGCTAGGCGACGCCGATAAAAATGCAATTAATACTTCAAGGTGCACAGCTTTGAACGTTTTGTAAATAGAAAGTTCTCGGATTGTAGCTAAAGAAGCTAAAGTTAAAAAGAGCGAGTCGACGTGCCGACGTTGTTTATATTTGCAGCATGCAACTTTGTATGTTCGCCACGGATGGCGCTAGCTGTATCGAAATGAATCAGTGAAATGAATTAAATCGAAAAGTGCAACTACTCTACATATATTCCTAATAAGTATATATGTATGATAAAAAATTAGACGCATAGTTATTGTGTTAAAACTAAACCATTTTTTAAAATTTTATGTTTATTGAAATAATTCTAGTGAAATTAATACTTTCAACGCACCGCCCAGTATAAAATGCAGTAGTAGCAACCCGCATTACAGTGCGCAATATCCATCTTTAACCTCGTTTATTTTCGCTGTTCTACACTTTCAACGTAGTGTGCTCACGATTCACGAATTTCATCATTCCTTTAACTGCCAGGTCCGCAGAAACATCGCAAACGTGGGCTTGCAAAGTTATCACAACGTGTAATTCCTTACAACTACCTCGATAAAAATATACCATAATGGTGCTCGATTTAGACCTATTCCGCACGGATAAAGGTGGAAATCCGGATAAAATCAGAGAAAACCAAACCAAGCGTTTTAAAGATGTTGGTTTAGTGAACACCGTCATCGACAAAGATGCAACCTGGAGGCAGTTGCGGCACAAAGCCGACCAGTGGAATAAGTTGAAAAATGTGTGCAGCAAGGAAATTGGAGAAAAAATGAAGAAAAAAGAGCCACAGGGAGATGCCAATGAAGCTGTTCCTGAGGAAGTTGTGCAGAAGTTGGCCGATTTAACTTCGGATCTTTTGAAACCTCTTACAGTAAACCAAATTAAAAAGGTATGTTTTAATAAAACTTCAAACTTTATTTTATTACAGTAAATTTCTTGTTTGGTTTAGGTTCGTGTATTGATTGATGAAGCAGTCATCAAAAATGACAATGATTTGCTGCAAACTGAGAAAGACCGTAACGCCGCTCTTCGTGAAGTAAGCAATCACTTGCATGAATCAGTCCCAGTGAGCAATGATGAAGACGAAAATAAAGTGGAGAGGACTTTTGGTGATTGTGAAATGAAGAAAAAATATTCTCATGTTGATTTAATACACATGATAGATGGTTTGTTGATTTTATATTTAAGATAACAAGATTTGAATTACTGTGTTTATTTAGGTATGGATGGTGAAAGAGGTTCGGTCGTTTCTGGCGGTCGTGGTTACTACTTGACAGGACCTGCGGTTTTCTTAGAATATGCAATTATTCAATTAGCGCTACGCACACTCCACAAAAAGTCCTACAAGCCCCTGTATACTCCGTTTTTTATGCGAAAGGAGATCATGCAAGAAGTAGCACAATTATCGCAATTCGATGAAGAGTTGTACAAGGTCGTAGGTAAAGGCAGCGAAAAGGCGGAGGACAAGGAAGTCGAAGAGAAGTACTTAATCGCAACATCGGAACAACCAATTGCTGCATTTCATCGAGATGAATGGCTTCCGGAAGCTAGCCTTCCGATTCGTTACGCTGGCATCTCGACATGTTTCCGCCAAGAAGTCGGCTCTCATGGACGTGATACACGTGGTATTTTCCGTGTGCATCAGTTTGAAAAAGTCGAACAGTTTTGTATCACTTCCCCGTTCGAGAATAAATCCTGGGAGATGATGGATGAGATGATCACGAACGCGGAGAATTTTTACAAACAGCTGGAGATTCCGTACAGGATTGTCAATATTGTTTCGGGCGCTTTGAATCACGCTGCGTCGAAAAAGTTAGATTTGGAAGCTTGGTTCCCCGGTTCGAATGCATTTAGAGAGTTGGTATCTTGCAGTAACTGCTTAGAGTATCAGGCAAGGCGACTTCTGGTTCGTTATGGGCAAACGAAAAAGATGAATGAGGCGACGAATTATGTACACATGTTGAATGCGACCATGTGCGCTGCCACCCGCGTTATTTGTGCCATTTTGGAGGTGCATCAAACTGAGGAAGGTATTAAGGTGCCAGCCGCACTCAAGGAATTCTTGCCTGAAGACTTGCAAGAGATGATTCCATTCGTTAAACCAGCGCCTATTGAACAGGAGGCCCAATCAAAGAAGAATAAGAAGCAAAAGGATGGTATGAAGAAACAAGGTACCGGTGAGGAATAAGCAAGTACGTTTCTAAAACAATATATACAATTGCATTGCTAATAAAACTTTAGATATAATTACATAAGTTTTTAAACGATTGCAAGCTGATAATAAATTAAGTGCTTCACAAATTATAAATATGTCATACCATTTCGAATTATTATTATGTCTTGTTTTTGCGGCGAGTTCAACCTGAAAAATATAATTTTATTCTTTAATAATGACTTTCACAAGTTTCAGCAAAAATTAACTTGAATTTCCACTGAGTGTTGTCTATGTGCAAGTTATTATATTAAGAATTTGAAACGTTTAAACGAAACAGTTCTGGATTTTTATTTGAAGGTCATTATCTATAAAGGTGGTTTAGCCCGGTGCGTTAACTGCGCACACTCTGCACACGGCGCAAGCACTATCAGCGCACTCGGCGTGCGTCCTTTTGTATCTCAGTGTGTTGATGGTCGCTCGTGTGTCCCCACGCGTTTTTTTTTTCGTTCCGCCGCCATGTTTCTCGTGATTGTGATTCAGTCAAGTAGCTACTGCAAGCCGCGTTTTTTCCTGAACTTTCCTATGAACTCGCGACGTGGGACATTCCTTGAGGATTAAATTCGGCTGTTTATTTCATTCGATCCAACGTCGATGGGATGTGATTGCTGCCAACAACGACGAATATCACGGGAAAATTTGCCATTGTAATGCAGGTAAGTTAAAGTACTGAATTAATTTTTTGTAACTTTTTTAATTTAAATTCAACCCGCGTTCGAGAGAATTAACTATTCAATACCTTCTTTACACATGACGAATTTATGTCACTACGTATATTGGAATTCACTTCGTTTTCTTCTCTCCGGACTTATCGGTATCAAGGTGTAAACAACTTTTTTTGTGGAGAACAAGTCTATTTCGTACCATTGCATTGTTCATACCTCGCGCCCGAGCGTACGTGTAAGTTTAAAGTTTCTTAGGGATGTGCTATAACCAGCGCCAAAATTGCTCGCAAACCGTCTGAAAACCGCCCCTAAAATTGAGCATTTTAACACATTTTTATAAACTTGCCGTGGAAATTGTGTGATATCTCTGGGACCGTTTACGCCACTTTAATGTTCTTTTCACATTTAAATAGCGTAAGAGAACCTTTAAGATGCGCTCTTGCTGTCCCTCGAAATCTTGCGTGAACTGCATTTACTTTATAAACGTACTTGACGTATCTTGAATCTTTTAAATTTAGAGAGTTCGAGATTCATTTTCTAAGATGCGACCTTGCAGTCCCCCGAATTCACGCTAGAAGTGCCTAAAAATCGCTCTGAAACTTATACGATTTTAGTGATTTATCGAAACACACGGTGGAAAGTCGGCTGTATCTCGCGAACCGTTCGTGCCAGTTCAATGATTCTTTCAAATTTAGATAGTTCGAGAGTCATTTTCTTAGATGCGATCTTGCAGTCCGCCAAAAATTCTGCTAGAAGTGCTCTAAAATCGTTATCCAGGTGCACTGAATAAAGTCACTTCCACCGCTACCCTCGTACCGTGCCCTGAATAGTCACTTTTGCCGCTACCCTCGTACGGTGCCCTGAATAAAGTCACTTTTGCCGCTACCCTCGTACGTTGCCCTGAATGGGAGTCACTTCTACCGCTACCCTCGTACAGTGCCCTGAATGGGAGTCACTTCTACCGCTACCCTTGTACGGTGCCCTGAATGGGAGTCACTTCTACCGCTACTGCTACATCTTTTCGAGAATCACGTAAACATTTTCAATCGAATTGCATCATTAAATTAATAATTTCTTGATCAAATAGTTATTTTAATCTTGCAGAATTTAATTTTGTATCCGCTTGTATAGATATTTATTTTGAGAAAATTCCATAACGCGAGTTATATTGCATGTTGTGTGTGTGCGCCGTAGTACTCATTGCTCTAAGAATAGTAGTTTTTTTAGTGTAACACGCGAACGCGGTGTCACAATAATTCGGAATAATTTTTCCAGATGCAGAATTTAATTTAGCATCTCACTATGTCGGGGTATTGCGAGAAAATTCCATAACAGGTTATATTGAAGTTATATTGTGTGCGCCGTAGTACTCGTTGCGCTTAAAGGTATGAATTTTAGGTATAACACGTGAACGCGGTGTCACCAGTAGTTCTAGTAATTTTCCAGTTAAATTTAATTTTGGTATCTCTCTGTTTAAAATTTATTGCGTGAAAATTCAAAACGCGAGTTATATTGAGAGAAGTTGCGTGTATGCGCCGTAGTACTTGTTGCGCTGGTGTAGTTTTAGCATATACGCGAACGCGGTGTCAATAAGTTCGGAATAATTTTTCCCGATGTAGATTTTAAATTTGCATATAAGCGCGTATCTTTGGCCAAAGAGAAAATTCCATAACGAGTTATATTGAAGAAGTTATTGTGTGCGCCGTAGTACTCGTTGCGCTAGAATTGTAGTTTTTTTTTAGTATAACACGCGAACGCGGTGTCACAATAAGTTTACAAGACTAATTTGTCCAGATAGAGAATTTAGTTCTGTCCCCAATGTTAAAATTTGACTGGGACGTATCATTACCGGGGTAGCGGTAGAGCGGAAACCATGTTCAGGGCACCGTACAAGGGCAGCAGTAGAAGTGACTTGTGTTCAGGGGCACCTACGTACAAGGGTATGATGAAAGTGACTCGTGTTGAAGAGGAGCGGTTTTTGGATTTTTTTTGAGTATAACGCGCAAACGCGGGGTCACCAATAAGTTCTGAATAATTTTTTCCCGGATGAAATTAATTTTGTATCTCCCTGTATCAGGAAATTTATTGCAAGAAAATTCACATAACGCAGAGTTATATTGAAGGGATTATTATTGTGCGCCATGTGGTACTCGTTGCGCTAGGAATTGTAGTTTTTTGAGTATAATACACTTGAACGCGGTGTCACAATAGGTTTGGAATAATTTTCCAGATGAAGAATTTAATTTTGTATCTTCCTGTATTAAAATTTATTGCGAGAAAATTCATAACACCGAGTTATATTGAAGTTGTGTGTGTGTGCCGTAATTGCTTACTCGTTGCGCTTAGGAATTGTGGATTTTTTTTAGGTATAACACATGAACACTGATGTCACAATAGGTTCGAATAATTTTTCCAGATGAAGAATTTAATTCTGGCTTATCTTCCTGTATTAAAGTTATTGCGAGAAAATTTATAACGCAGGGTTATATATTGGTTGTATGTGTGTGTCGCCGTAGTACTCGATGCGCGCTAGAAATTGTAGTTTTGGTATAACTTTTGCGGGCGCGATATGCACAATAAGTTTGGAATAATTTGTCAGATAGAGGAATTTGGTTGCATCCCCATGTATTTAAATTTATTGCGAGACATCGTACAAGGGTAGCGGTAAGAAGTGACTCATGTTCAGGGTACCGTACAAGGGCGAGTAGAAGTGACTTGTGTTCAGGGGCCTGTACAAGGGTAGCGGTAGAAGTGACTCGTGTTGAAGGCAGTTTTTAGTTTTTTTTTAGTATAACACACTTAGCAGGGTCTTAATAGGTTCAGAATATAATTTTTTCCGGATGCAGATTTAATTTTTGTATCTCCCTGTATTGAAATATATTGCGAGAAAGAGTTCAATAACGCGGTTATATTGAATATTTGTATATGTGCGCGTAGTACTTTGTTGCGCTGGGAATTGTGGTTTTTTAGTGTAACACGCAAACTCGAAGATGTCAAAATAAGTTCGGAATAATTTTTTCCGGATGCAGAATTTAATTTTGTATCTCCCTGTGTTGAAATATGACGCGAGAAAATTCCTAACGCGAGTTATATTGAAAGAAGTTGTGTGTATTGCACCGTAGTATTCGTTGCATGGAATTGTAGTTTTGATATAACCGCACGCGAACGCATTTAATGCAATAAGTTCGTAATAATGTTTTCCAGATGAAAAATTTAATTTAACACGCGAGTTATATTTGAAAGTTGTGTGCGCGCACGCTGTTTTCTGGTACTAACTCGTTGCGCTAGGAATTATGATTTTAGTGTTAGATGAAGAATTTAATTTTGTATCTTGTATCAAATTTATTGCTAGAAAATTCCGTATCGCGAGTTATATTGAAAGTTGTAATGTATACGCACTGGTACTCTCGGTGCACTAGGAATTGTAGTTTTTGGTGGCTTGCGGCGGTGTACCACAACATGGTTTGGAGTAATTTTCCTAGATGAAAATTTGTTTTGTATCTTTCATAAAATTTGTTGAATTGGCTACCGCGTGGAGAAATGGCATATGATGCACCTTTTCGCGTTAAATATTGCTTAATGAGTGGTAGTGAGTGCACATTCGTGTGCGTCACTTGATTTCAGAGATAAGTTTAATATACCTGGGTATCGATCCTTTTGTTTTGTGGATAGTGTCACGGTTTGCCGACGTCGTGGGATTTGGCTTGGTATTTTGGTCAGAAATGTTTGGTGTGTTTTAAAGTCTGTTACTGAATCGTTTTTTGTTTTTCGTTACAGTTTTCGTTTTAATTTTTGGATGTTTATTATTATGTTTGTTATGATCGTTGGTGTGTTAATTTTGTTTAGTTGGGTTGTCGGCTGGATGGAGTTTGGTTGCAACTCGGTTTTGAAGTTTGATCAGATAGTATCCATTTTCATATTCGTCAATTAAGGATCATTGGGAGTTCTTGATCCTCATTTTCATTTGTTTCGAAATGGTTTCTGGGTTCAGTTCAGCATCGGTTTTGTTATGACTTTTGTATTCAGACAAATTGCGTTCGTTTCAGGTCTGGTGCCCATCAGATATCTTCTTTCCATTCGTTTCGTTATTTATTCGTTTATTCAGATTGATAGATATCGTTAATGATGATGGGTGTGTTTATAGAAGGATGGGTTCGGTTGATGGAGTTAGCTGGATTTGGTTGATTCAATCTCGTTCGTTTTCGATGATTGGGATGATTCAAGATGTTATGATCGACGGGGTTCATAGATTCGTGCATTCCGGATTGGGATCGGTTAAGATGGGTTTTCATCTATTATTTAATAATGATGAGATTTTCTTAGTTCAGCATTTTCTTTTTGATCATCCAAAAGAATCTCCAATCAGGACGTGTTTGGCAGACAATTTAATTTTCTTCTCGCGTGTGTGCACTTGATAGATCCGGACGACCTACATTTTACTTATACTTGTGTGGCGTATCTGGAGAACCCGTCGCAATGAAAAGTATAGGTTTCCTACCTTTTCTTTTTTAATTTTACATTTTTAAATTTAAATTTTCTTTGATTTTTCTTCTAGCTTTCTATTCTTAATTCAAAGTGTAGATGTAGTTTTGTTGTGTCACCTTCTCGTGAATCTAATTATCTGAATCGAATATTTTGTATTTTCTAATTAAATGTAGCTATTTTCTTCTTATATCACCCTATGTATTACTTTTCCGTGCTTTCTAATGTGAAACTGACTAAATTTATCACTTCCTGGTCGTTTTCTACTTAATATTAGTATTTTATTTTTACATTAAGGAATTTCCTATTTGTAACACCAGGTATGTTTGTTTTTCTTAATGTCGTATTAAAAGTTTTCTAAATTTGTTATTCCCGAGTGTTTTCTTTCTTGAACTATTATTTTCTTTTTGTAGCACACTGTATATTAGTTTTCCTAATTGTCGATGAAAACGAGCGACGTTTGTAGTGTTTAGAGTTTTTGTTTGTACTTTAAATTTTATTTTTGGAACTCCTGTATATTTGTTTCCCTTTTTAATCACGTAATTAGGTATTTAATTACTTTCTTTATTCCGGCAGTACTTTTGCGATGTGCTACTTGCTTGCATGTTCGCGGCTATGCAGGTCGTAAGTCTGTTCAATATGGCGGCATGTATTTTGTTGACTTGTAAAATCTAAACTTGTATTCTATTGTTAATAAAGAAATAGTAAGATATATTGACTTCTTTGATTTGTGTGTACCCCTTCTATCATTTCAGGAAAAGGTCTCTTAGAGAGTTCCTCTCTCAGGGATGATCCCACTATAAAAATTGTTAAGGTATCCTGTATGACTTATGTACTCCTTCTCTCATTTCAGGTACAGGTCAGAACTTGTAAGAATATTTTTAAGTGTCTCCTCTCTTGAGACGACTTAAAACTTAAAAATATTTTTATAAGTTCTTAAAAGGATGTCCTTATAAGGAGTTCCCTCTCTCTGGGGGTGATCCCCCACCATAAAAATTGTTGATATACCTGATAATTTCGGGGATGAAGCGCAGAGACATCGTAGCTGTAGGATGGGCCGGGAGCAATGGATGGACCGAAGCAGTGGGCGATCAGACCAGAGCTAGCGTAGACTGTCTTATAACGACACGTGCCAAAAAATTTAAAAATCTGATCCTCTCCTGTTCTCTTTCTTCTATCTCCTCCTCTTCTCTGCTCAACTCTCTTCCTTCTGTCTTCTCCTATTTTCTTTACTCCTTCTATTTCTCTGTTCTCGTTTCTCCACTTACTTTCTTACTTCTCCGTATTGCCTTCACTTGTATTTCAATTTCTCTTATATTTCGTTGCAATTCATATATGCAACCCAAATTACACCTGATATTTTTATATTTGAGAAAAATGCCTTCTATACCTGAGATTCGATCCGTGTCTGCTAGCATGCCAGCAGGTGCACGTCTCCACTCGACCACCGAGTATTTTTATCGTTCTTATTTGATTCTTCTATTTATGTTTCTATTTTATTCAACTTTTTAAAAACAACAACACAAGCCTTCGCTATGTTGCACTCACATAAGCTTCATATGAAATATGATTTAAGACGCATATCCTGAAAACTACAAAGAGGATGTTACCAAAAGTATGAATAATATTTTAATTTTAAATTGAGTTTTATTAATTATATTTAACATACATTCTTCCTCCTGTTTTAATAAAACGAACGTACGTACAATCCAAGGCATATCTTACGTACCATCAAGCCACAACGCTCTCGTATCAAACGTTACACACAAAGTAGAATTGTTTGTTGATGTTACTACTCACTGTATTACTTTTGCACAAACAACTATGCCACCCAGAGAAATCGCGTGATTTGTCTCTTCTAATTAACAAATCCATATTGGACTATAAATCCAATTGGAATCCGTAGCCCAACGAAAGAGATCCGACGGCCGGCGGCCGATGGCTCCAACACGCGCACGTGGTGTCTTGAGTCTCAAGTCGATTCGAGATAAATCACTTGTTCATTAGTTGATAGCAATCAATGACTAAACAATTATAAGACTCGCAACGTATTAAAGTCTCCCTAAATGCTAACAGTCGCGATGAAGACCGGCGGTGAAACACAACACGCACCACAATTGCGTACCACCGACTGACTAAACACGAACAAACAACAGCCAATACGACAGCGCAAGATGTTCTGAGCAGTATAACGAATTGTCACTTGAAGTCGACGACACACGGCGACCGGTGCGGTACTGTTCAAATTTCAAATGTCAGCGCACAGCGTGCTGCGCAAGCCAAGGTCAAACTGAGAGCATAAACAAGGTGCAGAAAATTGTCCAGATCATATAGATAACATGGATTGAACATGACATTTACAGTATTGCTCTCTTATTCTAACTCACCTATTATGACCTCATCCTGGTATTTCTATTTCACTCACTTGAACGAAAATCAAGAAAACACAATCCATGTTATATATAATCCAAAAACTATTCAGAATGACTAAATGTAAACAAACCGTTTCGGTAACCAGCAAAAATCAGTGCTTGGAAATACAAAAAGTCAATTTTTCTCGCTAATTCATAAGTTTTTCATAAAAGTTATGCATAAAAATGATAAAGAAATTAATTACTTACAATCTGATGCAAGATACAAGAATGGTTCTGCTGCGATGTCGACTTTGGGTGCAGAACACCTAAAACAAGCGAAATGTAGTCCTTTGCAACACAGAAATCGAATTTTTGTTACTAATTCATGAGCTAATCACAAAAATTAGTTATGAAAACGATAAAGAAATTTATTACTTACAATCTGATGCAAGAATGGTTCTCCCACGATATCGGGATCGGGTGCAGAACACCTAAAACAAGCGAAATATAGTCCTTTGCAACACAAAAATGCAATTTCCGTCACTAATTCATGAGCTAATCACAAAAATTAGTTATGAAAACGATAAAGAAATTAATTACTTACAATCTGATGCAAGAATGGTTCTCCTACGATATCGGGATCGGGTGCAGAACACCTAAAACAAACGAAATGTAGTCCTTTGCAACACAAAAATGCAATTTTCGTCACTAATTCATGAGCTAATCACAAAAATTAGTTATGAAAACGATAAAGAAATTAAATACTTACAATCTGATGCAAGAATGGTTCTCCTACGATATCGGGATCGGGTGCAAAACACATAAAACAAGCAAAATGTAGTCCTTAGTAACACAAAATGCAATTTTCGTCACTAATTCATGAGCTAATCACAAAAATTAGTTATGAAAACGATAAAGAAATTAAATACTTACAATCTGATGCAAGAATGGTTCTGCTACGATGTCGACTTCGGGTGCAGAACACCTAAAACAAACGAAATGTAGTCCTTTGCAACACAAAAATGCAATTTTCGACACTAATTTATGAGCTAATCACAAAAATTAGTTATGAAAACGACAAAGAAATTAAATACTTACAATCTGATGCAAGAATGGTTCTCCTACGATATCGGGATCGGGTGCAGAACACCTAAAACAAACGAAATGTAGTCCTTTGCAACACAAAAATGCAATTTTCGTCACTAATTCATGAGCTAATCACAAAAATTAGTTATGAAAACGATAAAGAGATTAAATACCTACAATTTGATGCAAGAAAGGTTCTGCTACGCTGTCGACTTCGGGTGCAGAACACCTAAAACAAACGAAATGTAGTCCTTTGCAACACAAAAATGCAATTTTCGTCACTATTTCATGAGCTAATCGCAAAAATTAATTATGAAAACGATAAAAAAATTAAATTCTTACAATCTGATGCAAGAATGGTTCTCTTACGATGTCGTGCTCGGGTGCAGAACACCTATAACAAGCAAAAAGTAGTCCTCTGCAACACTTCAAGAAAGGCAAAGAAGGTTTGCACTGCAAACTTTGCAGTTATACGAATGTCCGAATCAAATTATAGAGCAACCTGGCGCCGAAACGCGAGCACGTGCGGACGACCCACAGACCACGACAAGCACGACGCAACTGAAGCAACGAGCAATGCACTTTTAATCGCATCACAACAAAAAACAACCTCGCACACCTTGAATTGCCAGGAAAATTAAACGGACAACTCGACATTCATTCTCAATAAGTTCTGTAGTATAAAACTGTCCCAGAATAAATGTTTCACACACTTCTGCTTCGTTGTAAGTTTTTAATGTGTGAGACAAATATATACATGAATATGGCACAAAAATATAACTTGAATCCTTAATTTAAGTTACGAAATATTTACACGCTAATATTGTTGTAACAATTCAGAAATGCGCTGGTGTAATGCCTGGAACGTTGGCCTTTGATGCGAATCTGCATTCCAACAAGGATATATCACATCAACATAAATTGACTGTGGACATTTTGGTGGGCAGGGAATCCTAAAAACCAATAATGTCAAGTAATATTGTAATGTAAAATAATACAAATTTACCTTAGCCCACTTTCTAGTGCTTTAACAAGCTGTTCGTGGTCAGGTACATCTGTTTGGCTTACAAAAGGAAGTTTAAGATCCTCGCCTCGTAGATACATCTCCGCTAAAGTCACCCCATAAGACCAGACGTCCGATTTTGAAGAGAATCTTCCGTGCAGTAAACTTTCCAAGGCATACCTATAAAATGTACAATATAATATTTATTTTTATTGATATGTTATTTACCTTACCATTTTATCGGTAACTCCCGGTCAGTTTTAAGAATATAATAGTCTTCTGATGTAATGACACGAGCAAGACCAAAATCACTAATTTTTACATGGTTCTCATCAACAACCAGAATATTTCGCGCCGCTAAATCCCGATGAACAATTTTCATCTGGCCCAAGTAGGCCATACCCTCGGCAATGCCCGATGCATATCGAAGCAATTGCTGATCGTGCAAAGTATCTTTATTAATCTTTAGATATGTCTCGAGTGATCCGTGCGGTACGAATTCCATAACCATCATAATTCCTTCCTCACTACTAAGCGCGCTTAAAATACGCACAATATTTTTGTGATTTAAACTCTTCATTATTTTAATTTCTTCTTCAAATTCTTTCTGACCGGATCCTGTCGCTGATGACTTTAGTTTCTTCACTGCAACCTGTCGATTTTCTTCGGAATATGGTTTATTGTTATCCAAAACAGGCTCCAACATGCCTTTGTATACTTCTCCGTAGAATCCCTGCCCAATACGCCCTTGTAAAATAACCCGATAGTCCTGGTCCAAATCGTACACATATGACAAACCAGACAAGTACGCTTTACGAGTGTTAAACATAGAATGATGCGCGAGATTCGGACTGAATAAATTGTTATCAAGCTCGTTTAAGGCCGGCGGTAATATAAGGGATGTGTTATCGTCATCCAGACTCCACTTGGACATATTGTAGTCTTCTATTGAATGATTATCTTCAGTTCCAGCAATGGACGTAGTTTCCGTAGCCATTGAAAGAGAACTTTCAAGACTCCGCGTGTCGAAAGACTTCACCTGAGCGTAGACGTGCTCTTGTCGCGAATTGTATACTTCATATAACATTTGATTAAAATCACGCATTATTTCTTGCGGTCGTTTTCTACTTGCCGGGTCAGTATTCCAACATTCCAAGAGGATGGAATAAATTTCCGGTGGACATAATTTGGGTATTGGTAATCGTTTACCGCTTATATAAAATTGCTACAAATTGAACTTAATTGTAAACAATACTAAAATTAATCGATGATGCCTTACTTTCATAATTTCCGCATCAGCTGTATTCTCAATCGGTTCACCTTGCATGTATATTTCATGCACAGTAGTTGCAAAGGCCCACACATCCGTTGTGTGAGACTGTCGTGCATAACTAACGTGAAGATTCTGATAAAACTCAACTGGAATCCAATGAATTCTAAAAGTAGCAAAATAGTCAATTTCTATGCAATTTACAATCGTTTTCAATACATACTCATTGGGTGCGTACTCAGTATAAACTCCAGGATCTGATAGTTTAACATTAAAATTCTTTTCGTCGTGACAAGCAACCAAAATTTTCCTACACCTGATTTTTCCATGTATAATATCGTTTTCGGCCTGCAAACCAATCCAATTATTTTATTTATTAATTTATAATCCTGTGACTTACCAAATACCAAAGTGCAGATGCTAAATCAGCACTGGCTTGCATTAGATCCACACTTTTAATGTTTTTCTTATTATTTCTAAGATATTCATCCAGTTGCCCCAGACTAACATATTCTATTACAAGTGAAAATAAATTTCGCAGTGTTATACCATGAAACTTAACAATGACGTTTGAGCGTAAAAGAGACCATTGCCCAGCTAAGTCTAGAAATTGTGCTAAATATTGATCTCTGAATTCTGGATTCAACATCTTAATAGCAATAAAACTTTTTGTTTTCGTCGATTGTTTCCAACGACCCTTATATACAATCGTAATATTTCTTGTGCTTTCCATTTTATGCGCTAAAATAGAAATTCAATATTATTTTTATTGAAAACCGCAGTAATTGTATTTAGTTATTTACCTGAAAAAACTTCAAGATTTTTTGGATTTATGCAAACAGAATTATCGTCTTGAGCTCGTTTCTCATCTGACGTTATTTTGCATAGTAACAATGGTGAATTATCTAAAAATCCAAGTTTAAGCACCATTCTGTGTGGTATTTGGTTAAATATACAAAACCTCACCATATTCTGATGGTGGTAAACATTCTTTGAGATAAATGGTCCCATTGGCATTGTTATACGCCGCCATTAATTGACTAATTGTTTTATATTTAACAAGATCATCATTAAATATAAATTCATCATTAGAAAGATATTCCAATTTAAAAGTCTTTGGTTTCGAGCTACAATGCGTCAAGTTACAAATCAACATTTTACTTTAAAACAAATTTCATTAACACAAATCGTTCACTCACTTTTCGCCAGTACAAACATCCATGAAACACGTATTATACTTCGTTTCACATTCTCTTAATATAAAAGACCCGTGATTATTCGAGCGTTTTTCTTCTAACTTCGCATAAGAAAATTCACCACTAAAATATTAAAATAACTAGCATTTTAAATATATAATCTAAATTGTATCAGTTTACCCAACAGGTCCATGGCATTTCATTTTATGTAGTTTTTGTAATGATGGTGTAACAATTTCTTTACAAATGTTAAAATTCCATTTGCAAGAAAGCCGGTAATATCCATCCACCAAACTAACAAAACTGCGCATTTTCATGATTGAATTAAATTTCACATAAAATGGGATACCATTCAGTCTACTAATCTCAATTGACGAATCACCTCGGATTGAAATGAAACATACTTCGTCAGTGCCACAAATTACATTCCATTCCTGGAATAAAAAATGCAGCAATACAAACAATGCAAAAATGTGCTGAACTAAAATACTTACATCTTTATTTGACTCCAGTCTATATTTAATACCTTTATTTGTTACATCAAATGGCGATACTCGCAAATAAATATTATAAATTGCTCCATTGTGATCAATGAAAGCTTTATATTCTTCTTCTGGATAATTAGGAGCAATGTTTTCAAATTCTTGCAAATAAGCACCAACAACATACCTACAACATAATTTATGTAAAAAACTTAATTTTTATAAAATTATATTTGTCAATTACAGTGGTTCAAAGGTTTTGTCTGCCTGTTTGCTCAATTTAGTGAGTGCATCCTTAATGGGCTTTTTCACAAAAATTGAATGCCTGTTTAATACTGCTTTGGGAATATATTTCTTGTAGTCATTCAGGACAGTTTCTTGTGGAATTTGCTTTTCCAACATTACTCTGTACATGTCTGTGACTCCAAGCCCAAGCAGTTGAGTCCTAATTGTCTCAAAGGGAATATCCAACACTTTGTTCCCAATAACATCCAATCTCACTTGATGAAAGTAATAATCAAATGCCTTGCAATCAATTGTTTTTAGCCTCATAATCATAGGAACTTTATAACGAATGCGAAAGTCGTAAACAGCATTCTTTTGCAGGGTTTCTCCAGGCATTAAATACAACAATTTGTTATCACGAAGAGCAAATAAATGTCTTGCCACAGTTCCAATTCCCAAGTGTTTGCACAAGTAAATACATGCATCTTCAGCAGTGGTATGACCAGGCGTATACGCAAAATATACCACTTTTGAATCATGTACAACTCTCACTGTTATTCTCTGGTCATTCATGATGACTGATTTGTTTTACACTTTAAGTGCATACATGAATTTCCAAAAAGATAACTATAGAGTTTAATGAACGAACACAAATCATGCTGTGAATTATTATAAATCACTTTTTCCACACTATGTTATACCACAATTGTTAATCATTGTTGTTATTTCTTGTAATTAACGAAAAGCTTCTTCAAACTGCAAACAAAAATATTTTTCAACCCGCAAGGTTAATCTAAACGTACCATTCTTATTAGATAGGAGGTGCTATGTTGCCATTGTGCATGGAGACAACCAGTTTGAAATCTCAGTTTGCAACAGTATTTACTTTTCAGATACATACTCACTTAAATTTTTATGTGTAAATACACATTATATGCAGGAACACGTTTGAATAAAGATTAATCTGAGAAATTACCGCAATACTGCGACTTAGGAATAGATAACAGGGGGATATTGAATGTTTAGAATTAATGCCCCAGCAGTTTGAGACGTAGTTTCTGTGACTCACAAAACATTGATTGGGAGTACCCAGAAAAACACACCGTGTATTTTCAAAAGGAAAATTGTTTACCCAATTTTTTTCTTTGGCATAGTTTGAGTGGCACCTAAATTAGGTTAAACAAGTTGTCTTATTACGCATCACTGATGATGATAGAAAATACACACAATAAAAATATTGAATCAAAATACATTAATGTTTTAATATTTTTTACCGCAATGAAATAGAATGAAAAACTTTTCTTAAAGAAAGATTGCCTTTTGTAAGTTTACCTCAAGTTTACTAATAAAATCGATTTTACTGCCCCCTGTTGGTGTATATTACAGTCGTTCGCATATCAGACATATCAGTCCAGCCATCTATTTTATACAACATCTACATCACTTTACATGCACTCGTATTCCTACACATACATATTCTGTTTTTCTACATTTGCATTTGCTCGCGCTGTACTCGCAAAAAGCAGCATTTTGCGTGAGAAGTACTTAAAGCAACGTTCATAATCTAATCATGTCCGAAAATCGTGAAGAAATACTGGCTGATTTTCAGGTAAGATCCACAATTTCACAGCATGATATTGCCAAAAGCAATTTTAGTAAAATGTTTGATAGGTTAAATTAAAATGACACAGGCAATTTGGTGTACAAAGAATGAGTTTTTTTTCTCGTCAAATTTCAGGCCTGCACTGGCATTGAAGATGTGGCCGAGGCAATTTACGTTCTGGATGAGACCAACTGGGATCTTGTGGTAATCCAGCGAAATCATATTGAAAATTAATTTCTAATTTGATTTTATTTTTGTACAGCGAGCTGTTAACAAAGTGATGCCTCAAGACACTCAATCATTCCAATCAATTCAAGGCAACAATGTGGATATGGCCCCTGAAGTTATTGAGATTCCATCAAGTCCAATTGAATCAGCAGCTGAGAGTGTCTCAGCACATGCTACCACACCAGCAATGGTTAGAAGCATGCCAATATTGGACACACAGTATGCTCATATGAATTCACAGCCATCAACATCATCAGTGCACTCCAATACCAATGGCTCAAAAATTATCAAGTTTAATATATCTTACTGTGATCGTATAATACCTATAGAGGTACCAGATACAGGCACAGTTGGTAAGATTTATATTTTGCTTCATTTTTATTGAAATTTTCTTATACATATTAATTATAATTACAGCTGATATTAAGAAGAAACTGAACAAAGAGATAAAGGTTGCTCCATGCAGGCAATTGTTGTCTGGCTGGGCTAGATTGCCACAATATGCTAATACCCCTTTGGTAGAATTGTCTTTGCCGGCATTTAATTCTTTACAGTTGACTGTTACAAATGTAACTGGTCTTGCACAAGATGAGTATGTGCTTATATTTTATAACTTGATTGATTACAATTAATAACTATATTTTTTATAGTGAAATCACCGACCGATTACGCGGAAATTATATATTAAAAATCCGCGATGAGAACGCCGACAAAAACTATACTTTGAACTATCCAGGAACAAAAACTATTCTAGATGTGAAAGTGGACTTGCATTCTTTAACAAATATACAAGTCCGTAATCAAATGTGGAGTGGCTGGCCGCCTAATATTGACGACCAGACTGTGCTTGCATTATCCGGAATAAAGTATGAAATTGACAAGCTGTCAAACAGTTCTTAATGTTATTAACTCTGACGTTTTGCAGTTACCCTGAACACGATTTAATTTTGCGTCAGGCTACATCTAGCATGGGCAATAGAAGTGAAACTCGGCCAAAGAACGATGTGGTTGTGGTTCCAGATAGTGATGAGGAAGAATTTGAAGATGCGTCGGAATCGTTCAATGTGGAAGATGATTGTTTCATGGATAATGTCGCTAGTAAACGGCCTGAGCCATTAAGTAAGTTATTTGTTTGTTTGTTAATTACGCATTATTAAATTTATTTTTTGTTTTAAAAGTTCCTAAAGTCGTCGAAGATGAAATCGTTGGCAGTATACATTTTTCCGAACAATTCACGAACCGTTATGGACCAGTACATCCAACGTTTTATCAGGGCACGTTGGATGATGCATTGCGGGAAGCTTGTAATAAGCCAGCAAGAGACGTAAGTTTCTTTCTTTATGAAATTTTATACTTTTACGTATTTTAAACAATATTTTACTGTTTCAGCGCAAGTTACTCGCAATTTACGTCCATCACGATGCAAGTGTGCTGTCCAATGTCTTCTGCACTCAACTGCTGGGCTTTGAAAGTGTCATGCAGCTTCTAGAAGCCAATTTTGTGCTCTGGGGTTGGGATGTCACATATGAAACAAATCGAACAATGTTGCACACATCGCTTGGCAATTCGCTTGGTCCAGGCGCGGCCGCTAACGTGAAAACTATTCCCGCTGACCGGTTACCGGCCATTTTTATCATTATGAAAATTCGTTCTTCTACAGAAATTTATAATATTGTCTACGGTATGATATTTCATCATCATTTATTTAATTTTCGTACTTATGACTGTGTTTAAAATAGGAAACGTTGGTGTTAATGAACTTTTATCAAGTTTGATTGAAGCGGTAGAGGTATTTACTCAGCACCAACGAGTGGAGATCCGCGAAGAGGAAGAACGAGCTGAGCGAGAATTTGTTAAGTGGGAACAGGATATGGCATACAACGAAAGTTTAGAAGCAGATCGGTAAGTTAATGATTAGAAGTGAAATTGAGTAACAGTTTAATACTTTTAAAAATAATTTTAGTGCTAAAGAGAAAGCTAAAAGAGCTCAAGAAGAAGCCGAGATCATGGAACGTACACGCATAGAAAACGAAATCCAAATGATAAAGGAACGCAAGGAAGCGGAGCGTCGCGAAGTCGGTGCACGATTGCCGGTTGAGCCTCCAGTTGGTACTCCAAATATTACGAAAATCAGGTTTAGATCACCTGCGGGGCAACTAGAACGGCGGTTCACAGCTGACACGCCGCTACAGACACTTTTAGATTATTGTGTGGTGCAAGGATATCCGCCAGCTGAATATAAAATCATTTCTAGCTGGCCTAGAAGAGACGTAAGTTGCTTAAATTTTTATAAAATGTTTTGGTTTATTAAAATGTTTTAATGCGTTGCAGTTAACTTCGTTAGATGTGAACAAGACTTTGGAAGAATTGAAACTCTGCCCTCAAGAAACTGTGATACTAGAGGAAAGATAAGAACATAAAAATTCAAACAACTTTTTTTGTCATTCTCTTTAATTATAATAACATAAGTGATTGATTTCTTGTCTCGAAATAATCAAGGCATGTGTCTGTCTATAGTTGCTTACTTCTATTTGTATCTTAACTACTATCGTGTATTTAGTACCGACTATTTATTTCAATAAATATTTCACATGTAACTCGAGCACCGGTGCGTGATTAGGGAATTGCGAATACCGAATAAAGGATTAAAGAGATTAAATGCTAGAAACTTAATACAAAGATTAGAAACACCAGCAAAAAAAAGTGATTGATTGAAAAAGTGATCATGCAAAATATGGTTTTTTCTTTTTTCTTGCAAACTGTTGTTGATCATTTTTAAGAGTCGCCATTTTTGATCAGTGGCGTGACGCGTTTAATCATTCCATATTTTTTGTTAGTCCGAAGCATTTTTCTCATTTTTTCTTCCTCCACTTTAATCTGGCGCAGATGTACTACATTCTCTAAGATTAAAACTATTAGACTGAATACTATTCCCCCGAAAAGCAAACTCAGTGCAGGGTAGAATTCGTCAATGGTTACTGACATGGTAGCGGGACGTGAACGAATACACTGTGGCCTTTTTGTGTGCCAATGCTTCAATTGTCGATGCAGAACGCCATACTCATCCATTTTGTGTAAACTGCAAATTAATACAATCAACAACTAACATATAGTGATAAAAATTTATAATACGTACATATAATCAAGCATTTCACGAAATTCTGAACCTTTCTGTAATGGTTGATGCATTTGTTGTAAATGATACAATTCAATTTGATCCAGATTACAAAGAGTATCCTCGTCAAAAATCTTAGACATAATTGGATAGGCTGTGGCAAGCTCAACATGATATGCGAATCCACCAGCTGCTACTTTTGGTAGCGCAATTTCCGGTTCAACGTAGAATTGTGCATAGCCACCAGAAGGATTCTTCTTGTGTAGACGACCAACAATTGAATCATTTTCTAGTTTCTGCAAAAATAAACACATTGTTATATGATTTGTTTATATTTTAGTGATATACTTCACATTAAAGTAATCTCGATGGTACAAAACATCTTCACTTGCAAGAACCATTGAACTTGCTGCTAAATCTTGCAGAGTTTTAATGAATCTCGCTGGAGCCATGATTAATATCGAGACTATACTAGCAGAATAATACTGATACAGTAACACTGTGAAGATAAAAATAAAAATGAAAGAAATCCGACTGCTAATTCCATTCGGACTGGTGGCACATCCTTGTTGACATATGGCACCGAGAGTAAAGAGAGCAATATGACTCCATGATGGTTCAAAAGTTCCCTCTTCATGTTTAAACTTAGCAATTTCTGCTTTTAAGCTAATTTTTAGGAAAATAACAATGATTACGCTTGCTATAGCAGTAAGATACCAAACTCTCTTGTGTAAAGGGCGTAGAAACACCTCAAAAGTTGCGGGACGTTTTGGTGCCCGAAATAAAAACGCTGATCTGGAAACAAAGCGTGAAATTAAACATAAGTTTAATAATTCAACATAAATCTAACTTTAAAGTCCATGTGCGACGTCCGTAATCAACTGCTGGCCATCTTTCATTCTTAACAAACAATGGCGATGCACCGAAATCAACTTGACGAATTTCCAATGCGCGTACCAAACCATCAAAGGTACCGTTGTATAAGTAACCCCAAGATTTTGTCCTTGTTATATTCAGGTCATAATAGTAATAGTCCTGTGCGTGATACATCAAAACAGTATGAAATCGATTCAATATATTTACTTCACGATGCCTATCGTCATTGAGGTATGTTTCAAGTGCTCCAGGATATGGTTGTGGTAACTGAAAATTATTATATATGTTGTAATTTGTGCGTTTTCGAAGTAATATTTGTCATACCACGACCATTGCTTTAAATAATATCCCAGACATATTCCGGCGTACCCAGTACATATGCTCATGTTTCGTATCTTTTACAAAAATACGCCTTTCGGGTTTCCAGTGTTTGAAAGGTGAATAAGTCAATTGTGCGCCATGTAACGTTGATGGATTGTAAACATCGTAAACTGTGTAGTCTTCCATGAGTATTTTTAAGTTGCTGTTAACTGTTAAAATCACATTTTTGAATACTGGTTCTATGAGGCTGACGTCTTTCATGAAGATTAAGAAGTAATGGATTCCTTTGAACGATTGTACATTACTTAACTACAAAATAAAACAATTATTACAAATATTTTATGAATAACAGTATGATAACCTGGTTTATTGCGTCTGTGTATGGACAATTTATTGCATCCATCCATATGCCTAATTTAATATTTCGCTTTAAATAAATATCGTCTTTTGTTATGTTTAAAGATTCGTTCATATTAAACGATCTGATTGTAAAATCAGTCGTGTAGTTCCTGAGAAAGTCAATTTTGTCTGAAATAATAAATAATTTATTATTTGATAGATGTAATTGTATTAATTTGTTACCTCTTCGATTAAAACAATGAAAAATATTTAAATATTTTACATGTTCGTACTGATAATATTGTTTAATTATTTCAGACTCCAATGAAGACACAATTGTATAAAATATCATTAAAGAGAGGAAAAGTAGAATGGAGCACATGATTTCGTCTAAAAATACCTAATAAGTAATAAGTAAGAATAAAGTAATTCTTTTCTTTTATATAGTGATAATATTGTAATTGATACTTATCATAAGTGAGAAATTATGTGGTGAAGTTGTGAAGTTTAACTTCAAAGGTATTTTATGTATACAGTATATAAATAATTCCCTTTTATTTATCAAACATAATTTTGTGATATAATAATTTATTATTATTAAGATTCTAACCATATTTTCGTTCGGTTTTATTTGTCTAAGATATAAATGTCAATTTGATTATGATTACGGAAAAATTACATAATTTCCGAAGATTTTATTGTCGAATTGTTGCGGTTTACCTAAACCACTCATTTCTTAGACATGACTAATATTTAATTAAAAGAAAACTTGATAGAATGTTTTTTATTGATTAAAACATCAAAATTAGTTAGTTTTTTGTGAAGAAATGTATAAAACTATAAGCAATGTTGAAAATTTGTATTGCCAATGGTGGGAGCTGAGAATAACTGATGTCTGCTAAAATGACGCAATACGGGATTTACCAATAAAATCCACCGCAATCATTAACCAAGATCAATTCATCAAAACAATTCAAACATGAATTTTATATTGCTTGTATTTTTCACAATTTTGACTTATAATTTTAAAGAATATGTAGTAGCCGAGTCGATATTACCAATTTTAAGCCCAGGTAATTGTATTATCATCCTACAGTAATCTAAATTTAAATAATTATCTATTTAACACCATTTTAGAGCCTCCAAGTGCTGAACCATGCATTAACTGCGCAATATATTGGTCAAAGGAGTTGTGTGATGAACAAAACATGGATCAATTTCCAGGTTCATGTTACGAGTGCTCCAACTGTATTCCGAGAAAGAATTAAATTAAACCAAATATGTACTACATGTACAAATTCAACAACAACAAAACGTAATCTGCGGTTTATTATTATAAATAATTCATGACTCACAAAACTTTTTTTTATTGTATTATTAACGTTGTTAAAGTGGGGATTTGTAATATGAACTTGTTTATATAAACGCGACGTCCTTGTATAGTCTGACATTACTCACTAAAGCCCAAACCATCCAGCAGTTTTATTTACGATTAATTATATAACATAATAATTGAACTCATTAATTATGAAGTGTAGTACGTTTGTTATTCTCGTCGCATTCATTGTGATGCTGGGTTTTCAATCTAATTGTTGTGACACAGCCACTGCATCAACCGGTAAATTATTATCTGTACGAATTTGACGGTATGAAATATATTAATGTATATTTTGTGTGTTAATTAGATCAAGTGTGCATTAATTGTTTTGCGTACTGGAGTAAGGAACACTGCGCAAGTTTAGGAATGGATCAAGTTGAAGCGACTTGTACAAGCTGTTCACGGTGTATTCCAAGAAATTCAAAGTAAGGAAAGGAAAAAAATTCGTAGAAAATAACAACATTGATATATTACATCAAAAGTGACAATAAATGAATTGAAAATATGTATGTTGTTATTTTTACTACGAACGTGCGTAATGTATAAAATGGTTTGCATTGTTTAGTGATAAAATTGGTAATACATATTATCTATATCACTGAATAATATCGAAATGAACGTCACAGCATACAAAACATTTTTTAAATATTGGTACCGTTGATTTGGCCCTGTTTTGGACAGAAACGAATTAATGAAAAAGTTAGTGATGACCTGGAAAATTATATATAAAAATTACTATTAAAATTACAATAAATTATATGTAGGTTTGTATACTCTCGGCGTTTACCAAGGGTAGATCCTGAATTTTTAGCAATTCAGGATGCCATTGGTTCTACGCCTTGTCACATAATAAAGACAAAACCATAAATTTAAAAATATTAAGATAGTGAACGACTAATAACGATTCAAATTATAGCTTAAAATTTGCTATTAATTTGTTTATAACTTATGCATTTATTCGCTTTTGCGTCTGCGTCTTCTTCTATTGCAACACCATGGCAACAATTAACAACAAACCGGTAGTGCATAAGAAAAATAAAGAAAAGTACAATAAACAAAAATCGCTGCCGTTAACGTGTAACATTCATCTATATGTTTATTACATGTAATAGTTTGCAGAAACAACCACTAATTTAGTGATACCACAGATTAATTATTAATGTCATGCGCGTAATTAACCCAGTATTAAGCATATCAATCCTCAAATCCTGAATCATCATTTTGTTCCTGCTAGCTGTTTGATGCGTGCATAATATGCTCCTGATAAGCTCATACCTTCGGTATGAACAACAACAACATGCTCAACGCCGGATAGAACTCTTCAATGCTCACTGTGTGTTGAGTTGCCGGTCGAGATCTGATACATTCGGTTTCTTAGCGTGCCAATGCTTTAACTGTCGATACATCAATCCTCTCATCAATTCTATACAAACTAAAATTAAAACACATGTTATTATTAGTACTTAATCTACATATATAAAAAATGAATTGCTGTTCGTTAGCCTCGCTAAAATCGAGAACAGCTGAACAGTTCTCCTCTTGGTCTTGAACTATTCATTGGAGGTCAAGGGTTTAAAGGTGAAAATTTCGAATAATTGCAAGGAAAATCCTCGAAAACAACTCTTTTCTATAGAATAAAAATTTGACATTGAGATTCAATCATAGTTATAGTTAAATAGTTGAATTCGAAGGATGGCGCGCTGAGATACGTATTGACGAAAACTTTATATAATTGCATTTTCTTTAAATTAAAATTGCTAATCTTATTGATGAGAATTGACTCTTACTACGGTATGTCTAGAACAAAGAGGTAAAACAATTACATTTTATTAAACACTACCGGAACGAAGTCGCGGGCAACAGCTAGTTTAAAATAAAAGAATATGGAAAATACATACACATAATCTAACATCTCACGAAACTCTGAACCTTTCTGTAGTGGCTGATGCATTTGCTGCAGTTGAAACAATTGAATTTCATCCAAACTACAAATTGCATCCTCATCAAATGTTTTTGATATAATCGGATATGCTGTGGCCAGCTCAACATGATAAGCGTATCCACCAGCTGCCACTTTTGGAAGGCCAACTTCCGGTTCAACATAAAAACTTGCGTCGGTGCCATAGGGACTTTTCTTTGACAATCGATTAACGACTGTATCATTTACCAATTTCTGTAATAAATTATTATTTAATAATTATTTAATTTTATGTATAGTTTCACTAAAATATTTTACATTGATATAATCACGATTGTATAAAACATCTTCACATCCAAGTATCAAAGTACTATAAGCCAAATCTCGAAGAGTTTTAATAAATCTCGCTGGAGTCATGATTAAGATCGAGACTATACTAGCAGAATAATACTGATATAGTAATACTGTGAAGATAAAAATAAAGATGAATGAAATACGACTGCTGATTCCATTCGGACTGAATGCACATCCCTGTTGACATAATGCTCCCAATGTAAAAAGAGCAATATGACTCCATGATGGTTCAAATGTATCCTCGACGTGATCAAATTTAGAGTATTCAATTTTTAAACTTAGTTTTAGTAGTAGAATGATGACAATGCAGGCGACTACTGTTAAAGTCCACACACGTTCGTCCAATGGACGTAAAAACACTTCAAAAGATGCTGGACGTTTCGGAGTACGAAATAGAAATGCGGATCTAAAAATATTTAAATAAGTATTTACATTGTTTTATTTTTAGTATTACTTTAATTTCCATGTTCGACGACCATAATCAACAACAGGCCATCTTTCGTCTTTGACGAATAATGGCGATGTTCCAAAATCAATTTGGCGTAATTCAATAGCACGAACCATTCCATCAAATAATCCATTGGGTTGTTTATAACCCCAGGAGGTTGTTACGGACATATTTAACTGATAATCGTAATAATCTCGCGTATGATACATTAACACAGCGTGGAAACGATTGAAACTGTTTACTTCACGATCGTCATCGTTAAATTGTAGATATTCGACAAGATCGCCTTCATGAGGTTTAGGTAACTGAAAAATAACATAATATTTACAATAATGTATCCTATTATTTGCAAATTTATGAATATTTAAAAATATAAATAGTGAAATTCATTAATTAGTTTTTGAAAATTAATATCACCGAAACGATTTTATATTTTTGTGCTTTTATCTTTACATAGAAGGTTTTAAATGGTTTATATGTATAGCATTTTTCTTACCACAACCATTGTTTGAAAGACAATTCCGGTCATATTTCGGCGTATCCAATACAAATGCTGAAATTTCGTATATTTCTCAAATTTGCGCGTTTCCAAATGCCAATGTCTAAAAGACGTGGTAATTAACTGTCCACCATGTAATGTCGATGGATTATAAACGTCGTAAACAGTATAATTTTCCACAATAATTATTAAGTTACTATTGACAGTCAAGATTACATTTTCAAACGCTGATTGGATCAGATTAAAGTCTTTCATAAAAATGAAAATGTAATGCGTGCCTTTAAACATTTGCAATCTGCTGAACTGCAAACAGAATCAAAATTATTATTTTTTTTAATATTACGTAAAATATAAATTAAAAATTGAACCTGTTCCAATATATTTGTGTATGGGCAATTTATTGCATCCAACCAGAACCCTAATCTAACATTTTGTTTTATAAACATCACATCGGGACTTAACATTGTTATTTTGTTTATGTTGAAAGATCGAATCGTGAAATCCGTGGTGAAATTTTTTACAAAATCAACTTCATCTAAAAATATAACAAATAATAAATAAATAATATAAATAATATTAATATTTGTTACCCCTTTTATTAAAACAATGAAACATATTCAAATACCTCACATTTTCAAACTGATAATATTGTTTAATTAGATCTGATTCCAATGAAAACACAAAAGTGAAAAATAACAATATTGGAATTAACAAACGCAGTGAACACATGATTAACTACTAAGAACATTTCCAGGCGTACTTCCTGCTTTTATATGCTGGCCTGGAATTTAAATTTAGTTCATTGAGTGACAGTAATATTACCGATCAAATCTATTAGATAGAGTAGTTTAACAATGTTTTTGAAATTATGGGAAAATAACAAAAATACAGCCGAATTTGATTGACACTTAATTAGTTTTTTTTCTGATTTGTCTATCCTATTAGATAAATTAGAAAACGATAAATGATAACCCTTTATTGGATTGGTGATTAAACTACGTAGTTGTATTACAAGGTAAACGTAAAAAACGTGTAGGCGTAATTTGTATTGAATTTGTCGTACAATTCATGTGATGATTATCATAATCAAAATATAATTGAATCATTAAGGGCTGGGGTTGAATTGCTGTGATTTTGAGTGTGGTTTACGATAGACAGTTTTTTTCTATTTTTGTTTGTATTGATAAACATAAGCTTTTATATGACGTTGAATGTTTTTTTTATTGTTGGAATGATAAAGATTTATCTATTTTGTTTACATTACTTTAGTATTTAGGTCATATGCAAGCAAAATGTATTTCCTGTATTAATTATTTATACGTTAGATATTACAAGGAATCTATTATATTCTAACCAAAGTATAGAAATAAAAATTAATTGTCACTTGAATGTCACATATTCTACAAATCAAACGAATATCTTATCCTAACTCAACGTCTTCCTAAGCTTGATGTGTCTGAATAATAACGATAACATACGAAATGGTCAAATTTAAAAATGTAAAAATCAACGCATGATTCACATCAAAAAATCCCCATGCTGAAAACTTGGGGCATCGGTCACTCGCTTGTTCCCACAAGAACTCCAACTTCTTCTTTGTTATAAAATACTTAGAGTCGCAATCCAACATTAAATTATTTGCAATACACACTGTTTTACGCCCTTCATTGCTAAACGTCTCGCAAATATTTGCAGTGATAAAAACCTGAGCCTAAAAAAATAATTTTTATTCGAATGTTAAACAATAATGATATTTTGTGATTCAAAATATTATCTTACAACTATATAGATATTCATAATATGCATCATTAAAGCTGTGTGATCCATCGTAGAATTTTTCATATACTTGCTTAAACAAATGTCCAAAACCGCCAAAACGTGATAAGATTTACCATTGCCTCCATGTAGTACACTATATAAACTTCCACACCTCGTTGAAAGACGATTGATGGAGATTCATTTCGAATCAAAACCAGAGCAGTCCAAATAATTCCAAAAACAGAAAAGGTAAACCAAAATAAACAGAAACATTTCATGTGGGAATCTTTGCTCTTTTGATCATAGTCCAGTTTCTCCATGTATTGAAATAACTTGTTTAGTTGTTGGGTTTTCTGCGGAGTGTTTGTTAAAATGTGATTAAGCATTACCAAAAATATTAAAACTTCTCCAAAAATTTCATACATAGAACATGGGATAAGATAAATATGCTTTGCTGCTTGTTTGATTACTGCAAGTAGACCCAAAGTAATAAGAGAAACACGAATTTATATTGACGGTACTCAAATAATTCGGTTTTTGTATTGTAGTGTGGAAATATTAACAACCAACGGAGCCATTGCTTCAGAAAGAAGCAAGTTTTTGATGTGCTCATTTTTGATAGTGAATTGTAGAGGACTAATGCCACAGAAAGCGGAGATATAAGCAAATTGGTTATAATTTGATGAATGTGTTTGCATAGTTAATGAAATTGTGATATGTGATATTATGTGATATGTGTGAAGTTTAAACAAACAACAAACAGGTAATATTAATCGCAGTATGCAGAATATTTTGCAAAACTTTCAATAAAAAATATTTCTTTAAGATTTTTTAATATAAATTATACCAAAATAAATATTTTTAATGATTTTATATGTCCTATCATGGTTTCGGACGCCAAAAACCCTAATTATCTATTTTACAAGTTTGTTAACTTCCTTTTTCTAGTAAAAATCAAATATATTTCTCTTTCGTTATCAATATTGCATATTAAATACAAAATTAGGTCGCTATGTCTATAATTTCTTATCACGCAATATAATTCAACGCATAACACAACTTAAACGTTTTCTATAAACTACGAAATGCCATCAATGTGCAGCAAGTTTCTATTCAACAACAATCAAGTATTTCATGCGATGAAATTCTAATCGCAGTCAAATCACCAGCAACTGGTTTCCAATTGTTTGTGGCATTTCGGTATTCTTTCCGCAGGGGTATTTAAACCCACACGTCGTGACCGCCGAAAGCAGGAAGATGAATATCCCGATGGATTAATGAATCGCCACCTCATCCACACACGTTACATCTAAGCGCATAGCGCACGAGTACATTCATCCGCACGTGAGAAAAATGGACGCGAAGACGAGTGTTTAGAAAGTTTTGGCATTTTTTCGCCATGTGCATATTTTGCACGTTACAGTGTATGCTAACGACCATCATCAGTTAAAAGTGCTTGCAAAGTGTACGTTTAATCTAGCAATATATACATATTCATACACAACGAAACATTTACGTCCGTCTTAACTTAGTGTGTACTTATCAAACATTACAAGTACCTGCGAATACATATTGAATGTTAGTTCTTGCCTTGAGCATCACCTTGATGGTTATTTCGATAGTTAATGGATTTTGGCAAATGTTTTAATTATTTAACTAATGAATTAAGTTAATATTGCGTTATTAATAGCAATATGTGATGTGATTTCAAAAGTGCACCGTTGAACGTACAATTTTGAAATATGTGCTAAAGTGACCTTAAACTCACTCAAAAATAACACAGAAGTTGTAAAATAAAACGTAGTGCACAATTTAATAATGTTTAAGCCAATATTCAAGTTGGTGCACCAATAGAACAAGAATTAAGTTTCAAATGAACAAAAATATGTTTAAAATGAAATTTTGTGTATATATTTTAATATGTTTCATTATTTTGGATATATTACCATCAGGTAAGTCACGAAGATTTCATGCTTTGTTATTTATTGTTCAACAGTTAATTATTTATCGCTGTGTTTATTGCTTAGTCATGGGAAAATGTATCGCGATGCGTTTTGACTCCGACAGCATCGTTTGCAGATGCAATGCTACATATTGCGATGAAATACCGCAAATAACACCAATATCTAAAGGAAAATTTCATTTATATACGTCAACATCTTCCGGATTGCGGTTTTTACGACAACATGGCCATTTTTCCTCAACCACCGTTTGTTCCCAAACAAATATAACAATAGACGTTAGATTTTTAAACTTGAAAGATGAAATATTGGGTTTTGGAGGTAGTATAACCGATTCTGCAGGATTAAACATACAAAAACTAAGCGAAGATGCTAAAACTCGGTTAATTGAAAGTTACTATTCTCCTACTGGGATTGAATATAGTATGGGACGAATACCAATGGGTGCGACTGATTTTTCAAGAGGACCTTATAGTTATGCAGAGATTGTAGACGATAATAAACTGGAACATTTTGCATTAAAAGAAGAAGATTACAAGTTAAAAGCTAGTAAAACAATTTAAATCAAATAAAATATTACTTAAATAATTATTTTTAGATTCCTGTTCTTCGCAAAGCTTTAGAACTAAATCCACAATTAAATATCATTGCATCTCCATGGACGTGCCCATTTTGGATGAAATCAAATGATAACTACGCATTTATGGGCGTTTTAAAACACAAGTACTACCAAACCTATGCTGATTATTATATCAAGTTTTTAGAGAAGTATTCAGAGGCTGGCGTAAATGTTTGGGGCATTACTACTGGAAATGAACCGTGGAATGGCTTTTGGCCCTTTCCGTTACCTATTCTAGGATGGTTCATGGCAGATGTTGTATGTAACTAGTTATTTAGTAATAACATTTACTATTAAGTCGGTTTTAGGCAAGATGGGTGCGTAAAAACCTGGGACCCACGATAAGAAGTTCAAAACAATTCAACGCTACAAAAATTATCATTCATGATGATCAGAAGATATTTTTACCTCGTTTAACTAAGGTAATACATAGAAATTCACCAATTTTTCAGTATCTTGTCAAAGCTTGAGGTTAGAACTTAATTTTGAAGAGCTTTTAATGTTCCAAAATGACAACTACCAAATAATAAGCGTATTTTAGTCATATTTTGTCCCTTTTTGATCATTTAACAACTTTTTAGTTTTTTCGTGACGACCAAGCCCTTTCCTACGTAGATGGCGTTGGTGTGCACTGGTACTTAAACAAAATAACACCAAAAGCTTTCTTAAACTTCGCAAAAACACCGAAAAAGGATTTGTTTATCATAGGCACCGAGGCAACAAATGGTAATTTTACAATGGCATGTAAACTTTCCAAAATAACAATTTTACCTTTCATTCATAGGTTTCTTACAATTTCCATCTGTCGAACTAGGATCATGGTCTCGAGCTGAACGTTACGCTGATGACATCTTCGATGTAAATTGCATAACAACAGAGAAGATAATTTAAAAAATATACATTTTCAGGACTTAGAATACGGTGCAGCTGGATGGATAGACTGGAATATCGCTCTTGATATGTACGGTGGACCAGTCTACACGCATTTTCACGCAGATTCGACGATAATAATCAATTCTGATGCTGATGAATTCTATAAACAGCCAACCTACTACATCATGGGCCATTTTTCCAAGTTCTTATCGCGCGGATCCCTCCGTATTTCTGTTGAAACTGCCTTACATAACAAAAGAATCAGAGTTTTGGCATATAAACGTCCGGACAACGGAATAGTATTAATAATCTACAACAAGTAAGAAATACATAAAAAGCAAAATTAAAATTAAACCGGTAATCACAAAATATTAACTCCAGGTCCGAAGATAATGTTAATCTCAACATCAAAGACCTGCTAAATGGTTGTGCAACAGTCAAGATTCGTGCAAAATCGATCAGTTCACTCGTCTACTGGTAATCCAGCAAATCTACGGCAACAAGACATTAAAACTTGTATAATTTATTACATCAAACTTATGCTTACACGCTATACATAACAAAAATAAGTGTTTTGACGAGATACGAGAGAGATACAGAAAATGAAACGTAACATTTACATGATTTCACTAAATAACTTAAAGTCTCTTTTGCGCGTTGAATTTCAGTAGCCGTTGTCATCGTCAAACCAAAACAAAACAGATAAATATAAATATATTTCTATTCCGATCATATTCTTTAAAAATCAATTTTGACTAAAACAAAATTTTTATTCAACATCATTGTGACTCGTCGCCCGCGCAATACGAAGAGTAGCCGATGAAGTATTTGCACTTTGCTCGTTTAACTTTTTTTGTTTCATTTGTTTACCTAGCTACGTGGTGAAATACTGCTCATTGCACGACACAGTAATCAAGTTGAGTAAGTTGTACTTGCAGTATCCTGCAGCCATGATACTCGTTTGCTTGTAGATTAGTGACGCAGGTAGCGGCGGCTGACGTAGGACGCAACCCGCAATACTCCCGAACGCCTGCAAGAGTACTCGGTTGCGTCTACGCGTTGTTACAGCCGCCGGTCGGCTAGTGATAAGCAATCTTCATCTTCTTCGCCTGTTTTTGATTGGCTGAATCCTCCATGTCGGACGTGTCCGACTCCGATTCTGCGTACTCGTTCTTAAGGTCGCCATCGATGAATGTTCCCGTCGATTTGGCCTTTTCTAACTTGCGTATCTGCGACTCTAGTAGAATATTCTGCCTTCGTAGGTCTTCGATGTCCTGCTGGTGGCCGGAGTTACGCGTTCGCATGTGCTGAATGTATTCAGCGGCCTTTTCAGAATTTGTGCGCGACTCGCCTAAAAATAACATCCACATAAATTACAAATGTCAATCAAATGCGGTATACCTGACTTGCTCTACAGCTAAATACAATAATCCCGCGGTTACTATTACCTTAAAAATCTACTGTTACCGCGGGATATTGTATTATTGGTTAACAACCACAAACACAGATTTCTAAAGCGACTTTTTCTCAATATATTGACAATAAATTTGCTCTATCATCGAATATATTGAGAAATAAAGCAAACAACCTGATTACTAATTAATTCTACACTAAATTAATACAAAACAAACTATTAGAAATCATAATTGTTTGAATAGAATAAATATAACAATCGCCATGGGCTCCACATGGAAAAAAGTCAACAAATTATTTAAAATGTAAGTTTGTAAGATGTATTCAAAAATGTGACGTACACTTACTTTTTCACCATTGAGAGCGGGCACGGAATCTCTTAGGCTACTAAAACTGTCCTTGATGTGATCCCTTCGCTTCCTCTCCAGCGCGTTGTGATGGGCCCGCTTATCCGCCTGCAAAGACCAGAAATGACGGCAATTAGAACAGCGTTGCATGGAAGTGCAGGCAACCAAATGAGCAGCACTCGATACACACCTGTGAATAGTATTGGTTGCCTCCACCTTGCCGTAACTGCCTTGAATCAGAATCTTCCCCATCCTGTTCATTCGTAGAAATATTAGAAATTCAACAAGTTGAAAATAATACCAAAAGCGCGCAAAGCAAAAAGGCGATCTCTAATTTCTAATCGTTACGGAAGAAGAAAAAAAGCGAATAAGCATTGTGAAGCAATGTACTTACATCACTGTCAACATCGATGTCCCGATCATCATCGCTCATCGCGTCCAGGATGTCGTGCACGCCCGTCTTGCTGCAGGGATTGTACGGTTTACTCGTCGTCGTTGGCTTGGTGTAGCCCAGGCGTGGACGGATCAACCAAGGGTATTCAAATGTTTTTCCAGCGGGCGACGTACACTTCGACTAGATCGCGATAAGCGCGACGCGAAATTATTCACTCCGTGGTACGCGCTCGACGACGAAAAGCAACGAGTGCGGATAGTGATATCCGCACGCAGTACGTTGCTATGTACGCGTATTTTGTATGCCTCGGGACCAATGCAATGCGCCCTTACAGTTTCACACTCTACACACAATCGAAGTGCAGCTAAAATACGTGAGAATGAGTAGCAGTGCTGAAGTGTGACCCGTCACGCTACAACGTGCCCGTGACTTGCTGCGCATGCGCACAACTGCTGTTGTCCTGATCGCAAGTGTAGATTACGTGCATTACAAAAGAGACAACAAATGCAATCAACTTGCGTGCAACTGAGCTCGCATTGATTCCGAATATTTACGACCAACGCCGTCGAGAAACGATGTCTTTGTTTGAGAGTTGCATGATCTTGTTCTGCACATTGAATCCAAAACGGAAATTTTGAAACATTGTTATGTAGCCATAAATACCACAATATTAATCTAATATCAATTGCAAGTCAACAGGGGGTGCAATCCGCGTGTCCCAAATGTCAGTCAACGACTGTATACGCGTTTCTTCTATTTATAGACTTGTAACGCTCGCGACTGGTTTGCGTTGCAATCAATTCAGCCGCTGACAAGGCTGTGAACGATTATTATACTCCCGTGTGGCCACACTTGTAGCTCGCACGTGCTCGTTTATAAAACGTGAGGGGGTGAACACGTGATTTATGCTCAAACAGTAATTCATTATTGAATACTTGTTGTTATAAATATGTAATGCCTTAAATTGATCTTACAAATACTATCTAATTAATTCTCTGCTTCTTTTCGGGTGGCGGTTTGATTTTCTCGTCTTTAACCTGTGCGTTTTTCATATCTTTTCCATCGGATACATTTCCATTTTCTTGTTGTTCGACTTTTACTTGTGCTGTGCCAGGAGCTGCACCTCCAGGTGTCGTGCCTGCTGTGGAACCAGTGCCTTGTTGCTGCGCCTGCGCTTTGATTTGTGATGGCGTCGGCAGCGGGAACTTTTTGCTTAATTCCACAAGAAGCATATCAACGCGTTGTCTTTGAAAGAGCGAACTAGGTTCTTCCCTGGGCTTTTCTTCTTTCTTTGCTTTCTCAACATTAAGTCTTTGTGACTTGAAATCCCATGAATATCCTTTGCTGGGGTGATAACGCGAGAAACTAGATGCTTCTTCAAATGATGATTGTAAATGGTGGACAAATGACAACTAAAACAAATGTAAAAGTTATAAATATGAGAATGGAGTATTATTTTGATTGAAATACTCACAAGGCGTGAATTTAATACACTAGCAAGATCTGGGGCTTGGTAAATTACACCAGCAATAATATAATAGTCTGCAATTGGTGTAGCTTGTTGAGAACTGTGTCTGTGTTGTTTTCTGATGACATATAAAATTGGTTCCTGCACATGCAGAAGCACATATTCTAATCCAGTCATGTTCTGTAGCTGGTCCGGATTTAAACGCTGCATTTTAACTATTTCATTATTGCATGTTCTATCAAAGAATGGATTTGATCTTTCTGAGAAGTAATCCATTACATTGGTGGTGTTTAATGCTGGGATCCAAGCAGAGTCATGCCATGAGAGGCTTAGCGGGTTGTCCGGAATTCCGGTCCCGAGATTCATTCTTCCAGGCATCATTTTTGATAAACTGCAATCAAATAAAATGATATTTATTGATTTGTAAAGACATGACTTTGTATGGTTATAAAATTCTTTGTTTTTGTACTATTTAACAGCGCAAATATAACTAATTTCAACGCAAGGTTCGAAAAGAATAGAAATTATAGTTTATTTTGAAGTAAAATATTAATAAAAATTAAAAAAATTGTAAAAACATTACCAGAATTCACTCGGCTTCCCAAACCAGCTGAGGCAAGTGACAATAACCTCACTTGCTTGATAAATTTGTAAACAAACGGGACAAAAGAGTTTTAGCTTGTTTTGAAGCGTATTATTGTGTCCCTAGGGTGTAAACTGCAAAATAATTTATTTGTAAAGTCAGTTAAAGAGAAGTTTGCAGAATGCCAAGGTGCTGTGTTGTTAAAAACTGCGATACCGGTAGCAGAAAAAGCAATGATAAACTACGTATATCATTGTTTCATGTACCATTGGATAAATCTCTGCGGCAAAAATGGATTAATGTTATTCCTGAGATTGAATGTCTAGGCTCTAGGCAGTTTGTTTGTGAAAAACACTTTGAAGATAAGGATATTCTCACTCCAAAAATTGAATCTGAGGTACGTAGATCATAGAATATAAGTATTTCACAGTAGTAATTTCAAAAATTGGATTCTGAACATTTCTTGTTTTAGTTACATGAAAATACTAAAAGACCACGTTTAAGTATATCCGCTGTGCCATCCAAGTATTTATTTGATTCATCAAATTTATTGGAGATGGACATGCATGAACTATCAGAGGAAATCTCAGATCACAATTATGCTGCAGGTATAAATAAAACTATTTAATATTTATATCTAAAAGATTAAAGATTAAACTATTCAAATGTTTAAATTTTAGGTGAATCAACTACCGACCAGTCCAGTTTAATTGATTACTCCGCCAAATTAACTGTAATAAGCAGTGCTTGTAAGTTATTGTTATCTGTTCTTCTCTTCTGAGATAAATAATTCAGAAAATAATAAATAATCAGAATTATTTCAGGTATAAGTACAATTAATGGTCCACCAACGCTTCAATCCACAATAACATTACCGACAATGTGGAATGTGATTGATTTAACATCAGGAGCAGGGGAACGATTATATTTTACGCATGTAAAGTGCACTGATGTTCCCTATGTTGATAAATGCGTTCTTATCGATGCAAATCGTAATATTCAGTACTTTATACATAATAAACCTGTATCATTGGCATCCAAGAAATGTCCGAGCGTGTTATGTGACGTTAAATCTTTAGTACACATCTTAACTCATTTTGAAAATCAGCGCGTTTGCATAGGTTTGGAAAATGACCACATTGGACACTTATCCGATAACAAAGCATACAAAGATAGTTTTGAAACATGGCGGCATAAAAATTGCACTCTGCTTGCCACAACTAAGTACTGTATATTCTGCTGTAGATTAGTGCACAACTTGAAACAAAAGTATGCAAATATCGATGAGGAAAATCGACACTCAAAAGACACCATTGAAAAGTTAAGACTTATAAAGTTACGCAAGGATATTTTGTCTGAACGCCGGCAAAAAGCTCGAGCGAAAATGCAAGTGGAATCGTTAACTAATGCTTTAACTGCAGCCAAAGAAGAAATTGCGTCTATTCGAAAGGAATCTATCGAAACAAAGTGCAACGCTCTGAATATGAGCGCATCTGAGAGATTAGCAGTAACAGAGATTATTTCGGCTGCTTCAAAGAAAGACACCAGCGGACATCGATATAGTGAGGAATGGTTAAATCTTTCCATGCAGATGAGTATGAGATCGCCATCGTTTTACAATTTTCTTAGAGAAACCAAAATTCTACCACTGCCATGTATGAAAACTGTAAATAAGTATATTTCACAAATGGTGGAAAATTCAGGTTTAAATTCACCAGTTTCAAATATTGTAGAGACAATAGAAATAGAAATTGAAAATACATAATTATCATAAAATACAGTAGCAATTTTAAAAGAGAATAAATTGATTATTTCATACTTTGTTTGGATTTAGCCTAACTTCAAACATCTTGCGCAACATTTGATTCCAAAATTTCTAGTGGATCATCAAAAATCCATGTAAATTCTAACCTTACATCTAACTCGACGTAATGTCGTGCTAAATCCGGCACATCACACAAGAATTGGTAAGATTCAGAGTTAAAATGCTATGAAGCGCTTTGCCAATTTCACAACGTGACGAAAATAACTCGCCTTTTGATTGACTCGCGAATGCGCGCACATATTTCATGCCCGCTGCTCGTCAATACCCAGTATTCGCTGCCAGCTTTCCTTTGAATTAGTGCAAGCCCGTGGTCGACATGCGGTGCTATTACGAGGTGCTGAATGTTCCACGAGACGTTGAAGACGCCGACATCAAGAGCGCCTACAAGAAACTCGCACTGCGATGGCATCCAGACAAAAATCTTTCCAATCCAGATGAAGCAAAGGAGCAGTTTCAGTTAGTACAGCAAGCATATGAAGTGCTCAGTGATCGACAAGAACGCGCATGGTATGACAATCACAGAGAGCAAATTCTGCATGGATCCAACAAGGACTTTGAGGATAATTGCCTAGATGTATTCCAGTATTTTACATCTTCTTGTTACAAGGGCTTTGGAGATGATGATGCTGGTTTCTATACAGTTTATAGAAATGTGTTTGAACAGATTGCTAAAGAAGACATGGAGCATATGGATAACAAAGAGGAATTTACTACTATTCCTATGTTTGGTAGTGCAGAGAGTGATTATGAAATGTTTGTTAGACCTTTCTATGCTTATTGGATGTCATACAGTACAAAAAGGAGTTATGTATGGCTGGATCCATATGATATTAAAGAAACAAGAGAACGCCGCATTATTAAACTCATCGAAAAAGAAAATAAAAAGGTGCGGGCGAAAGCGAAGAAGGAACGCAATGACGAAGTGCGTAATTTAGTTGCATTTGTAAGAAAAAGAGATAAGAGAGTTCAAGCAAATGTGAAATTTCTAGAGCAAAAAGCAAAAGAAAATAAATTGAAAGCTGCAGAACAAGCATCACAAGCAAGGAGAGAAAGAAGAGCAGAGAGTAAAAAAGAAGTGCAAGGTGAATGGAGTAAATTTGACAATGTTCAAGAGGAACTAGCAAATATTGAGAAGCAATTAGCTGAGGAGTTTGATGATAAAGATGAAAGTGAAGAAGAGTTGGATGATTTGTACTGTGTGGCTTGTAATAAAGTATTCAAAACACCTAAAGCCTTTGCCAATCATGAAAGCAGTAAGAAACACAAGGAAAATATTGAGAGACTCAGAGAAGAAATGTTGGAAGAAGATGAAGAGTTTGAGACTATAGATGATGAAGAAGATTTATCCAATGATGGAAGCCTCATGGATGCTGAATTAAAAAGTGATAATTCAGAACATGCAGCAGTGAAAAGCGATGGTGTTACTAATGGAAATTTATCCAATGGGAATCTTTCTGATTTAAATAGTGAAGAACTTGAAGAATTAGAAGAGGAAGTAATAAAAACCAAGAAAAAGAAGAATAAAAAGAGCAAACAAATTAGAACAATTCAAATCAATTCCGATGATGAATCTGTAGACTTGTCTGACTTAGAAACTGCAAGAAAACAAAACGAAAACCAATCATACAGAAGTAGAATCATCCAAAATAGAAACACAACCAAATTTAGAAGAAAATCCTACTGCAGAAGGACCAGATGGTGATGCGGACGATGATACCAGTGAGATTACAAACGGAAAAGCAGCATCAAAGAGATCCAAACGACGAAAAGACAAAAAATCTAAACCAACTCCATCTATAGACCTAGAAATAAACAAAGGAAATGCAATTGATATTGAACACACATGTGTAACATGCAAAAATGTATTCACATCAAAGAATAAACTATTTGACCACTTGAAAAAGACAGGACATGGCGTGTACATAGCACCTGAAGACAAAACAAAGATGAAAGAGATGATAAAAGACAAGGGGAAGACGAAAAAGAGCAAACGCAAAGAAACGTGTTGACGATAGTGATTAAAAATGAGTTTACGAAGTCAAAGGAGAACGACGGCTGTAAGTTAAACTAAAATTGAAGACACATAGATATAATATGTATCAATCACAATATAAAACGTACAAAATTGTGTATAAATGTGTACAGATATAAAAATCATTATTATAAATGATGAATGGCAGTGAGATTACTGATTTAGCACCTTAACTTAACACAAAATATTTGATAAAGCATAGTTTATACTATAATAACAGCGTAGGTACTTGAAAAATGGCAAATATGCAAAATTTCACAATAAAAATCAATTTTTCATGCCCTGCGCTGCTTTTAATTCATGGCGCTTTAGTCGTACTAAGTACTCATGACATTTTAGATATTTTAATATCTAATTTATGTTATTATCAAATATAAACACGTATAAATGAAGAGTATACATATGGAATACAGTTACGAGTTGTTTAGTTTTATAAGTCACTTATTTTTGGCACTTGCAAGTCTATTTGTTTCAGAATGCGACATTTCTTGAGATTCGGTTTACGCCATTTATCAAAAATGAGGTAATTTCATATATTTTTGCTTTCTATCTTTAGAAATATGACTATTGTTATTATTTTTTGTTGAAACAGTGAAAAAAATCAATTACCCTTCAGCCGAGCGCAATAAGATCTACATTCTGGACGTCCTCAAAAAACATTTCGACTCTTCTCGTCCCGGCGACGTTTTGGAGATAGCATCCGGTACAGGACAACACGCCGCCTACTTTGCCAAAGCGTTTCCTAATCTAGTTTTTCACCCGTCGGAATTCGAAGATGCTTTGTTTAAAAGTATTCAAGCTTATGCTGATGACTTGCCGAAGAAGAACGTAAAACCGCCGGCGTTGATCAATGTAACCGCTGATGTTGCTACATGGCCATTGGCGTGTAAAAAGTATGATTATATCATTAATATTAATATGATTCATATTTCCGAGTGGGCATGTACTCTTGGACTGTTTCGCGCTGCGGGTAAATTATTATATCCCAAGGGTTTGATGGCTATGTACGGCCCGTACGCCGAAAATGGAATTATCAAACCGGAAAGCAACGTGGATTTCGATGAAAGTTTAAAGTCGAGAAACCCTGACTGGGGATTACGCGATATTTCCGATTTGGAAAAACTGGCCGCAACAAACGGATTGATTTTGATTGATAAATGCGATTTGCCCAGTAATAACAAATGTCTCATATGGCAGAAGAAGTAAATTGATCTGATAAACTAACTTATATGAATAAATTATTATGTTGATGCTCAAATGCGTACCAGTTTTGTGAGTTTATAGCAAACAAATTAAGCTGTGACCTTCATAGATGCGATCCTGGACTTTATCGCTGTTGGTGGATTTGTCCGCCGGCATAGAGAGCATTGCTGCGAGGAAAGTCAAACCTGTTCCTGCTAGAGCCAACCACAAACCTAAACCGATCGCGCAATGGCCAGGATAAAAAGGTGATGAATTATCACAGAGTTTTACAACTCTGGTTGCATTCCAAGCCATAGGATGCAGAGTGAGAGCTAAAATGTAAAAGATTCCCGCGATGGTCTGTGCTGCACCAGTGGTGGTAAACAAGGACTTTTTAAAAATGCTTTGGAAGCAACAAGCTGCAAAACTCATGACTACCGAAACAAACATGATTGTCAAACCTAAAATATTATTAAATATTTAGAATATTAATTACAGTAATGTAAAAATTACCTACCAATTGATATGAAAACAGTCGCAATTTTCCATTCAGTTGGAAATACTTCTGCATCAGTTGCCAAACCGCGTGTTGCTAGTGTCGTGCATTGTAACATATTCGTGCGCTGCTTTTCCATGCATCTTGTGTAAACACCAATTGAATTTTCACCCTTTCCAAGCAGCCATTGTGGACTAAGCAATGCACTTAGCATTATCATGCTTGATAGGAGGCTGGTGAGAGTCCATGATAACGTACGGCACGTCACTATGACATACCACATTGTGATTTGAAAGGTTTTCCTTTTTCAATCAAGTCTTGTGTTTGATAATTTCAGTCTTCTGTAACATATAGAACACACCTCTCATATTAGTGGTAATACCACTGAAACATGACTGCAAAATCAACAACAAGCATACATCGGAAAAAGAAACATCTAAGCAACAATCAGTATGTTATTCAATGCATGAACTGGTTTAAAACGGCTTTAGAAGAGAATGCTGCTCAACTTCCCAAGATATTTATTGATGTAAGTTTAGTTTGTAATGTAGTTACCTTTTTGTGTGGTAAATGAAGTGAATTGTGTTGGAGGTAGGTGCGGGACGTCTTTTACATCATTGTTGATTTGAGGTAGAGCATTTGTGGTATTAATAGAGATTCATGTTTTTTATTCTGCGGTGTGAACTTATGGAGCACGGGTTGGACGCCCGGCCATGTAAACAGTAAACATGTGTATATTGGGTCATCTAACTTCTTTGAAAAAAAGCAAACAAGAGTTATATAGGTACTTTTGATTTTATTTATAAAATTTTCAAATCCACCAAATTTACTAATCTCAAGTTAAACCTACGTTTAATTATGCAATTATTAAGTTACTAATTTTTATCAATCTTTGCAATGACGAGCTTTACCAATTCCATTATCAGCTTTCTTCACTTCCAGTTCAAAACATTTGTTTACCTCGGAATTATCCAATTCAGCAACCATTGATTTGATATCAAAGTTAGTGTTGTTAACTTGTGCGCCATATTGATTAAGTCGATCGTACTTTGCTTCATCATCATGCTCTTTTTCGAAGAAAGCATTGTATTGATGAACCTCTTCCTCTAGTTTTTCAAGTGTATCCAGAATATCTTGTATATCGGTCATATGTTCCAAGCAATCACGCATATTATTTATGTATGAAATACCGGCGAATAAACTCTTCCATTCTTTCTTCGAACATTCCACATATTCGGATGCTTTAACCAGGGAATCATTCCCAATGATCTATAAAGGAAGAACAACATAACATTTACATTTACTGTTTTTGCAGCCCAATATATATTAATTACTATCAATTGTTATGACTTACTAGGACAACAAGACAAAAAATAACAACTGCAGACTTCATTAGTTTAGCAAAATGTTAAAATGTTATGATATAACAAATAAAAGCATGGATTCTGAGTGTTCCGCGCTTTTATAATAGTTACAAAGCAAACAAATTTATAATAATTTGCATAAATACACATAAATGATGAAATTATTCATTTACAAAACAGATCATAAGCTTATTTAAATTACTTAATAAAGTGAAATTGACCATGACAAATTACTATAATGATTTTACCAAACGTAATTCAAATTTCGTTGCCAGGGTGAACGTTATCAACCAGATTTTCCAGTCGCACCAAATCAAACTCAAGTCCATTTTACCTTTACAAATGAAGGTAGTCCTCGAGCAATAAAATACAAATTAAATTCGTTAGAAGATGAAGGACTTCTCACTCTTCAACAGCTCCTACCAACTTTTCCTTATCTCACTGAACTGCGTTTTGAATTCTGTGATCTCAGCTACGATCAAGTGGTTTTCATTCATATGATTCTTCAAGAAAACCATCAAATTGTTCGTTTATCTTTGAACGGGAATCCAAATAGAAATGAATTCGGTAAAAAATCTCACCACTTACTTCATCGCAGCACGAATTTGAAAGTGTACAGCGTACAATTATGTAAGTTGGGACCATCTGTCTGCCAACTGTTCTATAACGAGTTGCACATTCCTGATAAATACACACGAAATTTGGTGAGTCTTAATCTGGGGTGCAATCATTTGGGCGACGTTGGATGCGCCTGGATAGCACAAATTTTGCGTACGAATCGAGCCCTACAGGCGTTAAATATTTCCGAAAATGGTATTTCAGAAACAGGACTACTTGGTTTACTGGAAGTATTCTCTTGTTTCAAACTGCATCTTCATGAAACATTTCAAAAGAGAAAATTGCGTTTCAAACAATTAATGCAGACACATTTTCCTTCGTCTAAAACTGAAGCATTTAAGTCGTCATCAGTATCACCGGATAAATTCGGATTTATTTCGCATGATCCTGTAAATGCTGCGAATCAATTCAATCATCCATTTATTACTGATTCACTCGTGAAGGATGGCCAATTATTTTGTAGCGGAAATAATTCTCTGACGTATCTTAACATTGCATGTGAGTTTTAAATTACTGTACAGAGTAAATTTTTGAAAATTTATCTCATAATTATTGCAGATAATGGCATTACAAGAAATGTTTTGGAGGATCTTATTGAGAAGATCAATTATCAAAAGACACATTTGAAATTTGGCGGTTTACAACGAGTTGTATTTGAAAGTCAGCAGACGTTTCCTGATTTAGAAGAAGAGATTATTAAGCGTTTAAGTAGTCCGAATCAACGGACTACAGCTAGAATTTCAAGAGCCAAATCTTCGTTACTTTAAAATTGTGAAATCAAAACCAAAACCTAAAAGATTCAATGTTTAACGTGGGCAACACAAATTACACATTAGTAATTATATTATTATTGTTATACGTACATATTTTATTCCTCGGGAGGATAAGATAGATGTTATTAGTTTTAAGTAATGTATTTGAATTAATTCTTCTTACTTTTGCAACGAAATGGCTACAAGAACCAAATGTCCCTAGAATTTCCCGCCGTTTCTGCGCGGCCTTTTGCTTAACCGCTCAACTTTTCGATTTTGCGCCATTTTACTGTTAACGTTCGTGCTGCGTACAACGTTTCTGTTGTGATTCTCGTGATTGTCTGTTGTGTTTAAATAATTTAAATCACTCAAAATGTTTGAAGCACGTCTGATTAATAGTGTTACACTGAAGAAGGTCCTCGAAGCCATCAAAGACTTGCTGAACGATGCATCTTTCGACTGCTCCGATACCGGCATCCAACTTCAAGCCATGGACAACTCGCACGTTTCTCTCGTTTCGCTCACCCTTAAATCCGATGGCTTCGATAAATACCGCTGCGATAGGAACATTACAATGGGCATGAATCTTTCAAGGTATTTCTTTCCACAGAATAATTAATCGTTTTTCCTAACGTTTTTTTAAATTGTTCTTTAAACAGTATGGTCAAAATTCTCAAATGTGCAAACAACGACGACACAGTTACAATTAAGGCACAGGATGATGCAGATATGGTCACCTTCATGTTTGAGTCAAAGAAACAAGACAAAATCTCAGATTATGAGATGAAACTGATGAACTTGGACCAGGAACACTTGGGTATTCCTGAGACTGATTTCTCCTGTGTGATTCGCATGCCGTCCGTTGAATTTGCGCGCATTTGTCGCGATCTGGCGCAATTCGGTGAATCAATTGTGATTTCATGCACAAAGGAAGGTGTCAAGTTCTCATCTAGTGGTGACATTGGCAGTGCCAATGTTAAACTTGCTCAAACCAGCAACTTTGAGAAGGAAGAAGAATCTGTTACCATTGAAATGCAGGACCCAGTTTCGTTAACGTTTGCGTGTCAGTACTTGAACTCCTTCACGAAAGCGACACCTCTTTCCGCGCAGGTGCAACTCTCAATGTTCGCTGATGTTCCACTTGTGGTGGAATACACCGTCCCTGAATTGGGTTACATTCGCTATTATTTGGCGCCGAAAATCGAAGAAGAAGAAAACTAATCTCATCACCAACTTACACAAAAGCATGTGCCTTATACACACTTCACTTATTCTTATTTATACTATTAAGTAATCTTACATACAATAAAACACTGAAAACCATAATTAAATCACATTTTATTTCATAGGTTTAAGTTAGATTTACATAATGGACACTACAGAGTGTAATTTCTTTTGCTAGTTGGCTAAGATTACTTTGTTTAGTATTTTTTGTTCCAATCTTCCTGTTCTTCACGTTCCTTGATTACCTGATCCACATGAGGGGTTAGGTACAGAACATCATCTTCAAGTTTGGTCCATTGCTCCTTGGGCAAAATGTCTTTTTGGATGTCAAGCTGAACGGCGCGCAGGATACGATAGTTGCGCTCGTCAATAATATGCTTTGGAACGCGCAGGAGGGCCTTCTTCACGTCTTCGTCCTCGTAGAGGCAATCGTCGCGCATGAGCCCCAATTTGTTGAAACCGGCCAAGTTGTACATCATTTTCTTCAATGGTGTAATATTCTGGCTCATTGAGCGGCGCTGGATTGCCATTAACGAACGGAAAGCCATGTTAAGGCGGTTTTTGAGAGATGTTAAGAAATAATCTGCGACCACAACGGCTAGAAATGTGTGTTAGGTAACTGATGAGACAGTGTTAGTAATAATCGAGAGCTTTAGGGATATTTTTTTATTTGGTTACTAGCATTGAAGCCAAATATTATACAGAATGATTTTGTCTATATAATTATTTGTAATAAATAAAAACAATGAGAGTATATAAGTACAGTATTTTAAATTTAGTATATTTTAAATAAAATTCTAGTTTAAATAATATATTTAATTAAATATTTAATTTTCAAAACAGCAAATTACTTTTAAGTACTACTGTTGTTTTGCCTGTATTTTCCCCCAGATTCTGACACTGACAATCATATGACACTAGTGACACTAGTGACGTATTCCGCATTAAAAATAAAACAATTCGGTTCTGAGATACAATAGCAGCTTGGAGCAAGGTGAGAAGTAATTTTATCTCATCCGTCCTCTAATGTTGTTCCCTTTTAGATGCAAGTTTTTACAACTAATCCATAATGCCATAAACTAACCCTCAAATGGCGTTTTCCTTTATTTTCTTCACAATTGTGAAACATAATTTTTAGTTCATAGCTGTAAGCTAAAAATAAATTCCTTCTGGGTGCTTCATTCACAGTCCACAGATAGTTTTAATGTGGACGTGCATCGCCGATCGCACGTTCTATCTTCATCGAATTTATGATGGTAATGGATACTTATTACAACAACACCCAGAGGCAGCAGTATTCCCCAGGGATGTTGTGGAGTAAAATCAACTCTCTGCACTTGAGCTACCTGGAAATGGAAGCAAGTCCAGAGAAAATCAAACACAAAAAGCAAGCTGGAGGAGTACATCCATCGTTATCTTTGTGAGGCTCATCACAATCAGAAATTTGAGTGCACATCTACACCCAAAGTGCTCCATGAGTCAGCTGCTAGGATGACTGATTTTAGTGGTTATAAGGCTGCATTAGGGTGGGATGCAATTGGTAGATATGCTGCAAATTTACTTACAAAACCATGGAGGAAAGAATACAGACAAATAAAGGTATTTGCACATTTTATTTTTATTTATAAACAATCCTAATTTAAATATAAATTTTTAGATGTATTCTGGTTTCTATAAACATGAAGTAGAGTCAAATTTAGTTGGGGCAGATGCAATGTTTGTTGAAATGGGCTATAAACCAATGGATAATCAACAGCTTATATTAACCGGCCCCGTGTGTCCGGATCGCTTGGCGTCTGTTTCTTTAGATTCAATCATGGCTTATGTGGAATGTCAGATTCTGAAAGAAATTTGGGAAGAAGTTTCACAAGTGTACAATGTCACTTGGCTGGATGTGTTGAATATGCGCGAGATGTACGCTGGCAGTCCACAGGAAACCATCGACGGTGTGATGCATATGAAGAAGCTACCAAGTCCAAAGGCAATGCATTCGTATTATACTCAGCCTCCGCCGCCACCACAGCCGCAATATATGTACGGCCCATCGACGATGATGCCGCCTCACACCTGTTGCGGCAATTTTTACATGCACAACGCGCCATATCCCGGTTACTATTATCCCAGCCAACCGCAAATGTCGCACATGCATCACCCTGCCGGCAGCGGCTGCTCTCATGCTACGGTCAACGCTCCCGCTGTGCCTACTGCACGTCTGATTGAATACGATGGCTTCGATCAGCCAGATGGTCGAGTGGATGAAGTGCAGAAACATCTCGGACAGATGTATTTGAACGATGCCCCAACGGCAAAGTCCGCATCGGAACGCGATGATGGTTCAGGCACCTATGAATCATGGGATTATGTTTATCGCAACCTAGAGAGTCAAGGTTATTCAAAAGATCTTGGGGAACGCGGGGATTTACTCCAAAGTCAAAACACAGCACATGCCAGGCCAAAGTCTAAACATGCTGATGAGAGTAAACGAGAAAAACGTGAAAATAGACATAGCACATATGACAACGTGAGCGATAAGCCCGTCAAGGCGAAAACATCAGTTGAGCCGGTGGTACCGGTAGCTCCTACGCCATCATCTAACACTCAGCCTGCTCAATCGAGGCAAAACAATGGACATGCAGAGTTAGCAGTAGCGCCATCTGCAAGTACAAGTCAACCAGCTACTTCCAAGGGTTGGCATTGTACGACCTGCACGTTTCTTAATCAGAACGAGAAAGATATTTGCGCCATGTGTTCGAAGAGTCGTAAGAAACCAATGGAGGAGCATCTTCAGGTTGGAGGTACCCAGTGCGAAAAATGCACCTATGTCAATGGCAAGGGACAGAAAATATGCAGTATGTGTAGCAGTAGTCTTAATAATTCGCCTACTTATATTTAGAGTTACAATAAACTATCCTAAGTATCTATATGACAGGCATTATTATTTTTTTTCAAAAGAAAATGTTGAAATGTTTATTAAGCAGTGGAAAGAAGAGAATTTATTTTCAGTATTACAAACCGTCCGACACAGGATCAGTCAGTTTTGTGACGGTGTAGATAACGGGCAGCCGACGAGCTTTGGGTAAGTCGGGGCCGAACACCTCAAGCTGACATTCCGGTCTCACTGATAACCACCCAACCATTCTAGAGCTGGTGGCTGGAAATGGTTTCAGTTCTGTTTTGGGCTGGGGGTTTACGTCTTTCTCGAAGTCATATGCCTGCTTCAACTCACTGCGCCCCTTTGCGTATTCTTCGACTAGCCAGCCCCATCGTTCGTCGAATTGTTGCGCAATTCGACTTTCAACGCAAACGCGCTCACGAAAGCATTTGTTTTCATTCGTTTTCATTCGGCTCATGTTTTTAGAAGTGTAAAAATTGATAATATGTAAAAATTTCAACCCTTGTGACGGTTGTTTGTTCAAATTTGATAGAAACTGATTTGAAAAACAAATTTCGTCGAGTTTCATTTTTGGTTGAATAACAGAGTCAAACTTTTTCGGTCGAAGAACAGGGTTGAACTTATTTTCCTAAAAATATTTTTAAAAATATTTTTGATCGAAGAACAGGGTCGAACTTACTTTCATAAAATATTTTCGGCTGAACAACAGGGTCGAACTTTTTGTTAAAATATTTTTGGTCGAAGAACGGGGTCGAACTTATTTTCTTAAAAATGTTTTGGTCGAACAACAGGGTCGAACTTTTATCTTTAATTTTTCCCGTGAAATCGGCGAGATAAAATCGCGATTACCTCGAGAACTAAAAGGGCTACGGAAAAAGGACTTCATATTCGTAATCCTTAAAAAAATCTCTACAAGATAGCGCCCTTCTTAAAAAACTACAAAAAATGCATAAAAAAATTTAATGAAAAGATTTTGTTATAAAAAAGCCAAAAGATTTCTCTTTTTTATGTTTGAAATTAAAAGTTGGAATTTTTAAATTTTGTTTTCAGTTTCTGATAGACAATTTAATTTTATATCGATTATTTTAGTAACTTTTTTGGCCAGCATTTACCATTTAGGCCGTATTTGTAATTTTAACAAAAAATGTATGTAATTTGAATACCGACAAACCAGACTTTGCTAGGGCTATTATTATCAAAAAGCTTTATTTTAGAACAAAATTTTATTAAGATAAAGTATGTAGAATCACATGTTCTTCAATATTTGGTAATAAAAAGTTGTAGTTTTCAATTTTTATTTTTTGCTTAGGAAATGATAGAGAAAACTAATAAACCGGTTTTTCGCACTTATCTTGAAAACCATTAGAGATAAAGAAAAACGGGCTTCATATTCGTATGTAGAATTAAATTTTACATTATATAACATGTTAAAATTCACAGTTATCAACACTTATGTAATAATTAAAAATGGTCAATAACTTACAAACTAATTAAGATAGCGGAACCAAACTTGGATTAATGGATTCCTGGCATTCTTTTACATTGATTTGGAAAGTTTGAGGAAAATTGGTGAGGTAGATTTATTTGATCAATTTTGAATTTACCCGCCATTTTCCAAAATATTGATGTTATCGGAAAACTAACTTCATATCTTTTATCCCCTTGGAAATCAATTAACGTTTTCCATTTTCTACTAGCTCCATTTTGAATTTTTAGACCAAAAAGTAGGTAAGTGTAACCTCTTGACTCTTTTCAACAGGTTTTTGTCAACTTTATAGAATCAAAAAATTGAATCTGCCCTTTTGTAGAACCTTGTTATGACATGAAAAAAATGTAAAAAGTTTCGTTGTAACATTTATGGTTCTCGAGAAAATCGCATCGGAAAATCATTTTTCCGACTTCGAAAAATATTTGTTTTTAATCTCATCTTATGTATAATTGCATGCTGAACGTTATCCCGTTTTCTGTTTTTGATTATCTTCATTAGTTCCCGAGATAATTAGTTTTTAAGTATTGCGGCAAGTACATGTTTCAAGTAAATGCGTTTGTAGGGCAAACCCTTTGCGCTATTAATCAGGAAGTTGTGTAAATAACGTAACTATAGATTGTTCTACACGATGGTATTATTAGTTTTTAATAATTTTTACACTAATTAAAATGTCAGGCACCTCCGCCAAATTTTGAATAATTAATTAAATTTTTTTAGAAAATTAAAAATGTATACTTTTTATTGCTTATTATCAAAGAAAACATCTTTATTGATAAAATATTTTAATAAATATTTGTAATTTGAATTGAGATTAAAAAAATATACGCTAAATTTAAACTGCATAAATCTACCATAAATGAAATAATTAAATTCATCGTAGGGCCTAAACCAAGAGAGATCACTTGAAATCTTACTTGGATATATTGATAAGAATTAATCGTTTGTTTAGATTCTGAAAACAAAAGTTGAAAATTCCAACTTTTAATTTCGGACATAAAAAAGAGAAAAGATTTGACTTTTTTATGACAAAATCTTTTCATCGATGTTTTGACCTGAAATAATTTAATCAAAAAAGTTCGACCCTGTTGTTCGACCGAAAATAATTTAACAAAAGTTCGACCCTGTCTTTCGACCGAAAATATTTTAACCAAGTTTTCTGTTACCGAAAATATTTTAACCAAAAAGTTCGGCCCTGTTGTTCGAGCGAAAATAAAATTCATTGGACAAAACAGCGATATTCTAAGGGTATTTTAGGACACT